GTTTCATAGTCCAACAATAAATAAAGATTCAGTACTAATTTCGATGAAAATAACTGATAAAACATATTTAAGTGAAAAAATAAAAGTTCAAAAGAAAATTGGTAAAAAGGGTTAATTCTGCTCGGTGATATTAGCATCATTTTTGGGCATGACTTTTTTGTTACTTGAGATATCAACGAGATATTTGGCAGGTATTTAGACACTATCTAAAGACATATGCTGAGACATAGAAATCTATTTTTATTTCCTGTATTTTTAGTGTGTGTTGATAAATATGCGTTTGGTCATTTTTTTTAATACACCCTCTACTGTTATTCTGGAAGATTCAATTAATCATTACAACCTAACACTAAGACTAGTTAGTTATAAATGTATGTTTAAACAAACATGTTTGTATATCAATTTTTTTTCTATAGACATTGACAGTTGTAGCCATTTATGGTGAGAACCTCGTAAGTTGCTAGAACTTGTGTTCAAACCATTTGTATATTATTTATACAATAAAATATGTTCAAATCCACTGTCCTATAAACAGACACTTTTTAAAATCATACATTAAGAACATCAATTTGTTAACCCTAATCATGTTGCCATTAAGAATTCCCATATAAAACGCTCGTATTTGATTTAACAGGAACAAACCCCTTATAGTTACTAGAGAGGTGTCACATGGAGAAGTTAATTTATTGTCAATTTAACTGTATATCATTAAAAGAAATCCCTATAACAATTACGATATTTTTTCACTGGGAACAGCGCTGGTATTTTACAAAAAGGTATGATTTGTAAAATATTTTAAATCAGTACTTTTAATTTTTCGCAATTCTATCCACTTTGCTGATTCTTATGGATAGAAAAAAAATAGTTGAAAGGTCACAAATATGCATTTTAGATGAAATCCTGTGTCAGGATGTGTCCTGCCTTCTGTAATAAGTCTCAAGACATTGTTTTTACTTATTAATATTGTTAAAACCTGTTGTTCTGTCTTGCTTCCACATTACGAAAATATCGTCTTCTTAGGCTAAGAGGATGCATGCTTTTCAATTTGGCGTCAAAAAATTATCTAAGTTAAACTTATAAAAAAAGTTGAAGAAGGAAGAATTTTAAAATCTTCGCTCGTTTTGGTCTTTGTGTGAATTATATTTCTACAAATTAAGAGATAATTAAATTTCTGAAAGAACTTATCATCAATCAAATAATTACATATTCAAAAGGGGCCATATTTAATTTTTCTTCATTAATTACCGTAATAAACTCGAGTCTTTTTAAAGAATCAGTTTATTTGGCAAAGTTGGATTTATATCTAAAATTTCACATACTATGGACTAATTTTGATTTACTTGGAAGAAGAGATGTAAGTAAAAGAATATTTTCCCTTATTTTCTCAAGAAAACCCCCAAATAGGAAGATCTTAAAACATTCATAAAGCAGGATTCATTTCTCAGGAATCATATTGTGAGTTCACCTCTACTTTAATTTCTGTTTAAAACTTGTAGACAGGTCATATGAATAGATTTTCAACAATCGTAAATCTGGTGACCTAGTTTATAATTTACTAATATACCCACTTTATTAAAACGAATTTAAAATGAAAGTACTCTATTTTGTCAAAATCCAAACTATAAAAGTCTGGGTTATTACTTGGGATCTCAACGAGTACTGAATTATGCATTGTCCTTGTTTATACAGTGATTGGCGTCATCTGTATGTACTGCATGGGTCTTTGAATAAAATGACATAAACTTCTATCGCTTTCAAAACCGTAAAAACAATCTCATGTAATATTTTAATTTTATTATGTATAAATTGAATGAGTTTCAAAGTGGTATCCTCTTAAAAACACAACGAAGATACACGTATGCTTTCAAATAGACTGATAAAGAACACACTTTCCATTATGTGTATTCTCTCTATATCATTAAAATTAGGAGATAGTAAGGTTTACAATTTTTTTCTCAGGTGATTCGAAAAGTTAAGCTTTGTGTTTATCATCTTATCAGAGAGATGGTGCCTTCGACTTAAATGACTGCAATAAATTTCTCAAATCATTTCAGTCCGAGGGAAGGGTTTATTTTCCTAGAAGTGTGTCTATTGATTTATGACACTGTCTTCCAAGAACAACTAGTAAATGAAATTCTGTTTAGTTTACAGTATGATAGATTCTTTTCTTATCATAAATGGAAAGTAGGAAACAATTGGAATACGTAAAAAACACTATAGAGAAGGACAAAATACCAACTAGGGAGCCGAATTCCTTCCTAAGATTTAGGTCTTGCTTTTAAGTACCGGTAAGAGAGAAACTAAGAAAAGTATTCCAGTAGAAGCCATAAGGATTTTACCAAGTTATAAGAAATAACATTTTACAAATTTTAGCACACTATCCTCCATCAACCTTAACACTAAACTTACATGAAACAATTTTGGAATTCACATTAGTAAGGCGATCACTCTCATAATACATATACTGTAAACAAATGAAATGAGAATAAAAATATTTCAAATCAACTATCTGCTTTGTTTGTTTGTTGTTTAACATCCCTCTCGAAAAGTTTTTACTCATATGGAGACACCAACACTTGAAAGTGGAGGACTACAAATTTAGACCTATACCCGGCACTTAGGGCCATTGAGCAGTGAGGGATCTTATTCGTGCCAGCACCTACTGCGACACGGCCGGGACCTCGGTTTATACGGTCTCATCCGAAGGACCGGTCTCCATGTCCCGCAATGAGATTCGAACCAGTGAAATAAGGATCAACTCTTTACTCCGCGACTCTAGAGCAGACGCTCTAACCAATGTGCCACGCGGGCTCAACTTTTTGTAACAAAGTGTAATTTACTCAGTTTTTTAGTCCCCTACCGGTGAAACCGGAGGGGACTATAGGTTTCCTCTGAGTCTGTCCGTCCGTCTGTCTGTCTGTCTGTCCCTCTGTCTGCCTGTCTGTCCCTCTGTCTGTCTGTCAGTCCGTCCCACTTGGTTTTCCGCACTTTTTTCCTAAACGCTTGCAGATATTGAGCTGATTTTTGGTATGTGAGTGTATCTTGATAAGTTACAGATCAAGTTTGCATTTCGTTTCGCTTCATTGATTTTTGACGGAATTATGGCCTTTTTAATTTTTAGGGGTTTTCCGCAATTTTCTTCTAAACGCTTTCAGATATTGAGCTGATTTTTGGTATGTGACTTTACCTTGATTAGTTATAGATCAAGTTTGCATTTCGTTTCGCTTCATTGATTTTTGACGGAATTATGGCATTTTCAATTCTTAACGGGAACCAGATTACACTTGCCGGTAGGGGACTAGTATTGCTAATGCAATACTCTCAGAATGCTTGTTTTTCTTGTATTTTTCTCATGTTTATATATGTAAATGTATACAGTTAAAAAAAATCTAACCTAAGGTCATCAGAAAGACCCGTGACTTTCACTTTGGCGAAGGAACAGTCAAAAAAAGTTTGAACCCGGACCTTCCGACCACGAAGCGAACGCCCTACCACTAGGCTACCGCGACCTGTAGATATCAAAAGATGTTAGTACCATGTATGCTTGTTTATTATTCACGTTCTGCATGACTTTACTTGTATTATGTTACAGCATGCAACACAGAAAGTACAGAAGACTTTCTCAAATGTAGTTTCTTCTCTTCTGTTGTCCTGGAAAATGCCCGAATCAAACACCACTAAAATTTTGCATTTTTAAAAATATTTTTGTCTGCAATTTTAAGCGTATGTTTGAGAAAAACTAATTAGGTTACTTTAAACATACAATGTACTACTAGTATTTCAAGTTCAGGAATGTCCTCCCATAAAACGATTATCTTTTAAAGAAATAGGTTAGTTGTTTCAACTTATTTATGTGCAATAAATATCTAAAACTCTTTAGTCTGGTATTAAACAAAATTTATACATATCTATTGATCAATGGCACTACCTTCCAAGAACAGTAGCTATTAAATGAAATTCTATTTACATTACGTAACTTATATATGTATAGCCCTCTTATGAAGTCGATCCATAGATATATCGACTTCTAAGAAAAGCATCTTGATCTTGCACTTCATGATCTTTTGATATGCTTTTTCTGTGAAGTCGACCATATTGATGTGTTAATCGAATTAAAGGGCTACCTTTGTTATAATATTTGGGGGTGAAGGGGGGGGGGGCAAAAACGAGACAGGTCTTAATCGTAGATTTTATATGTTTTATTCACATTCGCTTTTAATGTATATGTAGGGAAAAAAATTGGATTTTACTGATCTTAAGAATCTCAAGTCTTAAAGATAAAATGCAATTAAACAAACCAATATTAATCAGAGTTATTAAATAACAAAGGAGAAAATAAATACATATATCAGTTGGGGATATTTAATGTTTAGAAGTTGTTAGCAGCAGAGTTATTCACTTCTTATTATTTGACAATAAATATTGGCTTCATGTAAAATGTCTTCACTGAAACGAATATGAGACTTTGATATACATGCGAGAACACTTATCTGATTATCAGGAGGGTTTTGTATCATAAATCATGTAAAACTGTTGGGTGTGTGTGATATATAAATAAGGGGCACAGGAGAGAGAAATGTTTAAAGGATAAATCAAAAGTAGGTAGGACTCATCATACAATTCATATTTTATTTCTTTTGTATCACTAAAGAGGCTGGGGGGTTGTGGCCATTTTTAGACTTTATTGATCTCCTTTAGAAGAAGAGCTCCATATGAAGATATAGAAAATGATCAAATTTTAAAACTAAAATTTTTGAAATTTTTCTTTGCCAAATGATAGTTGACAGCTTAAGATATCATATCTAAAAAATTAAGTTAAATCTGGTGGTTAATTTGTGGTTAATTTGTTGACCCCCCAGCCTCCTTAAACATTTTCAGATTTTCTACAGTAATAGATTGTATCTGAAAATCTTATATATACTGTAATAATTTTAGTTAAGTTATGGGTAATATAACATAAAACAATCAATTTTATAAAATAATTTGTTTCTAATTAATTTAAGGGCCTTTAAATCAATTCAGAGATGACAAGTTTGCAATCAGGAGATTTTCATGGTATGTTAAGCAGTATCAAGAATAAAAAAAGAAGAAACTATAAATTAATAGAATTCATCATTGTTAAGAGATATGTAAACACATCTTTTACAAATTAATATAGTGAATAAAGTTGAGAACCTAGTATTCGGTGGAGGTGGAGCAAAGGGCGTTGCCTATATAGGAGTTATTGAGGTAGAGTATTAAGTTTGATATCTATTTTTTAATTACTCAGTCATAAACAATCAAAGTTTTGTTTACAATTCTATAAGAAAAAAAGTTATTTAGTAATTTGTTGAAAGGGTAATTAATCAGAAAATGCAAAATAGAGTGGGTACTGCATTATTAAATACGTAGTTAAACTAATTTTTGTCGCCTGTGATAGAAGACTAAGAGGAAACATGAAAGTACATTGTAGATGCAAATTAGCCCTTGCTTTAAAAAGATATACTTGTATGTTTACATTGTCAGGGGAACGTTAGTTTTCAAAGTCGATCAAGTTCTAAGTCAAAAAGTAATTTTAAGCTTTTTGTCAAGAAATCCAAGAAATGCTACATTTTAAGAGCATATTTTTAGAATCAAAAAGTTACAGGGTGTGACAGGAACACACACACACACACACACACACACACACACACACACACACACACACACACATATATATATATATATATATATATATATATATATATATATATATATATATATATAGACACACACACCTGGACGGACAGACAGATCGACGGATATATTCAGACATACAAAACAAAACATGCTTTTGCATTATTAATTTACTTTCTATCCGATGCATGATATTTTAGAAATTTTTTTTAACAGAAAATTTAATTTGAACAGGTTTTGGAGCAGGTTAACATATTGCCAAATGTGAAAAGATTTGCAGGAACTAGTGCTGGGTCCATAGTTGCTTCGCTTCTCGCCCTGAAATGCCCAGTACCAGATATCCAAAAATACATGAGAATTAACTTTGACTATTTACTGAAAGGTAATATTAATTCTTTAATTCTGGAATCACTGTGTTTCATTAGGTTTAATTTTTGTGGACTTATTGATTATGCTCACGCATGATTTACAATATCAACAAATTTTGATGTCTAGACTAACTTTTGCTCACAATACGAGATCCCCATGAAACTCTAAAATATAACGTTATTAAAAGTCTAGTCTCTAGTGTAAGCACCCCAAGTATAAATGGCTCTCATGCATAAAATTCAGCTTGTTGAAAAGAAACAATTTGAAAGATAATGAAGCGATAAAAAAGCTGGATCTTTTATAAATTTTGAAATATTATTAAAACTGGTTAATCGGATAATAAGAATTATGAACAATGATGTAAGCAATAAATACAATTGTAAGGGTTATATAAAAGAAATGGTAACTAACCATAATCCAAGATGGACAGATGCTCAGAGAAAAAGCAATGAAAAGTTTTGGATTTTGTATTTAGTTTGTTGTGCAAAAGTGGAGCAACTAAGTACTGCAAAGTAAATTATCAATCATGAATATAAGAACTCAATATTGCAAAAGTCGTAATACCTTTTCTTTACGCCCTTGCTTAGTAGCAGAATATACATTTACAAAATGTGCATAAGATTAATTCAAAAAAGTATGTTAGTTTAAAAAGTAATACATTTGCTTTCATTTTAGATCAGCTCCTTTATAAAGAATTGTGTTAATAAATATGTTCTCTTCAACACATCAACCACTTTCATGACACAATTACATTGCCTGGTAATTAACTTTCCAAAGTTCTGTTAAAATCTAGATTGCTGCTGTGGACTATGTAGCTGTAATCAAGCTTGTTGTTGTGCCTGTCCTTGTTGTTGCTCATGCTGGCTTGGTTGTCTGGATCGCATCAGCTCGTGCTTTTTGACAACTTGTGGTATCTGCAATCTTCTTTGCAGAGTTTGCTCTTGTAGAAGTGTGTCATTTGGAATGTACACTGGGGATAAATTCAAAACTTGGCTCGGGAATAGATTCAAGGAGCTTGGTTTCTCAAGCAAAGTCACCTTTAAGGAGGTAAAATGTGTAGATGTGATTTCTGAGTAATTTCTGAAAATATCGATGGATTTACATCTAGACAAATACATTTTAAACATTTGCTCAATTGTAATTGAACATGAAAACACTTACAATAATTTATTGGAATGTGTTTTGCAAATGCTATACTAAAGACATTTGAATTTAGTACTTTTGGTAATAATGAATCAGACTAAAAGATATTTGATTCTCTTGTAAGTATTTTTAATTTTTTTTTTAATTTGGTCAAAAACATAATCATATTAATGTTTTGTATATGTTTATTAAGTTGTACGAAAAGAACGGGAATGAGTTGTGTATAGTTGTGACCAACATCAGCACACAGATAGAGGAATATTGTCACGTAAAGACAACACCAGACATGGAGATCAGACAAGCCGTCAGAATGTCTATGTCCATTCCAGGTATTTTAGTCTTTAAACCCCCCCCCCCCCCTCCTTTTTGAACATATTTTACAGTACAATAATATTTCCAAATGGAATAAGGAACTAAAAACTCCTAAAAAAAAATGAGTGTTCCCATTAAGCAGAAATTTTAGCGAGGATTCAAATTAGACATTTTTATTGAGGGTGTTGAGGTCCCTAAAATTAAATATCGCTAACAATTTATTCCGTATTAGAGGTCACCGTTATCTCTCTATGCACCATAAATTCGCTAAAATTACATTTAAATTATAATTTATAAATATAAGTATATAAATTACAATTAAATAGTTTGAATAAAACACCTAAACATACCGGAAGAAGGATAAATGTCTCTCAAAGTCGATTGAAGAAGTAAGTTTCTTCAACGGAATGTTCTTTATTCTGAAAATATGAATGATAACAAAAAAGTTACATAAGGGATAATCGAATAAAGTAAACGACTTAAATGAATCGTTCAAGTAATGATTAAGAATGAATCATGTAATTGTCAAAAACTTAGCATATCAATCTGGATTCTTTTCTAAACTAATTCTGGATAATAAACTTAATAAACACTATCATTTTATTACTTCTGACTTGAGCAAATAAAAAAGTTTAACATCCTCATTTCGAATTTCAATAAAATTTAACAAAAACCATTTGAAATGGCGTATCTGTATTTCTTGTCATTTTCAGTGGTTTTTGAAGACGTACGAATGATAAACGTCAGTTCTGGTAGAGAAGCGGTATATATTGATGGTGGATTGTTATGTAATTACCCAATATTCTGCTTTGATGGTAATTCTTTTTTCATTTGCTTTTTAATGAATTAATTACAACGAAAGTAATAATAATACATGTATTTATCATTTGCTCAAAGTTCTTCGTTACTTTTTAAACATTACAGGATGGTGGCTTTCAATGAAACCAGAACACTCTTTCTTCAGAAAGCTAACAGATATAGAATCAATGCCAGAAAAATACGATGGAAGATTTAAACCAGAAAAACACGAAGATTTGTTTAAAACACTTGGATTCGTATTGGTAAAACTCCTAATGTTCTTTATGTTGTTAGCTTTATTTAGGCCAAAGCTCAAAAAGTCTCGATAGATTCAATTGTCTTCCATAATGGATAAAATATCTTTTAAAATATTCTTCTATATTTAAAACAACATGCAGCATTTAGTCACAATTCAAACTGATGTGCAATCACATCGATGTAGATATTATCATTGAAATATAATAAAATCATGGCCACAAAACTTAGATGGATCAAACTTTAACACAGAAATATATTGTATATTTCTTCTGAATAGCAATGCTACTACAGTACGAGTATATGAGCTATATTAATATAGAACAATCGATATCCCCATACAATGAATATTCAAATTTGGTTCAATCGCATTTTATAAGGCTATATTCTGTCATAATTATCAATGCAGACCAAGGGAAATTATTTACTGTTAAAATAGTCACAAATACCAGAAGGATTTATGTAAATCCAACAAAAATGCAATGTTAGTTGTAATTCATATTTGCTTCAATTATGGGTCCGTATGATTGATTGATTGATTGTATGTTGTTTTACGTCCCGTTCGAGAATTTTTCACTCATACATAGACGTCACCATATACCGGCGAAGGGCTTCAAATTTAGTCCTTTACTCGGCACTCAGGGTCATTGAACAGTGGGGGTTCTTTATCGTACCAACGCCTACAGTGACACGGGGCCTCGGTTTTTACTCATCCGAAGGTCCCGCCACTTTCACTTTAAAGTGCCAAGCGCATGGCGAAGGAACAGTTGCTACCTATTTTTTTTATCGACTTAGGTCAGTCACGACCGTGATTCGAACAGACGACCTTCTGATCACGGAGCGAGATCCGTATGATTGAGTTGCAATTATAGTATTTCAAAGTTAAATAAAAGACGAACATTTAAAAAAGCTTCCGGAATGGGGTAAAATGGCTACTGTAACTCTTATTAATGAGGAAACACCAATGTAGTGAATATTAACATTTGTTAAAGACTTGTCTTGCCTGGGGTAGGGTAGGTCAACAGAAGTGTGTCAAAGTTTCATAAAGGAAATGGAAAATTTAAATCTTTAAATAAAGTTTTTTTTATTTAAAAAAAACAAGTTTAAACAAAATTGCCCTCACCTAAATTACAAAGTCATGAGCAACAATGAAATATATGGAGATAACGAACAGTAATCAAACTTAAAGGTGCATTGAAACAATAGAAATCGGAAGGAGAGCAAACATTGACCTCTGAAAAACATCAGAGATGGGATCAGGTGTCATGGAGGAGTGTGCATCCCCTGTCGACCAGTCACACCCCCGCCATGTGCTCATAGTCATGGTCGGGCAAACGGAAAAATCAAGAGACAATCCAGAGTTTAAATAATGACCTAATAATTAGTATGAAAAACATCAGTCAGCATTTGACTTAATGATAGAGTGTATTTCATAACAAGGTCGCTGATTTCAATGACTTTGGATTTGTTTGGGATAGCATGAGGAAATTTTGTCAGAAATTAGCTGAAGTGAGACTCAGATGAGCGAGGTGGTCCATTGGTCTCTTATGGTATCGGTTTACGAAATTAATTAGAAAACTAAAGTTGCCTGCGATTGAGAGACTTGTTAAATTGCAGTTTGGTGACAAGGAAAGTGAATTATATCGGAGACAATTCATTGGAAAACCAGGCATAAACAAAATTCAAACTACCATAACAGAGCAGCCAAGTGATGTGGGCAACCCAGAAAAAGATCCTGTTGATGGAATTTTTAAAAACATTGAGACCAGGCTGAAAAGGTACACTTGCTCGATTTGTTTCTTTATAAACGATTACGAAAAACTGAACTTATATGCTGTCATAACGTTTAATAAGTGTTTACATGTGTTTATCCTTACTTTTTTTTCAAAGAACAACGACTTTGTCACTCGGTTTGTAGATAAATGATTTCCAGTCAATACATGTATATCTTTAGAACATTTCTCAATGTAGCTTTATATACAAATTGACTTTGAAAAGATCATGAGCGAAAAAGTTGAACAGTTGAAACTGACCTGATGCACGAACTTTTCATGGCGCACCTATTATTTGTAGATTAATGACTAAAGGGATCAATTTATACACAGGGTGGTCATAATGTATTTATTAACTCTATTGATTTTAAAGTTGAGTATCAAGGTTGACCAACATGTTCCAAGATATATTTATATCAAATGTCAATGTCTTCAGAATCCCTTCCTTAATAGCACATATTTGGCTACATCACAATAATCGTTATTAAGATATGGTGTATGAGAAATGTGAATGCTTTTTAAAAAAAATTGTTCTAGAAAATTTGTGGCCTTGAACAAAGCCGACAAAGACACAAGTGAGAAATATTTGATGGAGTTTTTGGAGGTAAATATGTATCTATATATACGTTGTTTACATTCCAAAGTAGCAACAATGGTCAGTAATATTACAGAAATACAAATGTGTGTGTGTGTGAGAGAGAGAGGGGTGTGTGTGTGTGTTTGTGTAAGGTTATGTGTTATTTTTTATAAAAGAAGTAGAAATCTATATAAAAGTATATTCACTGAATTAACTGATTCCAATTGTTCCAATATTTATATTGCTAATTGATTGATAATGACACTATCACATATATGGCACAAATACGTATTACATTAAAAGAAGGGTAAGAAAAATGTTTACCATGTGATTGCAAAAGTACCGCACTTTTTGTCATCATGCACTGCTTATGTACATCTATGTGTCTAAATTACATATATCCTGATACTTTTACTGTCAATGTATTTTGAAGTTTGTTGCCGATAAAGAAGAAAATGAAAAATTAGAAAAAACAACCTTTATTGCTGAACTTCAAGTGGTATGTAAATTAGTGAATAAGGCAAAGCTTTTCACTTAAGTAGGGGTATATAGGACTTAGGAGGAGTCTGATGTCTTAGAGAGTATCATAATAAAGCATATATACAAAGCTTATTTTAACTTGTCTATCATTTGAATAACTATACATTCTTACGTTAGATGAATAAAAGTAAAAAAAAATATATTCATTTACATGTTACGCATAATTCCATTTCATGAAATTTCAGTCCAGTTTATTCAAGCATAACTGCAATTGATAATTTCATAATTACAAGTGTGTAAAGTTTTTTTTCGGTCGGCTAAATTCTGCTCATTTTAAAAGAAAATATTATGAATTGAACATATTTTATTGAAAAAGTGAAAAGGATAAGACAAGTTCTATATATGACACGCCAAATTCACAAAAATTTGAAAGAAATAGTTTAAATGCAGATAAACCAGGTTTATCGATTGTAAACTATAGTTTACGAACCATAAACTACAGTTAACGATTCGTTAACTATAGCTTTCATCTGTAAAACTATATTTAACAGTTGTAAACTATAGTTCACAAATGCTAATCGACGTTTCTCTATCTGTAAATAAACATTAACAATAGATTTAGCTAAAATTCTTTTCAGTTGCCGACATATAATTTTTAGAGTGTAGGTAGGTAGGCTTTTTTTAAATTAAGTTTTCAGATATTTGTTAGATAACAAATAATAGAGCTTTTCATAGGCCCACTAAACAAGAATAAGCTCCACTCTTGTAATAAACCACTGATTGATAAAAACAAAAATTGAATACGAAACGATTTCAATATCCTGAAAAAAAAAATAAAAAAATAAAAAAAAAAGATTACAAAATGGCTTAAAAAATTGGGTTGGTGCATTTTCAGTGGGTCGGTAGGCAATTGCAAACAAACAAATTTTTATTTTAGGCCTGATAGATGTAGATTTTCATTTGTAAACTATAATTTACATTTCTTAACCATAGTTAAGAGTTAACACCGGTAATTATTCTTTAAGACATAAATTATGATTAACATATGTCAATCATAGTTTATCGTCATAAACTATAATTCACACCCGTAAACCATAGTTAAGAGTTGTTAAATATAGTTTATGAATCTAAACACCTGTTAACGATAGTTTTCGTGATCAATTCAAAATCTGGCAGAACCAATTGCAAGAAGCAATACAAGATGTGTGTCATTGCCATAAGTTCTAAAAAGAGAGACAAATCCTGCATGCATCATAAAAGCGGTATCATGCTGTAAATTTTGAATTTACTAGTGGGAGGTAAATGCATAATTTACAACATGTTGTAAATTTTATATTTACCTCCCCTAGTAAATTCAAAATTTACATCATGATAGCAGAATTAATTTCTTTTCTTGATATCAAGTCAAGCTTTTAGCGACTCGTTTGATACCAGAAATACTCATCCATAGTTACCTGATCTAAGACACTAGTGGTTGAAAAGATGGGCATTATTAGCGATGGTGTTGAGATCGCTAAAATTGAATATCGCTAAAAATTAATTGCGTATCTGTAGTAATAGCTTCTCTTCTTGGCATTCTAAAATCGCTAAAATTACTTCTCGCTAAAAATATATACCAATTTTTAAGGAAAACTGCTAAATTTGTGTCTCGCTAAAATTCCACTTATACGGTATGGTAAGCTAATATTTGTGATTTTGGCATGCCATATCTTTACCTAAGTAGTCTTCTCCTTATAAAGAAATTATGAAAATTGCCATAATACAAGTACAAATATATGGTCTTTAACAAATACATTAGAAGTGTCCAGAACTAAAAATTCTTGATATGCAGAATGTAGTACCTTATAAAAACTAGGATTTTTTTAAAAAGAAAATCTACCTCATTGTTATTATGCTATTTATTACCGTCGTTTGTTTGTATGTTGTTTAACGTCCCTCTCGAGAATTTTTCACTCATATGGAGACGCCACCACTTGCCGGTGGAGAGCTGCAAACTTTGTCCTATACTCGGCACTTACGGCAATTGAGCAGTGCGGGATCTTTTTCGTGCCAGCACCTACTGCGACACGGAACCTCGGTTTATACGGTCTCATCCGAAGGACCGGTCTCCACGTCCCACAGTGAGATTCGAAACCGCGACGTAAGGATCAACTCCTTACTCCGCGACTCTGAAGCAGACGCTCTAACCACTGCGCCACGCAGGCGACTATTACCGTCGTAAGTCCAACTTAAACTGTGGTCTTGGACTTAAACGCCGAGATTTTTCCCCGGTTGGTAAAGACCTTTTATGTAACGACTTCCTGATTTCTGAATATAACTGTCTTTTTATTTAGGAGATCTGCTTTAGAAATTGAAGTGGTTCTGTTTTCTTATCAGATTCTTTACTTGATTTAGTTTAAAGACAGTAATGAAGTTGCTTTCGCTGCCTTATTTGGATATAGAACTCCGACACAAGTATGGAAATACTTAACACAAAGGAAAGGGGACAAGGTATCATTTCTAAAATAACTTGCAGTTTCAATCTGGTAACACATTGATATAAATGTACAGGTATATCATTACTCCTTGTCTTAATTTGTTGAAACATTATGTTCTCTTTGAAAAAAGTGAAATGTTCTCAATTCTATTTAGCTGTTCATAATCATGTGTTCATTTGCATGTATACATGATATTCCTGCTGCAAACTACCTCATTTTGAAATCAATAATACAATTTTTTATGCCCCTGTATCGAAGATTCGGGTGTGTATAGTTTTTGCCCTGTCCGTCCGTCTGTCTAGCTGTCTGTCTGTTTGTCCACAAAAACTTGAACATTGTTCATTACTTTCGATTGGTTGGAGCACTGGATTTCAAATTTCACATGTGCATTCCTTGTGACAAGACCTTTTATTGGGACAATCATATTTGACCTTTTGACCTTGACCTTGGAGTTTGACCCAGTTTTACAAAATTTTACCCAACTTTAACCTTGGCCATAACTTTTGAACAGTTGGTGCTATGGCTTTCATACTTCACATGTATAATCCTTTTGACAAGACTTTCCTTTGGACACCAACAACTTTGACCCTTGGCCATAACTCTTGAACGGTTGGTGCTAGGGCTTTCTTATTTCACATATCACATATGTAATCCTTGTGCCAAGACCTTCCCTTGGATACCAATAACTTTGACCCTTTGACCTTGGAGTTTGACCTACTTTTGAAAAACTTTAACCATGGCCTTATCTTTTGAACGGTTGGTGCTAGGGCTTTCATATTTCACATGTGTATTTCTTGTGAGAAGGCCTTTCCTTGGGCACCATTAATTTTAACCATTTGACCTTGACCTTGATGTTTGACTTACTTTTGAAAAACTTTAACCTTTTCCATATCTTTTCTATAGTTGCTGCTAGGACTTTCATATTTCACAGGTATATTTCTCGGGACAAGACCTTACTTTGGGTACCAACATGTTGGATTTGCATTTGAGAAAGTTTAACCTTCGCTATAAGTTGCCATACGGGGGCATCAGTGTTTCACAAACACATCTTGTTTTCTGTGAAACAAAATGGACATCCTACCGTTAGATATATAATTTTGGGGGAAAAAAATATGGTAGAGCCTAGGAATATTCATTTTCAATTGAAATTTAATTTCTTATGCATAGTTGGAATTTGAGGACATTAGTCGGTTCATCACAAAGACGACAGGATACAGTGTAGACCAATGGTACAGTGGTTTCTCTTACAAACCATGTAAAACAACAAAAGAATTCTTCAGCTCTTTAACTAGTACACTGATTACAAATTCCAGTCGAATTCATTTAAGGGTAACTATTCAAAATTATTTTTATTTCATTAATATATTTTAATCGATAATTTAAATCATATTGCTACTTTGATTTGAATGCTAGTTTGTTTTGTATCTAAATTCATATGGAAATTAAACTTAAGATTGCTTTTGGTTTTAGGCTTTGTGTAGGCTTTCAGGTTCTTAGATATTTTTCTATTCAATTCCTTGTCTTAATCCATTTAATTTAGACGTTAACGGTAAGGAAAAGCTAAATTTAGCAATCATTCTTTTGAATGCTTCTTTTCTATGGAGAACAAAGAATTTGATATTAATGTTTTGTTTTTCAATATATATCAGAGCACATGTTTATTTCTTGAACGATGTTCAAAGACAACCAAAAAAAAAAAAATTCAGTTTGTGTTTCTCCCCCCCCCCCCCCTCTTTTATCTATCTACTTTATTTTTTAACAGGACACAGATATCCCCAGAACAGTTGGAATAAACACAAAATACATCACAGCTCTCGACTTTGACATGGAAGAGGATGACAAAAATTTACTGGTTCAAGTATTCTATCCTTTTGTATTCTTTCATCATTACAACATCCTTGATGTCCCCTTTCCTTTTCAAAAATAATCATTATATGTATTTGTTTAAATATTTATGCTAATTGTCATTTCAGTGTGGAAGAAGTGCATTGATTGAATTTTTGGGATCTTTTGGCGAAAACTGTGCAAAGGAAACGGGAAAGAGTTAACTACATTGACTTTCAGTGACTTTTGATATAACATTTTATATTTTATATAGTGTGTTGACTTATGTATATTGCAAGTAATATATTTTGTAAAATGTAACATGGGGTGTCATTTAGAAAGATCAGAATTAAACAATGATTACATTTTACCAGATTATTTCCAATTATTTTTGACCTAATTACCTTGACCTTGGAGTATGACTCACTCTTGTAAAATTTTACCAAACTTTAACCTTTAAAGTTTGGTAAGGTCTTTCTTGTGATAAGACCTTTCCTTGGGTACAAATAGTTTTGACCTCTTGACCTTGGAGTTTTACCCACTTTACAAAAACTTTAACGTTGGCCATAACATTTGAACGGTTGGTACTAGGGCTTTCATATTGCACATGTGTATTCCTTGTGACAAGTCCTTCTATTGAGTACCAATAAAATTGACCATTTGACCTTGACCTTAGAGTTTGACCTACTTTTGAAAAAACTATAACCTTAGCAATAACTTTTGAATGGTTGGTATTACGGCTTTCATATTTCACAGGTGTATTCTTTGTGAAAAGCCCTTTCCTTGGGTACCAACAATTTTGATTTGTTTACCTTGACCTTTGAGTCTGACCTACTTTTAAAAAACTTAAACCTTGGCCATAACTTTTTAACAGTTGGTGCTAGGGCTTTCATATTTCACAGGTGCAGTCCTTGTGACAAGTCCTTCTCTTGGGTATGTAAAATTTTTACCCTTTGACCTTGGACTTGGAGTTTGACCTACTTTTGATAACTTTAACCTTTGCAATAACTTTTGAACAGTTGGTGCTAGGGCTTTCATATTTCACATACATGTGCATTCCTTGTGACAAGACCTTCCTTTGGGTACGAACAATTTTGATTTGATTAATTCATTACAGGTTTGATCATTTGACTATTAAAAGGTTTAAATCGTATCTTTATAGCAGGATGCAATTTGTAAAAATTGGAACATGTGTTTCGAATATCCTACCCGTCACAGCAGGAGTGCCGCAGATTCATTTTGGGACCGCTTTTATTTTTATTGTACATAATGACCTTCCATTACATGTAAAAAAAAAAAAAATCAAAAGTTGATATGTTTGATGATGTTTTAACTCTTCATACTAACAATCATAATCCAAAATGTCTAGAAAATGTGTTGAACTCAGATATTTGTGAAATTGAAAAATGGTGCTCTCAGAATCAAACGGCATTGCATGTAGATAAAACAAAACGTATGCTAATGGGCACACAGCAGAGAAAATCCAAACTAATCAATCCAAATTTACAACTGTATGCTTCAGACAAAACAATTGAGATGGTTGAGACTGAGAAACTTCTAGGTATACATATTGATGATGAATTACAGTACTCTGTTCATGTAGACTCAGTTTGCAAAACCTTAAACTACAAGTTATTTACATTACACAAGAAAAAAAATTCTTCCTTACATAGGCTACCAGAAAACTGTACAACAATACATATATTCTACCTTCTATTAATTACTGTTTGGGGAAATTCACCCGAAAAAAACAGTATTGAAAGAATAAAGGGCTGCCAGGATTATTCTCGATGCATTCTTCTTCTAAACCATTGCCTGAGAAACTTGGCTGGCTGACAGTTTATGAGCTAGTTGATCTATACAAATACATTTTATTATTTAAAATATTCAATGGTATGACTCCTGAATATCTTTGCGAGTTATTTGAATTTCACTCTTCAACTTCTTATAATCTGCGATCTGAATCAAACTACCATCTTAGATTACCAAAATTCCGTACAAACTGAAACATATTCAAGGACTCTTTTCAGTAATCAGGTGTACAATATCTATGGAACAAACTACCACAACAAATCAGACACAAGCTTTAAAATGTAAGGTAGAAAATTACATTGTTATATTGTTGTTATATAAATCATATTTCATTTTACAATTTATATTTAAATACTTGTATTTTTGATTGTTTCTTATTTATCGTGCCAGGATATGTAGTTGTAATCGGACAAAGACAAACTCTGTATTCACACTATCATAAGATCTGCAATGTGCCAATTTGTAGTGCATGCACTAACCAGGTAACCTTCTTCAAATAAAGTATTATTATTATTATTACTATTATTATTATTATCCCTAATTACATGTATGTGATTGATTTTCTTAAAGAGAGAGGGGGAGAGGGAAAGATGTATCCGGAAAAATATTTCTCTCCTGTAGAGAGCTCTAATATTACATGAAATTATTCAGTGCGAGACTGCCACTGTTGTATTATGGCAGACGAAATGTGTCGGAGCCACGTCAGATCGAAAAGTCACTAAATCAGGATATGTATCTATTTAAAGATGAAGTCTTCCGTTTATCCTACAACAGTACACGAGTGGATGAACGCCATTCGCCGTCCAACGCCATATCGTGTTGGCAATGCCCGTCTCCATGTGAAAACTCGCACTCTCGTGTATGCTGTTATGTTCATTTCAGCTGCTTTTATTTTAATTATATTTATGTTCCCATCTCATAAAGTCCCAAGAATGACCTGCATGGATGAGGGTATTCACCACGAAACAAATTACGATTACACGTACCCACTGTCACCTCTAATAAAAATTGGGGATGGGTTTCTGTTTAAGATTGGATTGATAGCCGATTTGGACCAAAGGTCTAAGAGTGATAAGAAGAAGAATACTTGGATAAGTTATTTATACGAAGGTAATTTGACAATCTCACAGACACATGACTACGCAGACTTTGAAATGGACAGGAAACCATATACACTGACATCATCATTTTCACAAGGAGGAAGAGGAATGGAATTATCAGAACTATTGGTGTTTGATGGGAAGTTATGTGCAGTGGATGACAGAACAGGAGTTGTTTATCACATTTTCAACAGAAAAATGGTTCCTTGGGTTGTTTTAGCTGATGGCAATGGAAATAGTCCCAAAGGTGATAGAGTTCATTAAAAATAAAATTTACATAACACAGTGCATGTAATCTAAAAGTTCCTTCCAAAAATTTGCTGGGTTTTCACAAAAACTTAGGTGCACTGATAGAGTCACTTGCGCACTCCCATACCTATCATCCCTTCTGAATTGAAAACACAACAGTGACAACATTATTAAGCGAGTAAGAATGCTTCCCATACACCCACAATGTGGCAGTTAAAGTTGCAGAATAGTTTCAAAAGATTTTGGAGAAAGCAAAATAATGAATTTGCATTAAAAAGAACTACCAAACTAATCATAACAAACCTTTTTGAGATTGTGGATATCTTCCGACCCCAAAAATTTATCCATAAAACATGATATAATGAAATTCAACACATTTTCTTTATTTATTTCTTCAAATTGATCTGCCATCATGCCCATGTTGACATCAAGTCACATTTGGAACTCTCTGAATTGTTCATAGTATAATCGTGCATTATTTTGAGTTAAATTATCACCCTTGTTTATTTTGCTAAATTGCCAATACACAGAATGTATTCTATCATTAAACCCGGGGTGCATAGGACCTGTCATTTTAACGATGGAACATTCAATCTAGGGAGCATGGGTAACAGTGGTAGGGAGTGAAAATGAGTGAGCGTGGAGTTACAGGCATTGTCAAATACCCATGAGGTGATGAGTAAAAGACGAAATAACCCGTAGGTATCCAATGACGAGTTGCAAATTTAAGGAAGAAGAGTAATATTCGACCTGCACTGTCTTTCACTTGCATTCTTGCTCCTTCATAGCTGTTACACCATAAAAGAATAGAAAATTTGAAAAGGTGTTGTCAAATTACACGTTTTAAAGTTTTGTATAAATACCTGTGATACATGTTGGGATTGAGGAATTTTAGAGGAAAATGTGTATGTTTTAACTGATGAAATTTGGAAAGTTAAAGCCACAAAGAAATTTTTTTTACATTATTTAGTTCAATCAGTCTTATCATTTTCTAAGATACACATGTATTAGAAATAACACCCTCGCCATGCTCACTGAATTTGCTAGTCAAGTGAAACAAAAATTAAAACTATTGGTTATGGCTATGTTAATTTAGAGAATTATAGACATGTGCATGAAATGCTACGTAATGGATTAATTAAAGCTACAGTGCAATTGATTTAATTATGACATTGGAGGATACTATAGTTTAGCTGTTAGTTTATAAATTAGTGTTAAAAATATTTGTGTAAACTGTACATGTATAATTATCGTGAAAACTGTAACTGAACTAAAATACTCTGTATTTCACATATATTGCATTAAGTGATTAACGTTTATGTTTACTTGAAAATTTTTATGTCATTCGAAAACATAAATACATGTATGTATTTCTTTTAATTCAAATCAATATAGTCCATCCTTGCATTGGTGGTGTACATTTCTTCTTATAAAAGCTCACTAGAATCCAAATTTGTGTTATGCTATGAAACTTTAGAGCATTGTCATGGATCAAAACATCAAAGTTACTGGCATGTATGAGTTAAAATACACCTTAAGGCTTATTTTATATACCAGTATATTGCATTAAGTTTTATATTTAGCTGAAAAATTTTATGTCGTAAAAAATTATGCAATTTCACCAGGTAATTTAGTCCAACCTTGCATTGTTGGTGTACATTTCTTCTTTTAAAGTCTAGACCAATTTTGGTTTGTGATATGTTAATAGCATCGATCAACACATCAAACTTCCCAAATGCGTGGTCTTACAAAGGGTCAGAATAATTTTTTGGAAATGATTTAAATAAGTCATTGATTCACAGCTTTTAATATTTTGAGTTGCAGAGGTTAAAGTGATGGCTGATAAGTCTTGTGCCAAATTTCCAATGGAAATAATATTAATCAGATTAAAATGAATGAAATGTGATATTTTGAAGGATAGAAGCACCACAATTACATTTATCTTTTAAGGATTCAAAAGTGAATGGGCCACAGTGAAGAACAACAGGATGTATGTTGGAGGTTTAGGAAAGGAATGGACATCTGTTAATGGTGTGGTGGAAAATTTGAACCCTCAGTGGGTCAAGTCCATTGGTCCAAGAGGAGATGTCCGGCACGAGGACTGGCATCAATACTACAATAAAATGAAAGAGGCAGCAGGCATTAAATTCCCAGGTTTGATGACTTTTATAGAACAGGCAGTTGCTAAAACTTAGGCTCTGACATTTGCACAACTTTGAATTTATCATAGACATTTATCTAACTAACATTATTTTAGGACTCTTGAAATGAAAGTTTAATAATAAAATTTATGTACACTATATATGAATGAATATCTAGTCCTAGAAAATTTGTTTTTACCAACAGTAAGCATTTAAAATACTGGTTATATCAGTCTTTTTAACATTGTGTATAATATATCTATATTGATGATTCTTGTAAATTGTGAAAGATGCCATTTCAAAAGAATTTCAGTTTTCTTAAGCCATGATATGAAATGAAAACCTTCCTATCTAGGTTACATAATTCACGAGTCAGGAGTATGGAGTGATTTCCATCAACGATGGTTTTTCCTGCCACGGAGATCAAGTCACTTCAGCTACAATGAAAATGATGATGAAAAGAGAGCTACAGATTTGATGTTCATTGCTAATGAAGGATTCACAGAGGTTAAAGTGAAACATGTAGGAGAATTAAGTCAGACTAGGGGCTTCTCCTCATTCAAATTCATTCCACAAACTAATGACCAAGTAATTGTGGCACTCAAATCAGAGGAGGTGTCAAATAAAATAGCTAGTTATTTAACAATTTTTAAAATTGATGGACAAATTTTACTAAAGGAAAGGTATATAGGAAATGTGAAATATGAAGGCATAGAGTTTATATGACATATCATATTATGTATTTTGTTTAATTTTTGATGTGTAAATAAATGATGAATGCCATATTAAAACTAACTTTTGTTGAAATGAAGTTTGATATTATATGTTTTGTGGGAAGTTTTTGGAACTAGTCTTTCACTGCATACTCTAAAGGATATTTTTTTGAAATAGTAATAAATTATTATTATGTCTTGTATATTTTAGGTTATCTTTCAACTGTCTTTACTGTTCTTGTCACCTTTGTGTTTCATTGAGTCATTTTGACGGTTTATTAATGTGAAATTGTATAAGAGTGGATGCAGGTCGACATACACATACATCATAACATGTATTTTATATTTAATGCAATGGGATTTATGATTGTGTTCTCACATACAAGGTGAAAGCTAAAGCTATGAATCTAATTAACAATGTCTCGTTGTTCCCGTTTAAAAAAAAAACAAAAACAAAAAAATCCCATTCAGTTGTGTTACGGTTTTGTAACTCAACATTTTCAATCGTGTCATAATGGTCATACTGACTGTTATAACTTCTTCCTGTTTTTCATGTTTTAAAACATTTTATTTAGTATATGTTTTTTGATCTTGTGTGAGATAGTTTGTTAAAAGCAAATTTATTGAAAGACTGTTTTTTTAAATACATGTAGCCTAGTTGAATAATTTTGTGACAATTTTTTAAAAATTTTAGAAGCATAAATAAAAACCAATCAAGCCACTAGAAATTTACCAAGGCTTAGGAAGGTAGCTGATCTTTCTTATATTTTATATATGGTTTATTGCGTAAGTCATTTAAGATGTGTTCTTCAATTCTACGATTATATTTTATTATGAACATTAGCATTAACAGAAGTAGTATACAAAAAAAATTAAAGTATGAAAGTGTAGCAAAAGGATTGAAAATACAATAGGAATATTAATGTAAAATGTACATGAAGAAATATTTATACATAATTATGTACAAAAACAATTGAGCAAAGTCCTGTTCTTTTTAAGTTGTAGTACATATACACATGTAGTTAGTTAGAGGTTAATGAAATCCAGAATTTTAATATATATTTTTTATATACATACCAATAATCAAACATGGTTGAATAATGAATAAATGTGACACCACCCAGTTTAGAATACTAATCTAGTATTAGAAGGATGCTTAAATATATTACTGTATTGAGTATTGGGCTTGCATGTACCAGACTTTTTTTTTAGGATTTGATATCAAGGGCCCGGGCCTTTGCAATTGGGAAAAAATAGCAACATTTGCTTGAAAATGAGGTGGGGTTCATATAAAGAAGTAGGAAAAAAAAACCCAGTGCATTAAGGTATAGGACTCCTTCTACTTTCAATTTGGTCAAGGCTTGCCTTTTTGGGCAAAAATTGGAATAGATCTGTGGGCCAATAAAACTACCCTGCTCTGATTTTTTTATTGTTTGGAAATTTTAATGGAAACATGTTGCTTTTTAGCATTGGGAATGGGACCTTATTTTGCCCCTTTCCCCCAGCACCCCAAAACCCTGTGTACATATAAATTTTTTAACCATTGTATGATGCAAGTTTTTCAGAAATTTCTTCATAATGGACCTTTTACATTGATTTTATAAAATGTTTGGGGAAAAAGTACTTGTTACAGAATTTCCTCTGACAGTGGGTTGAAAAATTGAAACTGTGAATCAATTTAATTAAAAGCAGATATATTTTATTATATTTCTTGTTTTCTTTTCCAACACATATCAGAATCAAGGAGGATTTTCTATACTTGTAATACTTCTTTTCTTTTTGAAATTTTATATGGAAATGATGAGGTTACATACACTTTGAAGCAACAACAAAATTGGAAAATTTCAGCCACATGAAAAATCTACCTGAAGCAGCAACTCCCGTTTGAGATTTGAAGTGCTTGTAGAAATTCCACTACCCCAAGTTCAGTACAAGTGATATTTGCTGTAAGTGAATGGAGATTCTTAAAAGAAGGAAATATAATTGATTACCTTTATTCAACTGCACACTAAGCAAAACATTTTTTTAAATTCATACCCTAAATGACTTTTCAAAAGCTGAATACTACAGAGGTGTTTTTCTCACCTCATCCAACTTAACAATGCAGGGTAGCAAGTTATCACTGCATACAAATAGAAGAATAGATCGAGCCATATTCTATGAGAATTAAGAAAAGATTTTCAGAGTGTATACATATATATATATATATACTTTAAGAAAAATCCAATTTTTGGTACAGTAAATAATTGATATATCCAGTGAAAAAAATCAAGAATCACAAGACTCGAATAATCATTTTAACTATAAGCGCTTTCTGCCTTTTAATGGCTCTTCAGACAGTTACAAAATGAATATACATATTCATTTTGTAACTGTCTGAAGAGCCATTAAAAGGCAGAAAGCGCTTACAGTTAAAACTGGGACCTATATACTAGTATATAGTATATAGGTCCCTGGTTAAAATGATTATTCGAATCTTGTGATTCTTGATTTTTTCACTGGATATATATACATGTATATATATATAGAGAGAGAGAGAGAGAATAGGAGATAGATATATATATATATATATATATATATATATATATATATATATATATATATATATATATATATAATCCCCCATCTCTCAGGATTGGTGTAATGTAAGAGTTTTTAAATTGGTTTGCTGAAAGTTGCTGTAACAGGCCTGTAGGAAGCAATTTCAATGGGGGGGGGGGGGGGTTACTATCAACTACCATAATTCCTTAACAAGCAAAAAGCAAAACAAAAAAAAATGTCATCAGACGTTATTATTGAGGGGGACAAGCATATGGTAGCTATGTTTTCTATAGTATTCTATATATCGGCAAAATTATTGGGGGCACTATCCCCCCCCCCGGTTCCTACGGCCATGTGTAAACAAGCTTATTGAAAGAATTAACACGCACTTTAGGACAGATCTTTATTTGCGATAATATCCAGAAACGATTTGTGACAATATCTTGACCTTTTTGCCCTTTAGTCAAAAAGGGTAATGTTTCACTACAGACAGTATCAAAGTGAACCTGTAAACTATTCTGTATAATAGATGAATCAGTGTGACCTTGACAGTTTGACTTTTTGACCTGGGGACTTAAGATATAAAATTTTATTGCAAAAGCTTTTCAAAAGTACTTTACACTGCAGGCAGGCACTTGACGGAAACATTTTCTATATAATTAAAAAAAATCCATACTTAAATTATTTTCATTATAAAGAAAATGTTTTAAATGTCAAGTGCCTGTGTTTCACACATCTCATCTGGAAACTAAAGTGTACCATTTCATACCATATAAGAATTTGTGACCTTTGGTCTTTAGACCTCAAAATCAATAGAGATTTTTTTTAAAGTAAGAAAGTTAGAGTCATCATCTTTAGTTTCATTTAGTATCACAAAGAGGACTAATTTTATCATCTGGAAACATATAAATTTGTGACACTGACCTTTGACCTCATCAATTAGGAATTCATAGTCTTTGATATTTTAAATTCAAAATAAATAGGCGTCTTTAAAGGGGCCTGGACACAGTTGGATATTGCTGTTTAGTTTGCAATTTTAATTTTCTATTTTTATTCAAAAATCGAAATTCGATTGAAATATAAAGAAGGTTGCATGTAATATTTTTCATAAAATTACGATTTTTTAGGAGCATGCTATAAGTCCCTTAATTATTATGGTAAATACAGTATGAAATTCCATTACAAAAGCTTTCAGAGATATCATCCGAAAACTTAAGTGTTCGTTCCATTTCATGACATCTATCAAGTGATTTTGATCTTTGACTTTTTGATTTCCAAGACCGTATAACTACCATTGAGGCAAGTGAGGCAAATGCCTCACTAAAATTTTAGAGTTTTCTGAAAAGTAAAAAGGTTTTACTTTAAACTGTCTTTGTTCTAAACTAATACTTTCAATGTTTGTTTCAATTTCTGTAAATCGATCATCTCACCAGGTGCTTCTTTATAGTTTAGAACGTATTTGAAAAATAATTCAAACCATGAGAAAACTTTCGACGATTAAGTCTTTAATTTGCTAAAATCAAGGTTTTGGGACCCCCACCCACCCCTTAGAACCCCCATCAAGACCCACTTGGGACTCGGGTGGCCCCCCAAAACCCTTGCCTCACTAAATTTTTTAGCCTAGTTACGACCTTAATTTAAGAATCAATAGGGGCCTTCTACAAGTCATAAGGAGTTAAACTTTAATTTCAAAAGTTAATGATTTTAAAGTACTTTCAGCAGACATTTACTGAGAACGAAAAAGTAACAGACAGACAGTTAGACTGACCCAAATTAATATTCCCGCTTTTAGCAAAGGCAGGGGAGAACAGATCCAAGAATTTTTTCCAAGGGGGGGGGGGTCCAGACCAGACAAAAAAAAATCAACTCAAGCACAAAAAACATAAACTCCTTTCCAAAACGTGAAAAACCTATTTCGGAGGATGGGGGTGGGGGGCTCTTTACTTCACTTGTTAAACTTCATATCTATATGGTTATTCCTACCAACTTAACAGGTGTCCACGTTTTCTAGAGGGGGTTAAGGTCATTTTTTAATTACTAAGTTCATTGTAAATGAATACGAAAGCCTATTAGGATCAAACTACGGTAAAAAAAATTTAAAAGGCGTTATAACGCCTTTTCAAAAGGCGTTATAACGCGAAAAAAAGCGTAATAACGCCTTTTGAAAAGGCGTAATAACGCGGAAAAAGGCGTAATAACGCAAATAAAGGCGTAATTACGCCTTTCCAAAAGGCGTTATAACGCGAAAAAAGGCGTTATTACGCCTTTCCAAAAGGCGTTATTACGCCTTTCCAAAAGGCGTTATTACGCCTTTCTAAAAGGCGTTATTACGCCTTTTAAAAAGGCGTTATTACGCCTCTTTTTTTCAATACATGACTTACTTAGGCCACCCTGGGGGCTGATTATAATTAGATTTCTAGGAAAAAAGATTTTTAAATGTGTATAAAATATTTTCAGTGTTAAACCAACTTAGTCCTTCTCTGATGCCAGACGCTTCTACCAAGGTGTATGGATTTCAGAAATTTTGTTGAAGGCTAATTGCTCATTATACCTATGCAAATACTTTGCATGTTTTTTACCAAGAGGAGAGAAAAATATTTCAAATTTGACATGAATTTTTAATACGTGGCTAGCAAAGCCCAAAGCTGGTTCTGCCTATATCCTGGATTTTCAAGAGTAGAGTGTTGACTTCTCTTAATATGCATGCAAAATGCAAACAACTGTCTGCGAGATGTGCAGGAATATAGAAAATACTATAATTTTTAATATAATTTATAATATTAAAACTATAATCTAAATATTGCATAAATAAAGATGGCTTTGGTTCAATCTTTCATATATTTACTATTTTAAAATAACGCCTTTCCATTTTTGGATACAATTTTAACTCCTTTTCAAACAGGCCGGTAGTACGAATGTGAGTGGGGGGGGGGGGGGTCCCCCACCCCACTTTTTGGGAGAATAGTCTTGCTATAGTTTAAATATAAAAAAATCATTTATTGATTGCTTGGTCCCTTAACATTTTGTTGCAGTATGGTTAAACTCGGGCAAGTCATTGCATTTAAAAAAGTTTTACCGAAAAATTAGAAAAAGTTTCCCCTCATGTTTAGGCAGTTTATTTTTTTTTCGGGGGGGGGGGTGTTCTTGTTTTTTTTGTTTGCTTGTCAATTTTATGGGACCCCCCCCCCCCCACTTTAAAAGCACGGGCCTGTCAAAGACATAATAATGGCCCTTCAAAAGGCATAATAACGCCTTTTTGAAAGGCGTATTAATGCCTTTTAAAAAGGCGTAATAACGCCTTTTTGAAAGGCGTAATAACGCCTTTTTAAAAGGCGTAATAACGCCTTTTGAAAAGGCGTAATAACGCCTTTTAAAAAGGCGTAATAACGCCTTTTGGAAAGGCGTAATAACGCCTTTTTCAAAGGCGTAATAACGCCTTTTTTCGCGTTATAACGCCTTTTGGAAAGGCGTTATTACGCCTTTTTTCGCGTTATAACGCCTTTTTAAAAGGCGTTATAACGCCTTTTAAATTTTTTTTTACCGTAGTTTGATCATAATAGGCTTTCGTAGATGATAACTCCGGGCTCCCTCTCAAGATATGGACAAATATGGGGTTCAGCTAACAGGTACTTGTTTCTGCAATAGTATTTTTTAAAAACCTATAGCACATTATACTGTGGGATAAGAAAATATTATAGAAACAAGTGCCTGTGGTTCAGCTAAAAACTTGCATGTATTTTCTGTTTCAAAGAAACATACATATATATGTACATCTTCTTTGAAGATTGGGAGAAAACAGAAGAATACTGTATTTATACCAAAACTTTTGACCATATGAACACAAATTGATTTGTTTTGTTCATTTCTTTTTATTTTTTTTGATATTTTTTTTTTTATTTATTGATGATGATGGTGGTGGTGGTGGGGGGGGGGGGGGGGGGATCTGGGATTATCCGGGAATATAATACCGATCGAGCGAAACTCTCTTTTAGTATTAGTATTTCCGGTTCAGATCAAAATGGAAGGAAATCGAGATGAAAGTGAGCGGTGTTATCATCTCGCAAACAAGTATTTATCGGTTGGAGATCTCGAAAAGGCAAAGAAATTTCTTCACAAAGCAGAGCGATTATATCCAACACAAAAGGCAAAAGGTATGATTGGATTCTGTACCTCTAAACGTAATGTAAACATGAACTGCGGGATACGTCATCATAAAATTGTCTTATTCAGTGTGACGGAAGGTCGGAACCAAAATATTGTCATAGTTTGTTTTTGTTGTAAGTTTTGTATGCTTTCAATTATGAATTTTGTTTATTGAGCATTTATTAGTCGATATATAACCCACTTATGCCATGATTGGTCGCTGTAAACATCACAAAAATGGGGACCGTAAGAGGTGACCAGTTCGGAATAGGGTACCAATTCGGTGGTGGTGTAAATGTACTCGGGCATTATTTTTAAAATCTTACTTGACTCAAAAAGTAGTCTTGACCTGCCGAGTTTATTGTAGCTTCATCCACAGGGACTTGAGATAGGGCTGTCACGAGTACCCGAAATAACCGAGAACTGCGGTCCAAGTTGTTCGGTTCGGTTTCGGTTCCATTTTTCTGGATTTCGGTTCGGGTCTTGTTAATATATTAGAGTCTGTTCAATACAAAAAATGGCGTCGAAATCAAAGGAATGATGACGATAACAGTGTTAAAATAAATAAACATCACAACTGAAATCTACTTCATTCCATGACAAAACACTTGTCACGGAAGTATTAGATAATTATTAAAACAAGCAGGAATGGTCAGGTTGTGGCTAATAATAGGCCAAGTAGTTCTACACACTGACATCTAGACGTTTGCATGGTTAAGACTTGTTTTCAATGTAAATTTATGTAACAAATAAAGATTTTTCAAGTAAAATTCATGAAATTAAAATAGATGTAAATAACCGACCGAAAAACCCGAAACCAAACCGAAAATTTAGGACTGGCAAAACTTTTTCCTGTTGTTTTTGAATAAAAATAGAAGGTTTTAGAGTTTGAAGCGAGGCACCGAGGAATTAATGGCGGCTCATTAGGTCCCTTCTCCCCTATTATACTATATACCCGATTTTGCTAAGATTGTCTCAAGTCCCTATGGCTTCATCAAACATTAACCTTCCAAAGGAACTTTTATTTTAGCAGACTATTGTGGGTAGTCATTTAACCAGTTGCGAATAAGCCGATGAATTCTGAATACCTTAACGATTCCCATGCAAATTGACGCTAGATTAAAATATCTGTCCCATACATCATCAGTTGTCACCCAGTAAGTTAATGGTTTTCCAATGGATAATGAGAATTAGCAATCAAGTATACATTGAATGAGGAAAACAGCAGAACACAAATGTATTATAATTATAATGTTTATTCGGAACTAGTAAAATGACCATGATGACAGCACAAAAAATATTTTGATATCATCTTGTGATCTTTCATTCAATTCTCCACAAATTTTGGTGCTTGTTAAAATACATATCTTGCTCACTTTTGATAGCTCAATGTTGTTACATTTGGAAAATTAATGTGTTGACAGATGATTTTCTTTGGAGAAACATGTTGAGGTAGTCTGGATTTATTAGATTGACATGTATAAAGTAGACATGTATAAAGTAGGTTGACTAATTTCAAGTACAGTATCAAACACAAATTGACTGCCAAAAATAAAATCATTACAGAATTCAAACAAGCATAAATAAGCCTTCATACCATAGGTATCAATAACTTTACTGGTCCCCAGAAAAACAGGCTAAAATAAAGTGTCACCAAAGGTGACTTCAATATGTATGAGAATGTGTGAGAGATAGAAAAAATAAAAAGTACATGTACAAGGTTTTTGGCCCTTTTGACCCTCTAATTGAATTCTGTAGTTAAAAGTTTAGTTTTTAACCTCGTTCTCTGAAAAAAAAAAAAAAATTGTTTATTCCATGAAAAATTGACAAAAAATAAATGTCATGTGCATGTGCTGCATGCTTGGTGACAATTTTTAGCCATTTTTTCATGTAAACAAACCATTAAGATGTGGTTAAAGTTGAATTAAGATCTTGCAAAAAATACAGATGCAACTGAATTTCTTAATTAATCTAAAAGAACAAGACCCTATAACCCTAATCTCCTGGATGTTGGTGTGCAAGGACTAACCTTAATCTTTGGGATGGATGCAAGACTAACCCTAATCAGTTGAACACTTGTGCAAGAAGTTGCTCTAATCTCTCAGGTGAGTGCAAGACCATCGTCAGATACCCATGGGTATAGGTATCCGACGGTGGTGCAAGACTTATTGTAACCAGTTGAGTTGTGTGCAAGACTAACCCTTATCAATTGAGTGATGTAAATGTTACGTCACAGTGCAATGAGCGTGCAGATCTTGCAGATCTGGGGACCAGTAAAGTCTACCCAAATAATACCTTGTTCAGTTTATTTTTACACTTGAAAAGTTTATTAATTATCAGCTCTTAGATTGATTATTCAGATCAGGTCAAAATTCGGAACTGGTCCCAATGTTTTTCCTAAGAATCTGCTACCGGTCAAATTGACCACTTCAATTGATAAAAATGCCACTTTGAAATAAAAAAAATCAAAATTTTATTGTTGGAAGGTCCACAGAGATTTGTCATAAACCTCAACCCAAAGCCTGTTACAATTGATCTATAACCTTTTGAATTAAAGGGATAACACTGTGGTCAAAGGACCGTACTCGGTAATGGGCGAAACGATACTCTGCCTTCTCCGCCATATGATACGTATCATATAATTTTTTCATGGTATGGTTATTTATGATAGGATACTTTGTAATAGAAGGAAAACAAATTCAAAGTTTTTTTTTTGTTTCAGTAATCATTAATTAAATCTACTTGCAAACTGATTAGAAGAAATTGATTAGAATGAATTATAAACTATCAGTCCTCAAAAATCATGTTTTAAAGTTTAATCATACTGTGTAGCATGTTTTTACAAATGCCAAAACCTGACTGAATAATGATCCTCACCAAAAAATGAATCGAACCAAAAATGGAGATTTTGTACTGTGTGACAAACCAACAAAAAATACCATGGTGAATCAGTAACTTAGGGAATTGTTTCACTCCCATCAATAATAGACGGTATAGACCTGAATCAAGTTCTTATTTAGCAGCCAAAAAAAAAGCAAGAGAAATGAAACATGTTCAGGATTCAAAATTGCATGAAAATTCTGCTTTAATCTAATATTTACCATATATACCATAATTGACAACATCAATCATGGGAATCTAATCTGCCTTTGAATTAGCAAAACAAAAAAAAAAAAAAAAACAACAACAACAACAACAACAAAAAACATTCTTCTAAATCTGCCAATTATAAATTAACCATTTTTATCAACAAGTTTTTGTGTTTTCCTAATGCCTAACCTTTGCCATAAACAATGTCACTTCTGAAAGAAAAGAGAGAACCAAGAGAGGGCCAAATTCTGGAGTAAAAGTTGGTGCAGCAAAGGATCTAGTAAATGCAGTTTGCTAGTACATATATGATATTGTTACAGTGTAACATGATATTATTAAGATTTAAAATGATATTGTTATGGTGTATCAAGGCAATCTTCCAGAAACAACATATTTGACAACTCTCCATTGCTCATTTGTTAGATCTTTTAGATATGTTGAAATCTTGTTCTTCAAGATTAGGCCATTTCAGCTTTTTCTGTATATTTCCAAAGAAGAATTTTATAACCAATTTGAAGCTTTATAAAACTGAACAAACATTTCCTTTGTTTCATTTATATGTTTGTTTTATGGGATTTGGACATATTTAATTACATGTATTGTCATCTATTAGGCAAGTACACTGTACAAGGATACACTGATCCACTGAAAAGTATTCAACACTTATTGATTATTTCAGATTTGTTAGAGAGGATTGAGTCAATGTCTGATGATGAATCTACACAAGATAACAAAGAAAACCAAGAACCTCAGAAAGAGGGAGTACGCCACAGGCGGGGGAGCTTCGGGAGGGACAAGACAGAAGGGTCAGGTGTGAAAGACTACACAGAGGAACAACTGACTATGGTTCGCAAGTATGTGTAAAACAGGTGTTGATGAAGCTTGACTCAGTCTTCTGCCTTATAAAACCATTTTGGGAATTGAGATGAATTTAATCATAAAGTTGTAAAAAAAAAAAAATGTTTACAGTGTGCATGCATGTTGTGTATACAAATTTTAGTGCTTTACTCACTGTAAGCATTTTAAGTGAGTAAACTATCAGTCTGTTCCAAGATCATTGCTTAAATGAGATTTCACTGTGATAAATGAATATTATACATGGTTCCACTAATTAGCCCTTGATCTACTAATGGTTAAATTTTCATTACATTCAATACATCAAGCATATTGTGATAAACACATGTATGTTTTTCTGTATTGTTTTATTCTACCTCAATATTTTTTCTCCTTTGAATTATAAGCTTTAAATACAGGCTGTTTTCACAAGTAAATTTAAACCAATGGTTTTGCAGCAATTAAAGTTGATCTTGTCTATTTTTTTCCTATTTGAAAAGCTGAAAGGAGGCTTTGAAAATTTGCTTGAAAATCACTACATATTTGTTAACCAGGGATTAAATGATGTATTCACTGTATTTTTGAGCTTTTGAAAATCATTTTATTGTCAAAAATATATGATTGATGCTGAAAAAATTGTTTTTAGGATTAAAAAATGTAAGGATTACTATGAAATTCTTGGAGTAGAGAAAACTGCAACAGAGATAGAACTGAAAAAGTCCTATAGAAGATTAGCACTACAGATGCACCCAGACAAGAATAAGGCGCCAGGTGCTACAGAAGCATTTAAAGGTAAATGAATTGCACTGTTGCTATTGATCAACATATTTTTTAGATAAAAATTTCCCTTTAGTGTTTGATTTCACTTTATTTTTACACCTTATCCATTATTCTATCATTCAGTCTCTATAATGTTTCCCTGTGATAATGTTCAATCTTTTGCATTTAATAGCCATTGGAAATGCTTTTGCCGTTTTGAGTGATGAAAGTAAGCGCAGGCGGTATGATGCATATGGTCCCGAAATGGAGGAGACCAATCACAGACGACATACCTACAGAAATGAGTTCGAAGGTAAATGTATAAATATGTGATGCCGCAACAAAATATTCACTATTCTTACATTCTGTAAAGAATACTCTCCATATTCTTTTTATAGAGATGCAGTAAACCTAATTGATATTAGCTCCTCTGAAAAATTTTGAGGGTCATTTAACTTTTACTTTTTACCAGCATAGAGAATTCTCCCACATTATTGATTTTGATTCTGATTAGTAGATTGATTTATTGTGATGTAATGATACTGTTGTGCCTCAAACCAAATAAATTAAAAAACCAAGTAACTCAGTCATGACAACTTGGAAGATTTGCTAGCACTACAATCAGTGTGCAGTTAATTCATTGGATACAAATGAGTTGCTTAACTCGAATGAATGAAATCAAAATACTATTTTATTGATTTATTTTGTTTTTCTTATACTGTAAAGTACTTTTTATTTGTGAGAAGTTTATTTTAGCATAATTACGTGATAGGATCTGCTGGCGAAAATTTTATTCTTGCATTTATTTTTATTAGCAAAGGATATATTCAGCAAAAACCAGCATTCGTGAAAATTTTGTCTCGCTAATGATAACCAAATATTCACAGTAACAAAACAATTATTGATTGTGTTTCTGGGCAACATTGATTATGTTAGCCTTCTTGGGAGGAAAATATTGCCCTCCACTACACTTCAGGCAATATTTCATTCCTTTTGGAGCTAAGATAATCAATTTTGCCCTCAACCCTCGCCAATATTTGCATATTGATATTTAATTTTTACTGGTCTCCAAAAAAAATTAAATTAGCAACTTACTTTGATTGAAAAATAATATGTTGAAATTACTGTACATGTGCTTACTGTGTTTGAACTAAATTTATTTACCGTTATATGAGAGTAGTTTTCATAAAAATATCATTATCATGAAAGCAGTTTATGTATTCAGTTGAAAGATTCATTACATGTAGACACTTTTTCGATATGATCTAAAAATACATAGATATTTCTTACAGGTGACATCTCACCTGAGGAACTCTTCAACATGTTCTTTGGAGGAGGATTCCCCTCAAGTAAGTGTAGATACAAATAATTAGTATATCTTTTTAATAATAATCTTGTGGGGCATATGCAGTTATTGTTTCATTATTGTTTATGACTTAAGATTTATTGATTCCCTTCATATAAACTATATCTGGGAAGATCATTTCAAGGAATTCAAGCATTTGATGTTAACGGCACATTATACACGTGTAATCAACAGGGAATGCTTCTAGACGATTACAAATGTAGATATTTAATCTTTTTATGAGTGAAAGAAAATAAGTGATATCCATATTTAAGAATGTTAATGATTTTGAGGGGTTTTTTTTGTGCAGATAATGTTTATACACACCACACACACAGACCTCGACATCGCCATCACCACAGTCGTGAACATGTATCTAATGATGTAAGTATGAAGACTTTTTGTTTGGAACAATGAACGCAGCTATGATTTTTTTTTTTAAGTAAAGATAGTAATTAGTCTTTTAACTGATAAGTATCAGTGCATTGTAATATGAATTTATTATATAATGTATTGTAACAAGATTTTTCCTGATTTTATTTCAGTCTGGCTTCACACTGTTGCTGCAGCTGTCCCCTATACTACTTCTAGTCTTTCTATCTCTGTTGTCCAGTTGGTTCGTTAGTGATCCAATATACAGCCTTCATCCATCAGGGTAGGTACATGTGTAAATGGCGGATTTTGTTTTAAAACACTTTTTTTCCCGGTTTTTCTCTGAAATCGATTATAAATTACTGGGTATGTGAAAAAATTGAAGTTTTGTGATTCTCAAAAGATTTAATGTGCAAAGCTGAATCATATTTTATACATAAGGTAAAAATAATTTAACAGATTCTATATTTTAATGAACCATGGTATAAAAGGACTGAAATTTTGACAAAGCTTTCTTTTTTTAAACAGGAAATATGATACAGAGAGAACAACATCAAATTTACATGTGAAATATTATGTGAAGAATGACTTTAAGGTGGAATTTAAAGGTGATTTAAGGAGGATAGAGAGAAATGTAGAGGAAGAATATATATCTAATCTAAGACAGAATTGTTGGAGAGAAAGAACGTATAGTAAGTACACGTAACACAGCAATAAAACGTTTGTCCCTGTCCTTGGAAAATATTTCTTTAGTTTTGCCTTCTTTCAAAATCCTTGCTTTCAAAACCATTGATTGTTAGGATAACATATTTCATACCTCAACAAAACTATTTTCAAAGTAGTCAAAGTCTCAATGGAGTCTCGCAAAGCAAGTACATTTTATTTTGTTATACCTTTAAAAATTAGTTTCCTGTATAAATTTTTACTAAAAATGTCTAATATTTCCAATGTTTTACTGAGCGGTCATAAAAAAAAAATTGATGTTGACCGCAGAGTGAGATACTGGACCTGTCGATGAGATATTGGACCGCTTACGTCACACTGTGGGTGGAATCAGCTAAATCTTATTTGCATTCCTTGATGACAGTGACAGATATAAGATACTTGTATGTCAAAAAGATAAAAATAAAAGGTATAACAAAACATTGTGTTCTCGGGCAAAATGCGTTTTGTCGACCCCTCTAAACAATCTGTTTGCCTGAGGCTTAACGGCCTTCGGGCAGGCAAACAGTTTTGGTTCTTGGGTCCGACAAAACACATGTTGCCCTCGAACCCAGTCAATAAATGTATATTGTTGACTCCGTGACCATTCACTTTTCATGGCACATACTGTATGTTTCTCTGGTGGTTACAAGTATAACTAAAAAATACAGTAATTAACATATCTTTGTGACATTGAGGTTACAAATCTGTAATAAAGCGACATAGGTAGATCAAAATTCATACAAAGCTTCTTCATTGAGAAAATTTTGTCCTAAACCAATCAAAATAAGATAAAAATCTGTCTAATTTTAATCTTCTGTTGTAGAAGAGAACTTATTATGGAGAGCTAGAAATCATGCTGATGCACGATTATATGAAAAAGCCCAAAACCACCCTACACCATCCTGTGATAGACTTCAGTCTATATATGCGTAGGTAAAACCCAGAGTTCTCCAATGTACAGAATGTACCTGTGATCTTTGGGTCTGTTTTAGCCAGGAATGGAAAGAGACGTTCTTAATGAGTGATGATTAATTTCCAGTGCACACCAGAAAATTCCCTTTTTATCCAGGAAGTGCATAATTTATTCATGGAATTCTTATCAGTGGACTCGAATGCTGTGCATTCTCTATTAAATTAACATGGAAAGTGTGGTAAATTGTCAGTGAGGTACGTTTTTAATTGCAAGTTAAATATTGTCTGAATGTGTTGACTGAATGTTATTCTTTCTGGGGTTATTTTTTCTTTGCACAGTGAAAAAACTTTGTGAAGGTTTGAATTTGTGTGTTCTGATGAATTACATGTACATATATTGAAAAAAAAACAACAAAAAAAACCCCAATCTTTTTGAAGTTTTGTTAGACTTTTAACAAGAAAATAAATAGGACAACTATTTGTAAAAATCATATTGGGATTTTAAGTATTTGCATTCTTATGAGCATAAATGGTTTGAATGTAAAAATCATTAGAAATAACTCAACCTTTTCCCTCAGAATTGTTTGAAAAAAATCATGAATAATTTGCAATGCATTTTAATATTTGAACATGTATTCATTTAGTTCAGAATAAATGTATTAAGCAGAACTTTCTGCTGTGACTCAAGAAGCATTGTGAATCCATTTTAATGATATTTTAAATATTTATGGATACAAAATTCAGTGTTTCAAGTGCCAAGACATGGATGAGAGTAGAATTAATGAAGTGTGCTACATGTTTTGAAATGTAGAAGGCTCATTGCATTAGTTCAAATAATTATAATAACTTGCAATTATAACTAACTTTTTGTAATAAAACGTGTTGCTGTTTGCAGAATATTTATTTGTGAAAGACTAAATCATGGATCTTTTGAAAGTACATCAGAGACATGAGTAGATAGGCTTTTTAAAAGTTGCATGTGTTAAACAAAAATTTGAAAAATTCCATGTACAAAATGTTCAGTACCTATGAATGGCATTGAAAATACACACATTATGAGGATCCACATTTTTTTCACTCTGTGTCAAGGTCTGATTTGGGTTTTAACCTATCATTTTTGTCCCTGAGTAGTTTTTAATCAGACCAAATTTAATATTTGTTGTTACTGTGATTTAGTTTTAAATGTTCGACTTTTATTTAATTGTTTGTCCTTCTTCAAAAGTTGTATAAATATAAATACATGTATTTAAATAACACGGGGGCAAAATGTACAGTTGTAATGAAAACTTTTGTACATAGCACCATAAAAATCGAAAATTTTTTATATTTGTTGTGTTTATTTACATGTATAATGCATATTAAATAAATCAGATCTCTTTCATAACATCTTCTCTGACAATCTTTTAGTTTCTGTACTGTTTCTGTAATTTATTTCCCAATGAAAGTAACATACATAAACATAAACTGTTGGAAGTACAAGTTTTTACAATCAACATATTGAACATAAAAACTACTGTATCTAACTTTGTGGTTATTATCAAGTTAAAAAAGACACATGGTACATTATTGCATGTATCTTTGTAATATGATAAAATGGTGTCATCTATTTATACAGTACATGTACATGTATACACAAAGAGTTTCAACTTTGATCTAAATTGAAGTAACAATGATCAACACTGTACACTCATTTGCTGCATTTTTTGTAATATGCAAAATACAAATGCTGAAGGAAGAGGAAACATCACAAATCCTTTTTTATTGTGTGACTAGACAAAAATTATGATAGTCTTTGAAGAAAGAAATGAGATAATGAAATGAGTATATTATACCATCAACGTCCATAATATGTACATGTGAAAATATATGGTATTTTATCCCTTAAATCCGTTGTTCATTCAAAATCATCTCCAATGTCTAGATACACATCATAGGCTTCTCTGTTGCAGTTTCCATCAGTTGTGAACACATACTTGTGAAAAGTCCCATCTACACACACAGCTGAAAATCATACAATGGAATTTTGAATTGTTTTGAAATTAGAAAAACATCTGCAGAGTTTCATGTTTTACCTGTTGTGTTGTGTTTTCAGCTCACTCGAGCCAAAGGCTCAAGAGAGCTTTTCTGAAATTTGTTGTCTGTCATCGTTGTAAACTTTTCACATTTTCATCTTCTTTTCAAGAACTACATGTTCTGGGCCAATTTCAAGTAGACTTACTAAAAAGCATCCTTGAGTGAAGGGGATTCAAGTTTATTCAGATGAAGTGTCACACCCTCTTTCAATTGAGAATTCATGAAAAATTAATGGCATTTTTCAATAAACTTCTCAAGAACTACTGGGCCAGAAAAAATGAAACTTGTTTGAAAGCTTCATTTTACATGGTGTAGATATATGTTTGTTCAAATCATGACCCCCCGGGGGCAGGGTGGGTTCAAAATGGGCAATCAAAGATTTACATAAGAATATATATACAGTGTATGTAGGGAAAGTCTTTAAAAATCTTCTCATGAACCCCTGGGCCAGAACTATGTGAAAGCTTCATTATACAGCATAGATGCAAGATAATTCAAATCATGACCCCATGGATAGGGTGGGCCACAATTGACATTCATTCAAGTTTTAAATAGGAATAACAATCTTTAAAATCTTCTTCTCAAGAACAGCAAAGGCATGTCTAGTCATAGTAATATGGAGCATCCTCAGGTAGTGTAGATTCAAGCTTATTCAAATCATGACCCTATTGGGTAGGGTGGGGCCAGAGTAGGTGATCAAAGTTTTACAAAGGACTATATTGGGTACAAATCTGCTGATAAAGAACAGCATGGCCGTAATGACCCAGGTGAGCATTTTGGCCCATGGACCTCTGGTTTATTTTATTTTCATATATACATACACTGTACATAATGTATAAATTTTGACGGTTTTAGACCCAGCCAGAAAATGGGAGGGTAGCAATGAAATCAAATTTTTTTGCTAACTTCACTCATAAATTTATTTAGTATTTATGCTAAACAGCAAAATTTGTTGAAACTGGTATAGCCAATGTTTCAGAGAAGAAGAAGAAAATATCTAGATTAAGAAATTTTCAAAGTCTTAGGGCAGTAACTCTTGTGAAAATTGCCAGGTCAATTAACATGAAACTTGAGTTTGTTCTTTAAGCCATCAATATGAAGACACATACCAAAAAAAACCCCATCTCATTATTTGCAAGCACAGCATAAAAAGTATATAAAACTAACTACATGTATGTCTGAATGACAATGTTGGAATAACAGAATGACAGACGGAAAGGGAGGGCATGAAAACTTAGATAATAAGCTGTTACCTATTACAGAATGTCCTGGGCCAAAGGCACAAATACATGCACACTCTGCAGCCACAGTAAAACTGGCCAGGCCCCATTGGGACTCCACATATGTTCCTAGAAATCCCATTGTTTTAAACCTGTCAAATCAAAATGATGACAAGTGTAAGGCATGAGAGGGCATAAAATTGTTTTCTCATTAAAAATGGACAAGTAACTATTGAATGGGGAACTGCATCTGATGATCATATAATAATTTTGAAAAGCCTTTAGAAATTCAAAATGATGAATGTAAATTAATCCAATGAAGTAGAATAGATCTGGTGGATGTTGCTTACTTTAGCATTGTTTATTCCAAAAAAATTTGACTTTACAATTTTATCTTTTCTAGGGATGTCAACGAATAGTAGACTATTTGACTATCAGTCTAATCAATGCTAATGGACCAATGATCAAATAATGAAACGACATTCCAATATTATTACAATTAAATAAATGCAATGAAAGAGTGAGAATGAGATGGCATTCTCATCACAAAATTGAGAAACTGATTTTACTCAGAGACAGTCGATGAGATAATTTTCCTCAACAAAAAAAGGTTGATTTTCCATATACATGTACATGTACAATGAATCACATTGAAGTGGTAAAATTTTCAATTTGAATGGAACGTTTAGAGCTTTCTTTTGAATGTTGATTGTCACATAATGACATGCCATTTCTTCAGAAAGGGAAAAAAAATGGTTAAATGGTTCATTTGAATACCTGTAGAACAGATATTCAATAACTACAATAGCCATTCAGATTGGCAGTCTACATAAACATCAAGTAAACACGTGTTCGACCGGTACATTGATAACTTCAATAAACAGGATAAATTTATAATTATGTACACATTCGTTGCAATACATTATTTTACAGAAGCCGGAAGTCTCTAACTCTCTCTTCTAACTTCATAAAATCTCCATTTCAGCAAAACTCATGTTGCTAGTTGCAGAGAGTTGGGTGTCTTAAAAGCAAAGCGACGAACGTTTCTTTCTCGTTTCTAAAGAATGGGCGTGCCACTATATAACAATTGATGTTCGATAAGAAAGACCCAAATGTTCTACTCAAATGAAAAATTTTACCACTTCAATGCACTTAATTGTATGTATACTGTATAGAAAGTACAGTAATTATAAGTGCTTCACTACTGGAGAATTATTTGTCAGTAACTGCCTGTCTTGTTTTTGTAATAAATTACCCACCAATATATTGGGCCTTGTTTGAAAAATTATTAATTGGACTTGATCTTGTACCCTGTACCAATCATCTTTTGTTATTTTGAGATTGCTCATGTTTTCAAAATTTCACAGGAACTTGACTTGTGGAAAGTGTGAGATTAACACCCCCCCCCCCAATTTATTTCATTAAAAGGTAATAAAAATATCGGCTGGCAATTTTTTAATGCTTACTAAAATAAAAACTGACTGCATGTTCAGACCGAATGTATGAATACGACTGAAGGGGAAATCATGTATTTTGGAGAATTAGGTTTCTAAATTTATTTCACATAATCATGCTATTCACGTGTTACATCGCATGATTTTTGATGTTACTTTTTAAATAGATTTAAGTATAAAAAAGGTTTTTGAGTTATAAATACGCCATGTACCAGTAAAGTTTGAAATAAAATTTTAATTTCAGGAAATGTTTTGAATATTTGACTATCGTTTGAATAATGCAATCGAATAATCGAATAAGGAAAGTAAATATTTTGACATCCCTAATCTTTCCCATGAAGAAAATTATTGCCAGGTGTGATATTTTTTCAGATACTTACGTTGATCGCCTGTTCAGACTTGTATCTTTTACAGCAAAGATATGAATGGTCCCTTTATCACTGGAGGCACACAAGAATGAAGAATCATGACTGAACGATATACTGTAAAAATAAGAACTGAAGTAAGGTTCAGAAAATATAGGTAAAACCTCAATAACAAACTAGAAACTTTTTCATCAAATTGAAGAGGTAAAATCTCCCAGGCTTTTTATTAGATTTATAATGCAGGGTTCGACACTATCTTTTTAAGGCTTTAGTCCAGCCGGACTAGTGCTTCATTACTTTTACTAGTCCGCACGTGATTTTATTAGTCCGTCAAAAAAAAAGAAACATCAATGCTTTTTAACATTAATTTAACGTGACAATTAAAATACGTATTATTTTTTGAAATAAACAAAGTATTTACGTGAAATATATTATTCCACAGATTCATTGAATTTTGCAATCAGCAAGTACGATCGTATTCCCGGTCTCCGTTTTTTTTTTTTTTTTTTTTTTTTTTTTTTTTTGGTCTTTACATTACATCCAAAACGTCCAACGTCTTTCTTAAAAGTGTCATACTAAATCATGATCGCTAAAACCTTATACTTCAAATCGATCAGTCGAAAAATTAAGCGCTGAATTGACCCAGCATTGTGTGACTACCCGCCAAAAGCTAGAAATCTAAAAATACCAATTTTCCAGTAAAAGTTGTCGAGAATCGGACATTGGTAATTTATTCATATTGTTTTTCAGAAATTTTTATTGGTCCGTTCGGACTAATTAGCCACATATTTTATTAGTCCGAATGAAAATGTATTAGTCTGAGACTAACGGACTAAGGTTAGTGTCGAACCCTGTAATGATTTGAATTTTGTGAATAAATCATGGTCAAGGTCATGACCTGTGACACGTCACTTTCAGCCTTCTTTACATACTTTGCACAATTAAGACATCTATAACAGAGTATTGGACGAATTTCTACAGTAGCTGGAAGTTTTTCATAACCTAGTTTTGTTTCCACTGACCAGTATAAAGTAGCTGGGTCAGCTCCCCTCCGCAGTTCCACAACTAGCTTCTTTGTTGATGTGTCAAACACTCGAATCAATGTTCCCTATAATTATAATGTAATATTCATTTAGTAAAAGAAGTCAACGTAAAAAAAGTTGATAAATTCCACTAATTAACTGGTAAATGTATTTCTATAACCAAATCTGTAAATTGGGACTGTGAAATCATCTTAATTTATTAGAGTCAATGTTCCTGGGCAGTGGGCAACCAAACCTTTTCTGGTTCATGGGGACAAAATTTTGTGACTTATTCATATATATGTTTGTGTATACAGAAGATTCAATAAACCGATACATTGACAAAGTTATCATTCATTGGGGATGCAAATTCAAGGGAAAGAGGGACCACAAAGTCCATGAATATTGGTCCACCGCCAATAATAATGATGACAGTAAATGAAATTATATCAGATACATGTATATGCAAAACCTGGTATTATGATAAAAGACAAAACAAAGTAGTTTTCATCCTTCTAGCCATGATGTAAACTTCTTTGTATTCTCTTTTAATACCAGTTTTTGCGTACAGACATACATGTATACATCAAGTGACTGTATACACACATATATAGGTACATCAAGTGATTTCCCAAATATTTCGAAATTCCATAATTCATAACAAACAAGGAGTGGTCCATTTTTGCCTAGATACAGCATTGTTTTATATAAATATATTTGTTCACAGATTCTGGATCTCTGTTACTTTCTACTTTACTTTATCTGACACGGTAAGATTATGTTAAACCGTGCTTTCTGTTTATATGCTTTATGTTTTTTACAGCATTACTTTCTTGGAGGCAGTAGCCAGTAGTGTCCCCTGCTGATTTAGAGTGAGGCATGCTATCTCCCCCTGGTGGGCACTAACTGTTACAGGAGATGTGGACTGTCCAGGCTGTGTGGTCTCAAGATCCTGTCAATCAAAGAGGCAACAATTAATATTGAATAGCACTCAATCTCAAGGTTCACAAGTCTAAAGGTTCATAAGGAGTTGCATGGGTATACAAGAAGCACAGGACAGTGGTGTATGTACGGTAACTAGTAGAAAAAACTTCCAAACTGATTTTACATTAATAGTTTCACAATATTTTATTGTGGGTTTGATTTTTGTAAATATTGTTACAGCAATTAAAGAATTCCTTTAGAAGATCTTACAGCAATCTGAACACTGCCACATTTTTGACCTGGGAAAGCCATCACTTGTCCAAAGGGAGAGACATCACACAGACCTATATAAGTCCAGGAGAAAAATGGTGTGAAATAAAAATTTGTTTTAAATTCATTTATTGCATCAAAAATCATATTAAGTTATTGTAATGACATTTTCATGATAATAATGAAAAGGGTGGGTATTCATGAATAGGGGAAATTTACACTTAGAAAAAATATCCAAGTTCTAGAGACATGCATTGTTAGTCATAAAATTAATGACCATACTTTTACACACACTCATAATGTGTGTACATGTATATCAATAACACTATACCCCCAGCATAAATAATCCCTGTACAGTACCATATATTTTTTTTAATTTCATACCATTACCTGTTTCACATATCTGCTGCATTTTTTCTTTAATACATGTACCTCAACTGAATGTATCAAATACTTGCATGATTATTTTTCAGTATGTTTACTCTAAAAGTTCTCCTTTTCACTATAAATTTTTTCAATATCAAAAGTCTATCATATTCATTTTATACTTTCCATCCTGATTCCACCATAATTGTACCAGGCGTGATCCATGCCCTTATATGTGTTTTATAAATAAAACTTGAAATCAGAAGAGTTATCTACCTTTTGGATTATCCCTTGTGTCAAAGGAGTGCAACATTGTAGGGTTATTTGGAAAACTGAACACATAGATTTGATTTCTAAGAACAACAATCAACCTGAAAATAAAACAAACATGACTAGAGGTTCCATTTAATATTTATACATTTAATATATAGACATTTAATACAATAAGAATTAAAAGATATCAAAAAGTACTTCTTCAATACTGTAATTTGGAAATTTATTGCTGATGAATTTTTAGTAATTTTGCCCATGCTCTGCATTCACAAAAACATTTGTTGTAAGAATATATCAACAAGGTATAAAAGTAAATTAAATCTGAATGAATTTTAACTTACTCTTGAATGGAAAACTTCTACTTTTATAATGTTTAATCAGTCACTTTTAAAAAGAAATTTGGATCTTGAATATTACTTTTTTTAAAATTTAAATGAACTGAAATATTCTTATTCTTATTCAATGATTTTTGTCTAGAGGATGTGTATGCCTTTATCCTTCACTCCTTAGACGTACCATTACGAACTGACAATAATTAAGAGATGATAACAGTTATGAGATGAGAATACTGACCTCAGTACCCCTCCAATTTACTAATTATCAATTCTCTGCAGCCCAAAATCACATTTGGCAGCTATTGTCCTACCAAACTATGTAAACACTGAAGCAACACAAAATTTCTTGACAATTCTTGTTGCACATGCACTGATTGAAATAACTGTTTGTCTGCATACATGTTAACAAAGAGGCATGGATAGGAAAACACAATACAGGTACCTATTTTTATATACAAAGAACTATATTTGCCACTTTTATATTTCTTTTCATATTTTTTATATCATCATTGGAGAAAAATCTAGCATTGTGTACATGAACATATGCACAATAAATAAAGAACTTATTTTTTTTAATGGTTTTCTTTTTTTAATTTTCTGCAATGATGTGAATTCACAAAATTTAGAAGAATTAAAATTAATATATAGCTTAAAATTAAATTGCACTGATTTAATATTATTTACATGTGTATTTATGAGGTGATTGATAACTGGAGGTCATAAAACATGAGGAAAGGATAAAAATCTCATCAAAATACTGACCATGGAAAAGTGTACATGTATGTGTAACTTAACAACAGCTATAAAAAATATATAATATATAATTTATAATATATATAATATAATTCTTCTGACCTGTCATACTTGAGTTTTATTGACACAACTGGTTGGTTGAAGGAAACATCCATGACAACCTTCTTTGCAGTGTCATCCCAAATCAGAGCTGTAAAATAATATTTAAAAAGATTTTATAAGCTGATTAGTTACTGCTATCAAAATATATTCTGCAGTTTAAAAGGAGGTGCTGAAAAAAGATCTTTTAAAAAGCTTGTTTGTTCTTCTAATCTGAAACTGACCAGACAGAAGATGTAAGGAGTCAGTGATAGAAGCATAATTACCAGCTTTTTCATCATATCTAGGTGAGGATCCCCCTCCAACCATGGCTACAATATTGGAGCGAAACAACATTTCTGCACAAGCAATACTCCCCACCACATCTTGTCCTGTGAACAAAATACATTCTATCGCAAAAGAATTTTCCAACAAATATGAATGTCTTTATTTAATGATTTCTTTAAATGGTATAAACTAACTTGATAAATTGTATGGTATTTCAGATTTTTAAAAAAAAAAAAATATTGGTGTTAATTTTTTAGTCAAGGATTATATATAATAATTAATAAAATATGTGACTTCTTTTAGGGTTGCTGAAACTAAAGATAATAAAATCAAAATTTATTTAGCTTTTCACTCAATTTAGCTATTCAGTAGAGAAATGTGTCGAGATACAAGTACATCAAAATTTCTATATTTTACATGTACATGTATTTGTATATGGTTTATTGTTCATTCTCCCAAAAGGCAAATATCATATGCCACAGCACTGGTCATGTTGACACAAGGAGATACATATACATGGATCTAATACTAAATAAGTCTTTAGTCTTTAATTCTAGCATCATATACCCCAAGATTCTTCAGAATTCATTGCAAAATTGCTATCAAAATACCAGCACTATACACATTACCTAGTGTAAGCTTTTTGTGTCTGTGGTTCTACATTATAAACCTTCAGTTCTACACACATTAACTAGTGTAAGCTTTTGTGTCAGTAGTTCTACATTATGAATCTTCAGTCCTACACACATAACCAGTGATTTTTCTACATTTTTTAAAAGGGACATGGGCCTTTACAATTGGGAAAAATCATCGACATTTGTGTCAAATTGGGAAAAATCAATAAGATTATAATTTAACCTCAACTGACAGGTAAAATCAAATATATACATGATATAAGTGAACGTAACATCATTTATTCAATTTATTTGCTACAAAATAACAAATCAGACACAGTTCTAAATTTTTAACTTTTTTTTCAATCTTTGAAAGTTACCATTAATTGCACCCAACCTATATTTAAATTTTTAAATTTTTTTTTTTTTTAGGAAAATCCTACTCATAATAGCCATTGAAGATAGAATAATTTAACATAATTTACGACATATCATTTATTTTTCAAACAAATTACATGTATTAAAGCTTTCTAAATTACTCTTATCATATTGCTGCAATTTCTCTGCAATACTAGTTGCATCTGCCGGATGTAGAAAAGATTGATTTTCCAGGAATCAGGGATGCTTGTTGTAGAACTAAGTACTAGCAGTGTTTGAAACTCACTGCAAAGTTCGCCAGACATAGTAAAAGTTGCCAGCCCTGCCAAAGATCTACTAGCCCAAGAAAATAATTGTCTTTTATATATTTGTTTTTAACGATTATGTGACTTGAACCAGGTCACCATAACTTCAAACCAGAATCTATAGACTGATGAATTCTTCCTCTTTGCTTGTAACACTTTGCTACTGATACTATTAGTTGATATGAAAAAAAATTATCAAATATATAAATTTTTATTATCGAAAATTTTAACACGTCCAGCCAGGCGTCAATAGTTATACGTGCAAATTTATTCACCTGCTGCAAAATTTGTGCGTCTTGGATGGTCGGGTGCACGGTTATTTCAAACACTGGTACTAGTACTTGGATTTACAAGTAGAGCTATGTTTCACCGGTTCACATGCATCTTACACTTTCTTATGATGTAAAACACAACAAGTTTGACATGATCCATGTGTTTTTCTAGGTCTTGTAAATGCACAAAGTAATCTGCTGTCCCTTATTACTTTAAGAGTCTGAATGACCGAGAACAATAGCGTTCCATTTTTAGATAAGTCATATGTAAAAAATTCAATATAACAAAAACAACAACGGTTTTGCTTTGGGAAAAAATACAACTGAAATTGGAAAAAAAAATCGGTAATTTTGAAAGGGGAAAGGGCCGATATTCGGACCTAAATTGGGTGTCAAAAAATCACCGATTACCTAGTGTAAGCTTTTGTGTCAGTGGTTCTACATTGTACATCTTCAGTCCTGTTTCTGTTGCACATGTGAAACAACCTGTGAAAGAAAAAAAAAATAATCAAGTGACTTGGAAGTGTAAGGCGGTGATAAAATATTCTTTCAACAGATCAGGCAAATTTCTTGCATTTTGGAATCTTTATCATATCCCAATATTCTGGGGTAAATACTATATTGAATATTTGCAGTTCTTTTACTTGGAATTTATTGTGAACTATATCTTAATTAACTATATGTAACTGCTGGACAAAAATAGATGTCTATGCCTATGGGAAGGGGGATCGAACTTCGTAGCAGGGTAAAAATGGGAGAATCCTGCCTAACTCTGGAAAGTTGGCTGTATGTCAAAATCTAGACTGCATCTTTTGCAGTTTAATGAGGCGGATCAAATTCAAAAGTGTACATATAAGCTTTGTAAAGGATGTTGATGGTACAACTGCGTTTATCTCAATGGTTGCACCATGAAACATATTTAGATTTTAAAAAACCCAATTGACAGTGACTGTAGTTTATCTCCCCACATAAAACTTCTACAGTACTAGAAGCCTATTTTCATGTTTAAACTTTACCATGATCTTGGTTGAATCTTAGGGAAATCACCCCCCTTGACATTCCTCGATTTTTTCCTGAAATGAAAGATAAATAGCGTAAATGCTTTAAAAAACTTTTGAAAAAAGAAACCAGAAGCACTGATCAGTCTGATGTTCCATTGAAAATCATAGGTTACTCAATACGATATTTACCTTGATACTAATGACACTGTCGGTATCAGATATCATCAGATATTCAGTCTTTTTAGGGAAACATTTTCTCAATTTCTCATTTTCTGTTGACAATGAAGTGAAAGTTGTTGTTTTCGGAATACTTACCTCCTTGCCTTTAAGTTGTAATATTTCAAACGCTTACATGACTTCGTAAATTGCGTAATAATCTGTAAAATCGTCCTCAAAACGAAATATGAAACAAGATTTATTTAAATAAATTCTTTAACACAGTTTTAAATATTATATGAAAATTTCTATCTCAAAAAGATGTTTTTAAGGAATATGTTAGAAAATATAAAATATAATTCGTAGTGGAAAATTTCGTCACCTTTTCGTTTTCTAAAAATTTCCTTTCAAGACTTAAAATGGCGACTTCGAAAGGTGCAAACACGTACAATCGACAAAATTGGGAAGATGCGGTAATATTAACCTTTAGTTATCATTTATTTCCTTAAATCCCTTCTCTTTTTTGTGTAAACTATATGTTTATTTCAAAGTTTGGTTATAGAATAATCTAATTGAAGTGTAAGAAGAGCAACAATAATTTTGGTACACCTCTCCATTTGTGCGTTACGATTCATTCAATTCATAAAAAAATTAACTGTTTTAATAAATTTGATAATCGCTTAAATTATTTAAAAAATAAACATTTATGCCCCTGTGATTGTAAAGTGTGATTTATTTTAAACAGGTTTTCATAATTTTCCCCCTGGGTTCATATAAAACAAATCTATATAGTATATTGAATTAATTATCTCTGTAATATCATACATCAAGGTTGAAATACTCATCACATTTTCAAAATTTCTCTCATGTTAACATACTCTAGACAGTTCTAGCAGAATGTCTTGAATAACGCCATTTTCACAGTATTTGTGTTTTTTCATACTCACTTATGTTATGATGCACTCTGCATCAAAATATATGATTAAACCCTTAACAATTATGACCAAATTATGACAAAATGGTACCCCTAACAAGTTAAATGATATATAACACTCCCATGTTCTAGACAATAAAAATATTAAAGATTTACTACCTAAAATATGGGGTATATTTTGCGTTATGCTGTTGCAGCTGAAAAATGGCTTTGTTTTCCAGTTTTTGTTTCAGGAGATTTACAATAAAAACTCTTAGTTATAGATGTCAAATCATTGTGAAATTATCCCTCTTTTATATGCAGTTTACTGTATGTAAATCAACAAAATATTAGCGAAATAATGTTTAAATATGTGAAAATGCAGATACGTTATGAAATTTAATAAAATTCTACTGTTTGAACTTGCAGTTTAAAAAAATATATGTTAATGCATTACTCTTACTTTAGGTTCATTTTAAAATTAGAGTTAAATGATAAATGAAACAATAGAGAAAAGTTTGAGTGGATTCTTCGAAACTTAAGGAAATGACACATTTTCTTCTTACTGGCATCAAAATGTCCCAAAATTCTGTAGTGTCCGCAACATGTACTTATTCTGGAATGCATTATGAATTATATTTCTTTTATTTTACATGTAAGAGGCCAGTACAGCTACTAATGTATCTACCAAAAAATATCAGACTTTAGCTCAGTGTTGCTTGGAATTCTGGCAAATATATTGTGTTTTGTAGAGTCCGCAACGCTGTAGAGTCCGCAACAGCTTTTTAAATTCACAGTTTCTTCAAAAAAATGTAACATGATTTCAATTGATCATCACTATAATTGTCCAAATATTCAATACAAATTTGTAAGGTTACAAAACTTAGTGGAACTATAACTTCATACTTTGAATAACACCCATAACGACTTGTTTATACATAATATTCAAAATCTTTCAATTGTCAGTCTTATGTTATATATTGAAAGTTAATTTTCATGTGGTATTTAAAACTGAATAAGTGGAAACTAAAGAATATATCAAGATGTTAATTGTTAATTAATAAGTCTAGTTCTAATTAATACAGTTGTGTTGCGGACACTACAGTAATAACTATATACCACATTCATTTATTATTTTCACTTTTTATTTCATTAAATATTTTTGAAATGTAAAACACTTCTCTCATATTTTGCTCCTTTGATAATACAATTAGTTAACTGGATTAAGATAACAAATGGTGATTTTTGTACAAGATAACACTTCAAACTTACTGGTATATATATGGGTTTTACTTTCCAGGCCGGGTAGCCATTTTTGACTAGCCTTTTTTATTTCCCTATAATATAACACCATTTACTGTACATATAGAACTAGTTAGAGATTAAGATTTTCAGTTTACTCCATTCAAACCAAGTATGGTGTCATATAGCAATATTCAATATATTGTAGTGTCCGCAACAATTTCAATACTGAAAAAAAATTATGGATGCCTCAGTAAATTCTTTAATTCATTGAATTTATCTATAAAACTATTTGTTATAACTTCTTTAATTATATTAAAATAAGTAAAATCATAGACATTTTTTAAAACTGCAAAACAATTATACATCAAGAAATAATTAATGGTCCTTGTTATGTGGTTATTTTCATCTCAATAAACCACATTCTGCATCTTTTTATATGATACATTTTCAAGAGTTGATCCGGTGGTATATAATTCAGCCTAGAAATGAACATTTATCAACAATTATTTTTATAAAAATGACAAAAGATTATTCTTATGGTTACTTGTAGTGTCCGCAACAAAAATTCTATGCATTTTCAAAGCTAGACAAGATACAAACGAAGATATCCAGGGTGTTATGACAAATGTATTTGAAATTTAGAAGTATTCAATTTAATTTTCACATGATAATTATATAGGTCTTATGTGTGATTGTAAAAGTAGATAAACTTAAGGAAGGGAGATAAATTAGGCAAAAAAATTAGCAAGTCATTAATGTGAATAAAATTTTTGTTTTCAAAGAGAACCATAAGATTTTTCTTTTATTTCACTGCAATTAGGTACATAATCAAAACCTGCAAGAAGTTTGGAATAAATAAATATCTTTAATATTTTATTTTAGACATAACAGGTGTAATGTAGTGTCCGCAACACAAGGTCTCGCCCAAAATTTGACTTCGCATAACTTTTTTCGTAAGAATGCTTATATAAAAAAAATTTGGGACTCATTTGCATAGATATTGTACTTTCTAGAAAACATGTCAATAATGTGCTGTTTGACTTTTTATTTTTTGGTCCAAGTGCAACACAATTAGCACAAATACTGTGAAAATGGCGTAAGCTTTATAGCTTGAATAAGCTACTTCACATTCTGCTGAATTATTACAAATCAGTTATCCCGTTGGTCACACATGACCTCTTATAATTTCATTCAAGACATATCTGTGTGGCCACAAATCAATTTGCTATATATAGCCTCAAAACTTTTAAAACTAATATGTTGACGATGTGACTGTTAGGGTGAGCGCAGATACCTATTACCATGATTACATCCGTCTCTTCAAACTGCACGTGACATTTGGTATGTCGATCTAGACTCTGATGTCACATGACGTTGTATGTAAGTTGCATTACCAAATCGAAGCTTGAACAGTGCTAGTTTTAATGAAGAATGTTTAATCTACTATTTTGAATAGATAAATCAAGCTATATAGCTAATTTAATGTAATGGTTTGGGCCATGGATGTTGGCCTGGGTAGCTCAGTCAGTAGAGCACCTGACTAGTGATGCAGGGGTCCCCGGTTCGATTCCCGATCCAGCCATACATTTTCTCCTTTCCTGTTACATTAAGGTATAAAGCTAAATCAAGAGATTGTGCCAGACCTGTTGGAAATGATATCTTATTAGTTATGAAATAAGCACAGTAAACTCTGTTTGAAATAAAAATGTATGTATTTATTTGTAGGAATTCCCAATTTTATGTCAAACTTGTCTTGGAGATAATCCTTACATCAGGATGGTAAGTATCAGAAGACTCGGTGTACATACAAGTCAAGAAACCCTGGAATATGGAAGAATTTTATCCATTCCTTTTTATTGAGTTGAATTATTTAAAAGTGTTCAAACTGTCATGTCCGTTCAGTATAATATTATTGAAAGTACTCTTTAAATTCTTGTTGAATTTTAAGTAAAAACCCTTTGCATATTAATTAATGTTATCAACTTTTTTTGTAAATTCATAAATCATTGTTTATGATCCTTATACATGTGTACATGTTTGGTAAATGATGAACATTTATGAACATTCATTATTTATGTTTTTGGTTCATATCAACTTTGATTTCTACCTTTACAGATGAAAGAGAAATATGGAAAAGAGTGCAAAATCTGTGCCCGTCCATTCACTGTATTTAGGTGGTGTCCAGGGGCACGAATGAGGTTTAAAAAGACAGAGGTGTGTCAGACCTGCTCTAAGCTTAAGAATGTGTGTCAGACTTGTTTACTAGATCTGGAATATGGTGAGTATACAAGTAAAAAAATGTTTTCATAAAATCTGAATGAAATTTGTCAAGACTGTAGAATTTAGTTATTTGAAATAAAATATTCAAGAGGAATGGAAATAATTGATTTGAATGCTACAGATTCTGATATACATAATGTACATCTTTAATAAATGCTTTAAAGTAATGACAATAATTGGCAATATTGATAGGTTTTTCTATTTTGGAGAGTTATAGTACGAATAATCAGGTACTTATTTGGAAGTTTTCTTGCACATAGTCAAAACAAGTGTTTATTAAGAAAAAAAAATAAATACAATTTGATTCTGATATTTTAAAGTGCAATATATCCTCTTAATTCACAACAAATGACTTTGATTACCAGGGTTGCCTGTTCAAGTACGAGATGCTGCTCTTAAAGTTCAAGACAGTATGCCAAAGTCTGATGTCAACAAAGAATATTACACACAGAACATGGAGAGAGAAGTATGTAACAAAGTTCTATCCCGATTACAACAGCAGTTCATAAAATACAAAGGGAATACCAGTAGAGTGTTTGTGGAATGTGAAGTCATTAACAATTTTTTGTTTATTAATATATTTTGATAAACATTGCACCGTGTGTTATGACATCTCAAATTATGATATCTATTAAAAGAAGCATTGTACTGTTCACTAATTTACATTGATGAATTCTCCCAAGTATGCATAGTAATAATAAACTGATGAGCTCTCTGAAAACACTTTTTAGATTGCAAATAATGATGGGACAACACCTGGTGGGGCATTAGGCAAGGCCATGGCTCCTAGTGATATGTTACTAAAGTTAGCCAGGACCACCCCCTACTACAAGAGGAACCGCCCACACATCTGTTCCTTCTGGGTCAAGGGAGAATGTAAAAGAGGAGAGGAATGTCCGTACAGGTGGGGATCAATCTTGAAATCTGTTCTGCATGAAGTTTAATGATGCAGGATTTAAATGTGGAAAAAATTGGGTACTTTTTTTTTTTTGATTAATTTTGCTTATGAAATGTGTAAATGTACAGTATGTTTAAATATTTTGGCCATCTGTTTAATTAATTTTCTAACTAATTTTCAGTTCACACTCAGAGAATTATTTATCATTGGACTTATTAAATGATTTAATTTCTTAATTCTAATATGCTCGTTTTTAATTTCATATATAAAAGTAAGAAATTTGCCAAAAAAGATTTTTCTTATGATTTTCTCCATTTTGCAGACACGAAAAACCAACAGACCCTGATGATCCTTTAGCAGATCAGAACATCAAGGACAGATTCTACGGCAGTAATGATCCAGTGGCTGACAAACTGCTACAGCGATACACAGACATGCCTAAACTGACTCTACCAGAGGATAAAACTATCACAACTCTATATATTGGAAATCTAGGGGAGAATATTGGGGAAAAGGAACTGAGGTGGCTATTTTCAAATGATTTCATTAAATTGAAGTATAAGAAAATAAATTTTCAATGTCTTTGTGAAAAGATTCTGAGTTATGCGAAATTGTTTTAGAAACTAAAATTGTTGTTCAGATGGATGAGATGGTATTTTAGTGTTCTATATCCATTGAGGCTTACCTATTTTAGAGCTCAGAAAATCCAAAGTGTACTCTTGATCTTGCTCATATTGTATAAACTGATAAAAATGAACTTCTAAATAATCACTGTTTCAAATTTTTCTTTGATGATTGCTTTACAGGGATCACTTTTACCAGTTTGGGGAGATTCGTATGATCAATGTTGTTGCAAAGCAACAGTGTGCATTTGTACAGTTTACAACAAGAACTGCAGCAGAGGCAGCCGCTGAGAAGTCCTTCAATAAACTAATTGTTGGTGGGCGTCGCCTGACCATCAAATGGGGCAGATCTCAGGGACAACAACTGGCATTAAAGAAAGACGGGGAAGAAGATGATAATGATCTCGAGCCTGTACCTGGTCTTCCAGGAGGTAAAACAGTTTTTTGATGCATTTTGAATTCAGATAAATAGAAATATGTTTGCAGGTAAATTGTTTTAGAGACATTTAATATGTACATATTTACAAAAATAAATGTACCTGATAGTTTATATGTGTTGGATATGCGATGTTGAGTAACATCCAATATTTACTGTCTGATAGATATTTTCATTACTTGCCATTTTTGATCTTACAGCATTGCCAGCACCTCCTGAAGAGATTGCCAACAATTTCTTTAATCTCAGTAATCCACCTCCACCCATGGGCATGCCACTCAGACCGCCACCTCTTGGTCTACCACCTAGGGGACCTCCAATGATGCCCTATGGAATGGTGAGAGGACCTCCTCCTCCAGGTGTGTAATGATTGCTCATAGACTCACTTTATATGGCATTTAGATTGTTAGATTTTTATGAAACCACAAAAATTAAAAATTAATGTACAGGTAGCTCTTGATGGCTCAAACTTTGATCTCTCGAAGTTCTTGATCTCTCAAAGTGAATCTCCAGTCCCGATGTTTTCCCTGTATAACTTAACAAATTTACTCTTGATCTCTCAAACTCTCAGTCTCTTGAAACTAGGAGTGAAATGGTTCACAGAGGTATCGATTCACTGTGGTATTTTTTCTCAGTTTGATACGCGGTGCAAAATCTCTAATTTTCGGTTCGGTTTATTTTTCGGTCGGGATTGTTATTCAGTCGGGTTTGTCTTAAGGTAAAACACGTTACTCAGTATAAATAATTATAGAAAACGTAAATTTTTGATGACTGATAGTCTGTAAAATAGTTTTCGACAGTCAAATAATTCTAATCAATTTCTTCTAGTCAATTTGCTAATAAAAATTTGTAAATAAAGGTACTAGATTTAGTAAAAGAAAGCATAAAACAAGGTTGAATTTGTTTCCTTCTATCAAAATGTATCGAAAATAACCGTACCGAGACAAAATTATACAATACGTATCGAACCGTGAAGGAGGTGTATCGTTTCACCCTTACTTGAAACCCTTGATCCCATGAATTCAAAATGCATTCCCACCATGCATAATCCATTGCTATTTATCCTTGATACCTCAAAGTGGCTATGTGTACGCAAGTCTTTACATAATTGACACCTTTACCTGGACAGGTTTAAACGAGCAACCCAAGGAATGGGCTTTTTATTCAGGGGACACTTGTACAGCAGGGTGATAGTTGATTGGTAATAAATCATATTGTTGCCTGTCTACTCTTAAAATAATTAACATCGACAGTCTCACAATAATTTGGAGACATGGTGAAAAGTAGAAATTGATTGAGATGAGACACTTATCTTGAGTCAGTGCAAAAGCTAAATAAAAAATAAAATTGCAGAAACTATGCATAATAGCATCAATGTCAATATGACGACTATTGTAGAACTATTACTTACAGAACTATGTTTGATACTTGATATTAACAGATTAGAAGTAGTCTGTGCTACAACGCTGAAAAATGCAGTTTTTATTTAATGACTACGTAATATGATGTTTGGCTAAAATAAAATAAATAAATATAATGACAATTATATACATTTTTTTTGCTTATTCAGTTTTATTCACCTGAAAAATAAACAGGCGTATCAGTTTTAAAGCACCTGTTGTAGATGAGTACTGGAAATGAATGAAATCATAATATCTGGTTAGACTAATTTTAAAACCCGCCAACTGAGAATTCCAAACTCTTAAAAACTCTTGATATCTCAAAGTTTTTCTTCGGTCCTGTGGACTTCAGTTCTAGATATCAAGAGTTACCTGTACATATTTACTTATTAACAATTACCTTTTAAGAAAAACTAGTAATGTTCAGTCATCATATTTATCAAGACAGGATTTGTTATTGATAAGGCTGTTAATATGATTCATAATTCACTTACTATTATATATACATGTACCTGTCTGTCATTGTAAGTATAAATGAGTTCTCTAACTTTAGCTCCTTAACTTTCAGGTGTGAGACTTCCTCCTCCTCCCCCGGGAATGATGCCCCTTAGACCCCCTCCAGGTCCGCCAAGAATGACCCCTGTGACCTCTGTAGCTGTTCATTACCCATCACAGGATCCTACAAGGATGGGAGCCATACCTTCAGCAGGAAAGACAACCTGAGAATGGGAAGAATTTTAGATGGAACAAAAAAAAATCACATGTGTTATGGAAAGATTTATTGTAATAATAAATGCATCAGGAGAGACACCCTGTGATTTTTAGTCTTTAGATGGACAAAAAAAGGAAACACTGCAATAAAACTGTGCAAGTCAGCAAGGCATATTGTATTAAAGAATAGTAAATCAGGCTTGCATATGAAATGTTGATATTGTTTCCATTATTTCCAGAAATATATTTAATGCTTGAACTTGAAAACATGTGAACAAAACAGAATAAATCATGACAATTCTTTTATTTTACTGTTTAAATATCCTATAGGATTGTTCCAATATTTACAATGTAACTCTACTGGTCAAAGAGCAGTTGAGCTAATGCGATGGTAAGGTATCTCACTGTAAACAAATGTTCAAAGTACTGCTCATATTACAGCTTTCGGACTGATCTCAATAAAACCTGGTACATAGATCCAGGATTATTTTTTTTGGGGGGGGGGGGGGGAGGTGTTGAGGGGTTGGGGGTTGGTTGTCTTTATCAGTTTTTGATTTCGATGAGCAATGTCAAATTTTATGTGAAATTTTTCAAAAGGCAACTTATCCTTTATTTTAATCTGATTTCAATACTGCTTGACAAAGTAAACCAGAGTGATAATTCTTTTCACTAATGTTTCCAAATCCTGCATTTCTCTATGTTACAAGTACAAAACACATTTCTGTCTCGTCAGAAAACATTTAAGAAGCTGAAGTATTTTGTAAGGTGTTCATCCACCTACATGTACTATATGTTTTTCTGTGCATCTGTCCATCTGAAAATTTTTCAAAATGCTTTAACCCTTAGTCTGATTTTAACTTTTCACACATGAGTACAATCAAGACACATCAACATATAAAAAATGTGGCTAATTTTCATGACATTACAAATGCACTGATTTACAGCATGGACAGATAAATAACACAGAGATCAGTGGACGCTTCCTCCCCATTTACTTGAGTTGAGCATGATATCATATTTGGCATCTTCAATCTCGTAATAAAATTTCTCTTGAATACACAAGAAAGGAGGGTCTATGCCAACATAGGCCTGTTGGTGCCAGGGGGGTAGGGTCGTCCCAAATAATTTTATAGTAGATACTTCACTACAGACAACAAACCTCCTCAATAATTTTGACAGTATATACTATACAATAAAAATAAAGTTAATTTACTGTTGTGCCCTCTCAAAAATAACGTCCGATGACATTTTTTGGTTTACGCAGGCACGGGGGGGGGGGGGGTCGACCCAAATAATATTACTAGTATATACCTTACTATAGTAAACAAAGCTAATTTATAGTTGTGCCCCCTCAATGATTTTGACACTATTTGAAAAAGGTGAGGATAAAATTATAACAAACAGTGATCGATCTAAAAAAAAAAAATTAAAAAAACACCAATATAAATAAACAAATAAAGAAAAATCTGTGAACAGGGCATAAAACACAGACCCTTGGAAGTTCCAGAGGTGGGATCATGTCCCCAGGAGGAGTAAACATCCCCGGTCACCGGTCACACCTACCATGAGCCCTATGTATTGATCAGATTGACGGAATAAACCAATACGCCTGTGTATTTTAGTTTAAAACAATGGCCTAACAATTAGTATAAAATATGTCAATCAAAATAAGACCCAGTGATAGGTTGTATTTGCAAACAGGACATTAAGACCGAAGAACGAGTTTGTTGTAATACCTGTAACATTAACTTATTTATCAGTAGCCTGCCTCGTTTAAAAATTGATCAAATTCACAGCATGCTCATGATTATCGAAGTTTGGGAGATACAAACACCATCTGCAGGTAACTGTGGAATATTACTAAGACATGTCACGCCAAAAGTGTATAGTGTCAGGGTTGTTTCGATCTACATAACCTTTTCTTTACACCTTTTTGTTTACATTTATATTGATTAATTCTGAAGCTATATTCGTTTATACTCTGTCATGGTGTCATGACACCCCCCCCCCTCCTTGAACTACCAAATAAACATTACTAAACATGACAATTATTTTTTTTTTTTTCGAAAATGTACAAGAACAGTTTTGTAAAAGTAAATTGCTTAATTTATTTTCAAAAATGTATTGCCAAACCAACACTCCTTGTTTATGACTTATCTTTACTGTGTAAGTTTCTTATCAGACAGGCAAGAACCGGCATTTTACTTGTACATGTAACATTCAACAATATGTTTTATTCAGTGTTTGTTGGGTGTTTCTGTTGTATTTTGTTAGTAGTTGAAGTATCCTGTTCAAGACCAATGGATGAAGGTGTTTCCGACTTTCCCCTCAAGATCTACTGAGAAAAATAAACGAGCAAGACCAAAAAATTGCTACTTTAGAAGCAATGGCGAACAAAGACCGCGCAGAACTGACACCTAAAATATCGGCCCTAGAAGCAAAGATAAGACGATCGGACTACAGACAAGGCAAATTAGAGAAAACAATAAACCGTTTGAAAAAGATAATCTTGGACTTAAAACTAAAAACGTTGACTGAAAATGTTGATATTGATTCAATATCGGAGGGAGGGTATCGCAAAACATCAACTGAAAAGACTAAACAAACTGTGATTTTTCAAACCCTAAAGGACTACAGTGATGTTCCTAGAAGTCAAAAGAAGAGAATCCTTACCGGGGGCGGGGCTGTCCCCTCAGGTAATGATTGATGTACTACTGATAAAACAGTGTATAATGCATGAAATGTTTGTCTTCATTTTTATAATATGATAATCCATTATCATTTAATTTTTATTTCAGCGCATGTAGTAGCATTTTATGCGTATATGAGCGCAAATGAGCCTAATCCTGGTAAACATCATACAGTAATATTTAATACCGTCATAACCAATGTTGGCTCCTCGTATAATCATCATGATGGAGTATTTACCGCTCCAACAAACGGCGTTTATGTGTTCAGTTGGAACTTATACAGCCAGTTTCATGGGCTTATTGCTTCGGAACTGATGGTAAACTCCGCAAGTAAGGGCGGAAGGCTCTCAGATAGTCGAAGTGTGAGTGAGGACCACAGCTCTAGCGGAACTTTGGTGGTGGAAATCAGTCAGGGTGATATCGTCTACATAAGGACACACCAGACATTGTCTATTTCAGGAAACATTAACAGCTATCCGAGTTCATACCAATCGTCATTTTGTGGATGGCTTTTAATCTAAAGTAAACAAGTTATTTTAGAGAATTTGTGTTCCCCGCTTAAGGAAAAAGAAAAGGGTGGAAGAACTGGAAAAAGTTTGGCAGATGGAGAAAGTATAATGATCAACCTTTACCTTTCAACTTTTGGCCTTAAAGTCAATAGGAGTCTTTTAAGAAATTCATGTCCAAAAGTTTTTTTGCAAAATTTCAGACGAGAGGTCCAAGGGCCTTAACGGTCACCTGAATATAATACAACACTGCAAAGGACCCTAGAAGTACAACTAAAAGGGAATAAAATGAGAGATGAAGCAATGTTGCACAGGAGCAAAAGAAAGAGGGCGATCAGGGATCAACAAAATAATTAGTCTAGTACACAGTAACAATTCTTACAGTAAATCTATCTTCTTGCCTGTACTAACCTCCATTTGTCATTATCATCATGTAAACTATACAAAACAATTGTGCTATAGCACTTTTTTTTAACCCATCTCAATCCCTCTCACACTGGCTTCTCTTGGTCTTTGAAGAATATTTAATACATAAAAAGATAAGGCATTTGTCTCATTTATTTATTATTTACAAATCTATGTGACCATAAAAACAAGGAAAGTACTTTTTGTAATATATATTATAACTATAAATATTTCCATAGGACATGAATGTCCCGCCCAAGGTTCATTAGTGAATAAATTAATTTTGGTTGTAACGCGTTATTTGATTGGATAAAGAAAATTAGTATATATCGTATAACCTGTGTTGCTTACATTTTTGAAGGAGACATTGTCTTCTTTTCTACACTTAATGATAGAATTTTTTTTTTTATAAACTGCTTTGCGGTTTATAAAGCGTAAACTGTCCCATCCCAGGTTATGCAGTATAAATTGGGTAGCTATTAAATTCATTCCTTAATGAAACATGAAAATTTGTATAAATGCATAAAGTTTGATGAAAATATCTTGAATAGTTTCTTTAACACTGAGTTTTATTCACAATAAATAGTAAATTCAAAAGTCACTGGGAAGGACAAGGTAAAAAAAAAAATGGACACCGTTGATAATTTCTCACCAAATAATGTATCAGTGCATTAGCTTATACAAAATTATCTATAAGAATAGTTTCTTTGAAACTGACATACACACAAATTTCAGAAAATATAGGTCAAAGGGAAGGTTGACAAAGTCAAAGGAGAAGTCAAGGTAAAACGTTAACGTGTTGATGCAATTGAATAGCTCTCATCAATATGTATAAGCATATGAAGTTTGATAAAAATATCTTGAATACTAGTACTTTCTTTGAAATTTAACTTCACACAAATTTGAAGTCAATGTCAAAGGAAAGCTCAAGGTCAAAAATGTTGATGCAGTTGAACAGCTCTCACCAATATGTATCAGTATATTCGGTTTCGTAAAAATTTCTTGAAAAGTTTCTATGAAACTGAGCTTAACACTTATTTAAGAAAAAATAAGGTCAAAGGAAAGGTTAATTAATTTTTTTTTAAATATTGATGTAATTGAACAACTCTCATCAATATGTATAAGCATTTAAGGCTTGATAAAAATTTATTAAGTTTCTTTCAAAATTCAATTACTCACTAATTTAAGAAAATGAGGTCAAGATCAAAGGAAAGGTCGAGGTCAAAAATGTTGATGCAGTTGAATAGCTCACATCAATATGTACATGCACCAGCATATGAAGTTTGATAAAAATATCTTCAATAGTTTCTTTGAAAATGAGCTAGACACAAGTTTTAGAAAAGTGAAGACAAGATCAAAAGAAAGGTCAAGGTAAAAAATGTTGATGAGGTTGAATAGTTCTCAAAAGTATGTATCGGCATACATGGTTTGATAAAAATAGCTTGCATGAGAAAAATATCTTAATTAGTTTCTTTGAAACTGAGCTAAACACAAAGTGTGACGGAAGGACAGAAGGATGGATAAAAATTCTTGAATAATTCTCTTATACAATTGACCTTTCAATGACATTATATACAGTGATTAATTATCATAGGTGAATAGCAAACGGGAATAACTTCTATCAGAAGAACGCAAATTATCAGAGCCCTGTCCAGCACAAGAACACAACAAGTGATCAAGAATTTCACAATTGTCGTAAAAATACCCTTGCTTCTTACAACTTTGTACTCTGTTTGTTTAGGAGCAGAGCAGAATATTTTCAAAGAAATAATGCATTTTCACTATAGATTCAACACAGGGAACTCTGAAGCGTTTGAGAGAGATATAATCTTTTCGGGGTTGAAAATCAAACCATTAACCAAAAACATGAACCTGAGATATCGATATTAACTGAAATGGGAATTCTAGTGATAATTAATCTAATCAGATAGAATAGAACCATTTAAAGACGGACAAACGAAATATAGCTAGTTCATTCAATCCACAAGATGTTCCCGAAGGCAACGACAAAAATCCTAACTGGTAACGTTTCTACATGTAAGGAAGTATTATAATATGTACTGTTTATAAATTACTGTATAATGTTTATCAAATCATTCATTTAGTCTCATTTCCAAAAATGTACACGAGTCCAATAATACGAAATAATATAAAGCAGTCTGATAAAATACTATCGGACTACAATGACTTCTATCTGTTGTTTCGAACTCTTTCAGGTTTTCAAATAAAAATTATGCCATATTTAGTTCTTCATAAAGATGGACATCAAACTTTCTGATTTTTTTTTTCATACAAAACTGCATTTGCTATATGCATTTATATATCAAATACTTAGTTCGTAGATCAATTTTATGAAACATCTATATAATAATTGCATCAATTAACAAACGTAATCGCCTTTTATGCATATCTGAGCGCAACCGAGACCTCTCCCGGTAAACATCACAATGTAATATTTGATGAAGTCATCACCAATACTGCAACTGGTTCGTCCTACAATCCTATGACGGAGTATTTACCGCACTGTGATGTTTTGTATGGTACGATATTAAAGGGTTTTTTTTCCATGATAAGTGTAATAAAAATTATTTATGAAAAAGATCCAACAAACCTTGGGGTTGAATATTCGGGGGAAAGGGGGAATTCTGTCCACAAGTATTCGTGTTTTGTAGATATCAAATTCAACTTTTAGGGCCGGGGGGGGGGGGGATTGTAAAAGAGAACCCAAACCATTTTTTGTACGCATTGGTATATTTTTAACATTACCAGTCACTTATTAAGCATAACGAGTTCTGAAATTGAAAATAAAAGTTTTCTAGTGAGAAATTATTAGACAGAAATTATGGGGATATTTAACCCTAAATAGCATCCAACCTTCATGTTGAGAATAAGGTAAATGATTGTATGACACCCCGGGCATCCCTATTCATCAATCTCCTTCTTCATTGACCAGATAATAGACACTTACATTATCTTTTTTAATCGATCAAATTAAGCATGATTCAAATTTTCAAGATGGTGCATTGACATATCACGCTAACTGTCAAAGGTCGTAGCGTCTTGGGACTGAAATGGATCATCTCGGTTAAGCGAGGCTATGTAGGCTTTACAACACATGTTACAGTTACTCGTCTTCTTCCGGGCTGTAGACAACAGGTTGTCTCCGATCAGTCTGGAGATATAGTGACAAAGTGAATGAATCACCCATATCATGGATGGATGTGTTGTTTGTTGTTCCGTGTTTTTTTTCCTGAACAATTGACATATTCATAAGTTTCTAAAATTCATATTAAGGATATCTGATCCTCAGCCAGGAAGAATAACTCTTTAATTTATTATTTAAATCAAAAAGTCTCAAAATGAAGCTTAAATATGAAATCTTTTCATGCAATAATTTTCATTTTATGCATCTCAATGTGATTCAAGGTTCTTTGAAGTTTTAGAAACAGTCTTTTAAAACGTTGATATTTTTACCTTATAAAGGTGTGTTAAAAATACAGATTTAAAGAAATCGACTTTTCCTTTAATTTAGCCTTAGATACCAGTGCTAATTAGCATGATATGAAATTAGAAACGATTTATGGTGTTTTGCAATGATAGGAAACACTTTATAAACTATGCATTATAAAATAATTGAAGTACACAGAAGAAACTAAAGTACTGTATAATTAAGTATAAAAATTATCCAATTTTCTTCAAATGCCTGGATACCTATATATATATATTTTTTATCCTAAAATGTTTTTGTTGATCAATTTCCAATTAGAAAATGCATAGTAGATGTCTTTATTCGCATTTCCTGAAAATTTATTCAAGATTTACTCATGTTTTCTATATAATATGATTAATGAAGAAATTTGAAGAATTACCGTAGGTAAATTCACATTACTTTGAGAATTCAGAGACATTTTTGTGAGCATTTTCAATCATTCAATGCCTGATTTTCAGAACCTGATGATCGGACTACCTTAAGTCCAATTTGAACTTACCGGTAGTTCAGTGCATGATTCCTTTTCAAGCGATAATATGCAAAAAAGAAGAAAATACACTTTACATTAAATGTAAGTTATCAATATCTTTATTGATAGATTTAATACGTATTTTGCAAAAGTAAAAGCAGTAATACATAAAAAAAGGATTTATTGTGAATGAAAAAGTAGAAAGTATTTATATTTGATTAAGGAGAATGACTTAAACTCACATATGAAGTATTCTGAGACAATGTCACTTCACTTCCTACACAGCATAGTTTTCGTAAGTTGGAAGCACTAAATGCCCAAGAAAATCCGGGCAGTAGAACATTTTCATCTATATTTGTTTCTACTCTCAGTGCAGTATGTTCATTACATATAGTCACAAACTCCACAGAACTTCAAGAAATTTGAAATCGTAATTCTCCCCCTCCCCCCCCCCCCCCAATCAATGATTCACAAAAATAGATAAACATGGTTTAATAGTTTCTTAACTATAATTATCGATTGTAACTGTAGTTTACAAATTGTGAAATTATGTTTAGTTCCTTTTTGTTAATTTGGCGTGCCATACTATGACAAGGGCATAAAAATATGACTTTTCAACACTTAATACCACCATTTCTTAAGACAAATTAAAGATCAAGGTTTTTGACACAGAGAACTGCTTCTTCAATAAATAAGAAACTCAGAATTTTTCATATCTTGTGACTGGTCATCAACAGAAATATTTGGCTAATACTAGTTATCATTTTGATTCTATACTAAAGTACTCTCAGATTGATATTTAAAAGATGCAAGAGTTCCTCATTGACAATATCTATTTAGTATTTGGAGACAAAAAAAAAGTCTAGTAGAAGTATTTTTCTTTGACCTTAAATTCAATTTGAAAATTAGAAAAATAATTAGATAGATCGACAATGTTATATCAATTTACAATATTAATTTTCATTCGTATGTCCATTCGATAAATCCCACTGAACTAGAAATAAAAGACACAACAGAGTTTGATACGTATATTTCATATTAGGATGTTTTACTGGAGAGCGACATAGACGACAAACTAACAACTAAACGTTATGATGAACGTGTTCTTCAGACTATTCTTCAAACTATTGAGATATAAGTTGAGGTTATGATATTAACAATATTGTTTAAAGTCAACATTTCACAAATTCTATGGTCGTTACAATGACTTTGTTCGCAAATACGATTTGTTCAGTCGAATGTTGACTGACGTTTTTAATTTCTACGGATTACGTGTACCTGATCAAGACAAAGGGATCACGGAAGGCAAGACTGGTCGGCAATTGATGCTTGCTTCTACATGGCACCTGATCCTACCCCGATATTTCCAGGAGATTGTGATTGGTTTCCTATCACGCAATGATGAATTTGATTACTGTTCGTTATTTACACATTTCAAAGAAAACAATAGTCAAAGTTAAAAGAATCTCCTAAGGCAATGATGAAATGGAAATCTTTCTATCACTGAAATTACCTAGATAAGACGAAATAGGAATATATCAGTTTGAGCAAAACACGGAAAAAAAACTGGCGTGTTTTCATTCAAAATGTATCCTGAAATATTTCGGCTAAGAAACTCGAATATAAATTCCTACTTCGCCTTATAGGTTTTCATTTTGCAGACAAACTTATAATTGTATCGTCAATATGAAATATGGAGATAACGAACAGTATTCAACCTCAAAGTCCATTAGACAATACAAATCGGGAGCAGAGCAAACACGGACCTCCAAAAACATCAAAGATCTCCGAAAGCTACATAGATATTGTCAATCAGAAACTCTGGCATCTTTTTAATATCAACTTCAGAGTACTTGTGTGTACAATCAGAATACTTTTTTTATTTTTATTTTTTTTTTTTTACAAAATTCTGCAAATAACCAATGACAAAATAAGTATATTTATGAGTTTCATTTTTATTGAAAAAGCAGCTGTTTGTGATGTCAAAAAGCCTGGACTTTAATTTATCGTGGGGAATAGTTGTATAAAGTGTTGAAAAGTCGTACATTTTGATGTAATTTTGTGATTCCAAATTTTCTAAAAGTTCCTCGGAGTTTTTAAGCATCCACATCTGATTTACACCACTTCTCGAATATACTGTTGTACAGTACTCATGAAGTTTCTCCTTCACTGCTGTAAATACTTTAATGAGGACTAAAGAAAGAGGTTTGGTAGAACATTACCTGGAACCCGCTATGTATCTTTGTAAGGATTTTTATGGAGTTTTGGAATCCAGTATAGGTATGGTAATTCATATTCATTTTGATTGTTGGGAATATTAAAAATATTTAAAAGTGAGATATGGTTTTGAAGAATTCCCTCCTTAGAAAGGGATCTATGGGTATAAGTTGGATTACCAATTGCAGAATTTAATCCTAGTTCCTCTAGAATACAATTCAAATCTGCTTTGTCAGCGGGGACCAGTACATACTGATCGTGTAATCTATCTAATTCTTGTTTCACTTCTGCATTGTCGAAGACAGAAGGATAGATGGTTTTCATATTGCCCTTCAATCGCTTATTGCGCGATTTCAACATCCATCTGATACATTTAGTCCATTCTGACAAAGTGTTAAGGTCTTCTTTTTCATATTTAACCCAACTTCTGGCGTAATCATAAGATTTCTTTAGGCCATCTTATAATAAGTGATTTAAGGTTCTCATTATTAACTATATTTACGTCACCAGTAATGACGTGTCCAGCTGGACTATAGTTGTAGGGTGAAGACAGAGCATGAACACGTTGGAGGACTATGTTTCAGATGCTCGATATCTAGGCACTGTAGAGTTTTTTTTTTATAATTAAAAAGTTTGGAAGGAATTGTCGATGTATATTTGTAAGAAATACAAGATGTGGACTTCAGCTTGATAGTGGAATACAAGACTGGACCTTTCTGTGATTAAGAATATTACTTATATTAACTGCATCAATTCCTTTTTTGATATTTTGAAGTTTAAGGAAAAACGAGTTGTATGAGCGGTATTTTCTTCTACTGTTTGAAGACCCTATGATTTGCAATATGCATTTTCACAGATTCGAGCCTGTATGCTGGTGTCGAAGAATCCAAATAAGGACTTTTCTTTGACTTTTACAAATATACTATGCAAAACTTTCAAAGGGACAGAGTAAAGATTGGTACGAATTTGATGAAAGCCTAATTGTTTATTTACGTAAGGTAGTAGTGAATCTAAGAAGACATCGTGTATAACAGGTTTATTGAAAGACCGATGCCCATGACTATGCTTACGTCTCTGTGTACTGCTAACTTTCCTTATTTATGTGTAATATTTCGCTATCACCTGCATGAAAACTATAGCCCCAGTTTTGCCAACTGTGCATTTGCATATAACTTTTCAAAAATTGTATGAGGAAAAAAAGCATGCGACATTCCATATTTAAAATTACTTTAATTTAAACAAATTTTTAGATACATTTATAAACACTTTTAATATAGAATAGTTTACATGTTTACATATTCAGTGAATTTTGCTTCAGATTAAAGTTGTCAGTTCGAACACATATCGCCTTATTTGTTGAGTAGGTAGCATGCAAAGGGAATGCCCCCGTCGTCTGGCTTTCTTGTGGAGAAACAGGACAGACAGTTTTGGGGTATATATAAGGCGAAAATCGTCTAGTTCCCGGAGAAAAGAATGAAGTAAATCCTGCTGGTGACGTAGAGTTGCTCAAGTACATATTGCGCCTGGACTGCGTAGAAGTCATTAAACGCTGCAATAAGTCTCTGTAGGCTGCTCCACCAGCCACGGACGATTCCGGCCGAAAACGTGTTTGAAGGTACGATACCAAGCGAACACATCTGTCATCCGTTGCATTTAAACCTTCCACGTCTGTCATGAACCGTTGAATCTCCCGGATGCAGTCGTTGTAGCCCACTTGGTAATGATGCATAAAATCAGCCCAAATGTCCGAAGAAAACCATTCACCTATAAAACAAAAGAACGTCTTCATTTTATCTAATTATTTGTGGAATTCTGTTTTTCAGCTGTGAAAATCGGCACTTGGAATACGGGCGAGGAAAATAACTTAAAAAAAGGATCGATTTTATCTCGATTCAAACATCGTACTGCCCATTAAGAACCATGTTTGCCGTATCCCGGGATAATAATTGGCACGTGAACGGCATGTGCCGTGACATAAGTTACATGTGATTGCAGCACGTAATCTGACAGATGCCCGCCATTTTGAATACTCACTATTTTCGAAGCGCAGACCAATTTCTGTTGCTTGAATTGCACGCAAATAATCAACTGTCATTTCTAATATTTCTGCTTTTTCAAGTTTCCCAGACGTCTGCAATGAAAGTTGAACTTTAAAATTTGTTTGTGCAAACGACATCTCTTTGCGACCTAATTGATGAGATAATATTCTTTTTCATTAAGCTATTTCTTTATAAGTAAGATCACATAAATAGTAAGAGTACCATGCATCTTGAATATCTTTATCTATTTTTGCATGTGGTACATAAGTGGAGTTGAATTATTGTGTCAGTGTCATACTGTAAATTTTAAACTTCTCATATTGGCTATACTTTGTTCACAGCTACAGTGTATCTACTTAATTCAAAATTTATATGTTAAAATTTTGAATATCTGTCGATCCTAAAATCGCCGAAAAGTAAGCGTACTTGAAGTAAAAAATCTTCATTCCATAATTTCTATCTTAGGCTAAAAAAAACCCTAAATGTATGCTAATGGAAATGACGAATCATTTATTACGCAAATGTACAATGTGCAAACATTTACATAAAATATATAACACATTGAAATAGCAAAGGGTTTCAAAGACAATGTCTTTTAGAATAGAGAAAAGGTGCCGAATGCCATCCATTTACGGCATAAATTGCAGCAAACTGGAATATTAACACAGGTGGAAATTTTAAAGTATAAGAAAACGAAACAAATGTTAATCTAGTTTATTATTATTATAATTCTAAATTGAGTTTATTATTATAAGAGTCTCGCAAAATATTCATGATTAAAAACATTTAAGAAAATACATAAAAAAAATTAATTGGACAGAGAGTAAAATGTTATTTTTCGAAGTCTGTTTTTGTTTGTTTTCCAAACATGTATTATGGATTTGATTCTCTATTGTCAAAATGAAAAAAAGTTGATTATCTAAATAAAAGCTTGTTCTTTTCACTTTGTTTTTCCTTTTATATTTTAAGCCACACAGTTCGGAGACTGAAATGCTTATACATGCATTTTAAGAAATAAAAATAATGAAATCCTAAACAGTAAATCTAAATTAAAGGTTTTAAAAATGTTTTATAAAAAATAGAAATAAATGTTGCATCCTTGAAATTTGTACTCAGGTGTCAATACAACGATTTACAGGGCCTGTATCTTAAAAAAAATGAAAAAAAAAATCTTTTGGATAACAAGAAATTGTCACAGTAGTGTAATAACAATATATAGGAATATACTTACTTGTTTAGAAAAAGCTGCCGGGACTGCTTGGCTGAGTTCGGATAAACATGAATTGATTCTGTCCCGACGTCTTTTTTCGATTACTTTATGTGAAGTCTGCTCTGCAACCTGAAAAGAGAAATTAAATTTTAAAATAAAAAGGTATTGAAAATGAATATTTATAGATAAAATGAGTCTTGTTTTCCTCAATGTTTAAAATGTTAAATATTACTGTTTTACCTGTATCTTTTTGCATATTTTTTCCATTGCTGAATCTTCTCTGTCACCTTTGGAAATAAGATGGTTTTCCTTCTGTAAAAATTCTGCGTAATGAGGATAAAGTGTTATCTCGAGATTTTGACGGAGTTTCTACACGAAAAAGCAATCTTCTTTACTTCCGCGCTTTCTTAGAACACAGTTTGCCACGTTTGATGCACGTGCTGTATTTCAAGTCATTGGATTGTTCGGGGAGTCATTACCTCACGTGATTTTAGGGCAACAGCAGAATAGAGGGTCTAATGGTTGTTAGTATGCAACGGCACGTGCTGGGACTCCCCGCACGCGCGCGATTTTATAGTCGACGACTGTAGCGGCACGCGAGACAACGGAAATGCTCACGCGAGTCAACCTATGCGCTGAGTACCCCCGCCCGTGTTACGCGAGCTGGTGAAATGTATAATTATTTTGATAGCCTGGATCAATAAATATCAGTGTCGGTAACAGCTGATAGAAAAGATACATTCATCTGATGACACGGTAGACAAAATTTAAATTTTTTTGCAAGGTATTGAATAATATTTCAGATTGATTTAATGTTACATCGACTCACACACAATAACCGATTAAATTACGCTGAACAGATTTGTCGGTACTTAAGATCTCGCATAACTCGCCAACGATAACAGTATTGATGCTTTTTTGTCCTGAAAACTCATCAAGTTTGTTATAAGAGACAATACTTTATGGATGTAATGTGCACACATTTGCTTGAATTAAATATCCCTAACTGATATGTATATAACGCTTGGAAGAAGGCATAATAGTGTACTACTTGAGGTTTCTTTTGCTCATATAAAGAAAATGTTGAAAAAACGTTTATTCTGTACAGGGAAGTCTACAATTATTTTTTCTCAATTTTTCCCCCTCTAATTCACATTTGCTCAAGTGTGTCGCATCTTCACACTAATAAACACGAACACCTGCATGTTATGCCCTGTCAAATTAATGGATGAAATGTTCATTGTCACACTACGTGTGTAATATTGGGGTCTCCCAACAAAATTTGCATGATAGAAAATAAAAAAAGTGACTGAACAAACATAAAAGAGGAAATCTTTAGTTGAAAACAAACGTATTTTAAGGAATCTAATGCATGCTTGCGATAGAAACATTTAGAATATATAATGGGAAAATAAGACATGGTTTCAGGGGAAAAAGGTTTTAGGCATTTTTAAACATTGTAACATGTAATATACTCGTTAAATATCAAAACTTAATCACTCATTACTAAATGTACGGTACGTATAAATGTCATCCTGATATCTATTAATATTCTACTACAGTTATTGATGAGATCCAAGAAACGCAGCGGACATTATTCTCCATTAGATTACGAACGGCATCAGAAGTTTATCAGATCAGAAACAAATATCAAAGTTGTGCAGATGAAATGAATTCATGAATTTAGAATGTAGTGCTTACTAAGATTATATCGATGTCTGGTCTTCTGCAGTCTAAACCTTGTATATTGCCCAGCTGATCATGCATACTTTTATAGCTAAAATAGCTGTTCCACGGACCTACCTTTAACATTTTACATTTAATCCCATGATTTTACTGATAAATCAATGATTTTTTTTTTGCTAATTCATACTCATAAAAATTAACCAATATATGTTAAAACCAAACGTATAAATGATTAAAGGATATTTTAAATCCAACAAAAGCTCAATGGTCTGCAATCACGTTTTTCCTCTGGTGTTACATAGAACAGCCCTTTTCTTTCAAACAAAAGCAGCTCGTGCGACATAATACATGTATGACCTAATCCAGTTCTCGATCATCCTCATATTAGAGCTCTTATTAAATAGAAATAATGTTTTTGTTTTCATGGATGATGCAGGATAACCTCCTCAGCCTCGAGATGTTGTTTAGCCACCTTCAAAGTACAACATTCACCCCTCCCTTTGGGCTCTGTGAATATTGTACTCCTCAGGTGGCTAAATCATCGTATTGACCTAAAAAAAAAGCAATAATTGAATAATATTTACCTCAATATCGGACAGGTCATAAATGTCACGTGTATGTAAAGTGTTCTTCTTTCGGTTAGTATATGAATTCAACTTTAAATACCGTATTATTCTTTATAAGTATTTTAAGGTAGTCCGATCCTCAGGTTCTGAAAATCAGCTTTGAAAATGCTCACAAATATGTCTCCGATTTCACATACAATTGTAGTAACGTGAATTTACCCATGGAATTTCTTCAAAGTTCATCATTATATTTAATCATATTATACAGGGAAAATTATCAAATCTCAAATATATTTTCAGGAAATGCGAATAAAAACACCAGCTATGTATTTTCTAATTGAAAATTGATCAACAAATAAAATTTAGGATAGAAAAATATAGGTATCCAGGCATTTGGAGAAAATTGCATCTTTTTTTTTTAGCTTGTACAGTATTTTAGTTCTTCTTTTTACTTCAATTGCCATATAATACATAGTGTAAAAAGCTTGTGCTATCATACTAGACATCACATATCATATCTAATTTCATATCATGCTAATAAGCAGTGTTATATAATGCTAGACTAAAGGAAATTCGATTTCTCTAAAAATGGAACTTATTATTTTCTCTTATGGGGTAAAAATGTAAACTTTTTACAAGACCATTTCTAAGATTTCAAAGAACCTTGAATCATATTAAGATGCATAAAATGAAAAATGTTGCACGAAAAGATCTCAATTTCAACCTTCATTTTGAGACTTTTTGAATAAAATAATAAATTTAAGAGTCATCCTTCCTGGCTGAGGATGGATATCCTTAAGCTTTTTATTCTGCTTATTAATGGAGTACTAACAAAACACTCATAACGACTGTATGAGACTTGACCTGTCGTATCATAAAGCTCTGGAGAGCTTCCAAGACTTTCTTTTTACTACACTAGACAAAATTGCTAACGCACCACTTGTTATTCTTGTTTGTGAATTGAACACTTGCCCGATCGGTTATAGTATTTATAATATGCCATCTTTTCCAAAACAGTGGGATTGACAAATGTCTTGGTATCATAACAAGACCCTCAAATGACTTTCTTTCCCAAAAACCAATTTCCCGACGTGCACTGCGCACCGTTTTTGCCTAGATATGAAGTTGGTGACCACCAAAGGTGGTCCGCGAGGTTGCCACAGAAGCAGCCTCCCAGTTAAAAATCAAATAATACACAGCTATTGACTATCATATCGCCTAGTAGTCATGCCTTGGTGTCCATACAAAATCCACCCAACTTCCGGTTGACCCAATTTTGTGGTACAGTTTTCAAATTATCGTGTGCTGCTTACTTAATGCCGTGGCTATCTATAGTAAACATTTTTATGTTTTTTAATCTATTTGCAACAATTTCTCATTAGAAGAATTCATAATCTTTTAATTGTTTTCATTTTTTACAAATTTCTCCAAAGGAACCCCCTGCAACCATCATACTGTCTGCTTAAGCACGCTCTTCTAGGGCCAAACACCGCATACGGTGTAGATTTTTTCTGATTTTTAATTAGTACAAACATAAAGAACACAAACACAAAGAAAACATAGAAATTTATTCTTCCAAAAAAGTTTGGACACGATTTTAATTTTTTCTATGAAATGGTTACGCTTCAGTAAACATCGTAGTTATCTATCAGTAAAGACATTTAAATTCCTCATTTTTTATTTAAGTAACATAAATATATATCAAATACATCATAAACAAGTTTTGAAACATAAAATATTAATTTTCTTTAATGGTGCGTTAGCAATTTTGTCTAGTGTACGCCGGGTTAAATCGATTGAAAATTCAGAACCTAGATGTGATTCTTGTGATTTTTATAATAATTTTTTTTTTTCATGATGAATATTTTACTTGTATTTTAATGAGATCCAAATATAGTTAAAGGTTGCTTGTTTAGTGTTGTTTCTGTTTTAAAATATTTTATTAGACATTGTAGCTCCTTAAATATTTACTTGACAAAAATAATGTAATGGAATCTTTTACCAGTTCAATTTTCGTATAGATATATTATACCATGACATTAATTGAATGGAAGGAAGTGGTATTTATTTTTCAATGTGTAAGATATTGTCCCGACAACAAAATTTATTTCGAGTTAAGAAAAAAAATCTTGTCAAATTTCTGACTCATGAAAACATTCAAATCATTTCTACATAACTGTCCTTTTTATAATGCTAGGAAATTAAAAGATCATATTTCTCTTTCCTTCCTACAAACTGTACATGATTTAGAAATGTTTTCCAAAGAGAATACAACAGATCAGTGTACTAATATTGAGGTAGGAAATAATAAAATTTTGATAAAAACGGTGTGACGGTGCAAAGTATACCAATATGGAAATATTTCCATTCATAGAGATTCCTATAATTACTATAATTGTGATACATTATAACGGTGAACATATAAAGTTCCCTTAAAAGTCAGTAAATTAAAAGAAAAGAAAGAATCCTTCAAGTTAACCAAATTTTAATTCTTCAAGTGACGATTTCTATTTCATAAAGATAAGAACAATGGTATGCGCAGATGACAAATATATAGGTGTTAAATTTATATTAACATAACGATTGAAATTTTCAGTAATTTACACTTTTCTTCTTGAATTGTCACTGATTTCAAGATTTTTTCATGTTATTCTTTTGTACAAACGTTGACCATCTCACAAACTTTCGTTGGATCCAACAGCTTTTGAATGATTTTGTCAACTATCACTGAATATTCTTTATTGGCCAAATTGGAACACTAAAACATTAAAGGGAAAAAAAATCAAAATATTATTTCTGTGAGTAAATGCGGAGAAAAGTATACTAAATGCTTCACTTTATACATATAAACTACTACGTAGCTTAGCAACTGTTGCAAAAAAATCATCATTTCTTTTAACGTCCTTAAGAAAGAGGAGATCTCTACGTGAGCAAACAATCTCTGAATTACTTATTCCTAAACATTTTACGATAAACTAATAAAACTGCTTTCTAATAATGATTAGTAAAAATACATACGATTTTATTAACGTTTAATATTGAAGAAATAAATTCTTAAATGTTAATATAAATAAATATTGGGCTTTAACAAAAAGGAAAAAAAAACCCATGTCATCTTCTAATCAACTTTGATTTCTAAGCACATCATTTTCCTATCTTAGGTTTATACATTACAATAGATACTATATTTATATCAATCTAGATAGCTCATATAGCTAACACTCTCGTTGAAGTATAAAAAGATATAATTCCTCAAATATCATTGTTTGTGCTTTTCCATTTTCCCGCTCTTTTATTTGAACATGTTTTATTGTGATAAATTAAGTCAATGGGATGGAACACGAGTTCTAAAATCATAATTTGCTATCTCCCTAATTTCCCCTCAAACCCTTCAGGAAAACGACAAAAAACACATCCAACCTTCAACTTCTTAAAATATTTCAATATAAGCATCATTGAGAAAATCTGTTACAAAGTGATAAAGAAAGTCCAAAAAGTTTTTCTTTATTTAGAATGTTTTCTATTGGTCAAGTATCATTGTGTGTCTATTTATATATAAAGAGTGATAAACTTTAATGTGCATTTGTAGACAACATTATTACTTTTATTTCTTTACTTTTATGACTGAATGATTTATATTATGATCGGTAGAATTACAATGCTTTATACATACAGCGTTGTTTGTTGGGTTCGGAAGACGATGACAGATGTCCTGAATGTATGCTAAAACCTTAGCCTATATGGAAAAAAGTGAAATCAAGTTTTTAAACATATATACTTTTAACATACTGATGCACTTAAAAAATAAAAGAAAATAGAAAAAAGAGAAAAACACACGATGAATTTTTAAAGATTGGTAGTGAAATCGATACAAATGTACTTTCTTACTTAATCGATTTCTAAGAATTGAGAAACTTACGTCATCTTTATCCAATGAATCTGTAAGAGTCTTCACAACTTTTTTGCATAAGTCACATTTCTGATTTGATTGATCGGCCTTGGGAACGATTGACATCATAAATTCAGGTATGTCTCCAACTATTTTGGTTACTGTAATGCATGGAGAAAGAGAATTTTTCATATACATATGTCATTTCTAACATTCTTGGCTGTTTTCCGCCATATCATACTTAAATTCACATAGAAATAATACTTTGACATAAGAAAAAGGGGAAGATAACGAACAGTGATCAATATGACAAATCTAACAAACAATGCAAATCGTGAAAAGGGCATAATAACATGGACCCCTGGAAACACCAGAGTTGGGATCATGGTTCTAACAGTAAGAATCCACTGCTTACCGGTCAAAACCGCCGTGATGAGTGTTGTGATCAAGAAAACATAGTAATCCGAAGTCAATATTGGTATAAAACAATGACCTAACAATTCATAGTCAAAATATGACCCAACCATAGGTTATATTTGCAAACAAGGTCATTAAATTATATAAAATTATATATATATATATATATATATATATATATATATATATATATATATATCGAAACGTCGAATTGAAGGCAACAGCAAAAATTTTCTTCTCGAAGTGAAAGTTTTTGAAAAAATTCTGCCGCACAAGGATAGTAAAGGAACATAATTAGTGACCATCGGAGTTCCCACAGATTGTTTGAATACCTGGTCAACAGAGACTACATAGAAAATGGTAATGAAGAGCTCCCGCGTCTTTTTTAACTTTAGAGTGTTAGAGTTTTAACAAAGTATTTGTGTAGATTACCAGTTGCAAGATATGAAAATTTCTGAGTTCCATTTTTATTGAAGAAGCACTTGTCTATGATGTCAAAAATCATGGTCTTTGAATTATCCCTAACCAAAAAAATACTATATTTAACTATAATTTACTATAGTTAATTATAGTTAACTATAGTAAATCAAAGTGTAAAAAATATCACTACAGTAAATCAAAGTTTTCAAAGTGATCACTATAGTGTCAAAGTTATCACTATAGTAAATCAAAGTTTTCACCATAGTAAATCAAAGTTTTCATAGTGATCACTACAGTAAATCAAAGTGTCATAGTTATCACTATAGTAAATCAAAGTTTTCAAAGTGATCACTATAGTGTCAAAGTTATCACTAGAGTAAATCAAAGTTTTCACCCTAGTAAATCAAAGTTTTTATAATGATCACTATAGTAAATCAAAGTTTTCATAGTTATCACTATAGTTAATCAAAGTGTCAAAGTTATCACTATAGTAAATCAAAGTTTTCACCCTAGTAAATCAAAGTTTTTATAATGATCACTATAGTAAATCAAAGTTTTCATAGTTATCACTATAGTTAATCGAAGTGTCAAAGTTATCACGATAGTAAATCAAAGTGTCAAAGTTATCACTATAGTGAATCAAAGTGTCAAAGTTATCACTATAGTGAATCAAAGTGTCAAAGTTATCACTATAGTAAATCAAAGTTTTCATAGTGTCAAAGTTATCACTATAGTTAACTATAGTTAACTATAGTAAACTATAGTTAACTATAGTATTTTTTTGTTAGGGATCATGAGGTATTTAATGCTTTTGGTTTTAGAAAACATTTTGTGATTTTAAATTTTCAAAAAGTTCTGTATGATAAAGCTCCTTATAAAAACTACAAATTATGGACAAATCTTACCATTTTTACAATCATCTGGAAGTATTTCTTTGCATAATTTCTTTGGTTCAAAACCGTTTTCTAACTCCTTGATAATCAAAGGCACTGTGTTCAAGCACTAAAAGAGTAATTTGTTTAAAAAAACAATAATCATAATAATTTCAAGAACTACTTTCCAAGACGCACAGACAATAGAACAAGATATCTACATAAAACTTATAAAAACTGAATAACAGAATCGTCTTCCACTGAAAAACGAAAATAAAAAAAAAAATCTTTCTATGTACAGCAAAATTGATGCAACTTTTCCAGGAAGTTTTTGTTGTTTGTTTTTATTTTCTGTATATCTGAGTTGTAATTCCAAATTGAAGCAAGAAGGTTTGAAATAAATTACATGGGATATGATTTCTCCTTGCACCCAATTTCAGCTGCTTCACTTGTTTTAACTCTCTAGTGTTGTTATTGTAAACAATGGAGAGCAGAAGACAAGAAATATCAGAACAAAGAAAACTGGCTATAAATTTGTATCTACGTGGTGAAAAGCATAGTAATTTGGGAAAAGTATAAAGGGAAAAGTATGCAAAAGAGCTCCAATCGAGGTGTCTTTCACTGATTAACAATTTTCAATTGCCAATGAAAATATGACTTATAAACCAACATGTTTCTCGTAAAGTTTTTGTAAGGAGTATTGAGATAACACCATTCTCGTAGAATTTACAGTCACTAAGTAAGGAAGACCACAACAGAAAACAGTGATGCAAATGTATGAAAAATCGTAGAGTTGATGACTATTGGATATAAGTGAATTTTTCAGATAATTTCAGATAGTAATATCAAATGAAAATCGCCCGTATGAGTGGATGAAGGGCATTGTGCAGAGTATGTGGGTTTATATGGCCGCATTGTATGTATATGCGCTCTGTTTTGGGGACGTGTGACATATTCAGGAGTGGGGACATTATATAGTTCCTATAAATGGAAATATGAACTCTGAGTCGTATATTGATACTCTTGATGAGCATTTATGGCCAGTCATTTCAAAACAGTTTGGAAATTCATTATTACTAAGTATTCCAGGATGACATTGCTGCAATAATGTAGCCCTTTCCGATATTTCTTACTGATTTCTTCCAATCTTTTTCTTCAGCTTCCATTACAGGTCTCGCGTGATGTACCAGACTTGTGCTTGGAATTCAGAATAGCTTGAACAAGTAAATATTTGTGCAGTTGGTATCACTAAAACATCTATAAACAAAAGCATTCGATGTGCAATTTTATTTGTTTACAGCGCTATTTATCCTTAAAATAAGGACATCCTATATTTATTCACAAGATCCGCTCCCTTGCTCTCAGATTCCAATTGGCTGTCCCAAAATAAAATAAATCAAGGTCAGTAATTTATAAACATGGCGGATAATTTCAGTTGTGTTGTTGAAATACACAAAAAATAACCGATTCACTAAATTTTTGGATCAATTTATGTCTTACATAAATTCATATTAATAATTAATTTCTGATAATTTTAGCAAAAATATGTGCATGCACTATTACGAAAACCCCATGGAGTTGTACCCCCCTCCCCCCGGAGAGGGCTACATTACTGTAGGCTAAGGACGTCAAAACCCCCTGTTATATGAAAATAGTTTAGATTGTCTTGACAGACCAACACAGTTACTAGACATCAACATCATCGAAAATGTATGGCTAATTCTAAAAATTCGACTGAGAAAATTGCTGACATCTATTGAATCCAAAGATGATTTGATCACCGAAGTTTAAAAAATGTGGTCCTCTCACTGTGCCTAAAATCAAACTTAAATCATACAATTCCAAGGAGGAAATTACTTGCAGTAATTTCTGCTAAAAGACTGAAAATTTTATTTAAGTGTCCTTAATAGTTTTTTCATTAATGATGGTTTGAAAAGACAAGAAAGTTTGCCCAGAAGCGACGACGTCAGGGAAAAGTTGCATCAATTTTGGCACAAGACTGTATTAATCTTGATACGTGCTGCAGCTGCTTTTTAGGAGACCAATAATTTAATGTACTGACTATTACAAGAGTTGTCCTTCTTACCGTTTTGCTGTATGGTTCTGGTATGAAACGACAGATATTATTAAGATATTCATGAATAGTGTTCTCTGTCTTGTTGTCTTCTAAGAATATATTAGTAGCCTCTGCAAGCCAAGTGCACACATCACACTCAATATCCTCACCCTAATAAAACAGAAATTCATATAAACTGATTGCATATTTATATCTAAATGTGGCTTAACAATACAAAATTAGGAAAAAAGTATTGCATGTGATTTCAAAATCATTAAAGAGTTGTCTGAAAAATTGTGATATTGTCTAATTAACCAAAGGTAGCCTGGCTTTCGGAGTATACAGTCGAAGGGGGGAATTGTGGACTCTATGCGTTGGTGCCCCCTTGTGAAATTGCTATAGTTTTTCTTTTCTTTTGTATAATGCTAAATATATATGAAAATATTCTTTAAAAAATGTGAGCTATACATGTAGTTGCATATTTTTTCTATCGTTTTATCTTACTTGAGTGTATTTAAATACATAGTTATTAGTTTTGTTATGATGTAAATATTCTCAAATCTGTACATTTAGATATATCAAATATCAAATTTTTCTATCGGCTTCAGGGAGCTCCTGGCACCCCAGGTGATGATATATTTGTGAGGGCCTCTGAGGAGGCATTACCTCTACATTTTTTGTTAATAGATTATTGCACTAAATTAAAAAAAAAAACACAAAATATACATTCTCAAGAAAATCCGAAGGATTTCCAGATTAAGTTTCCATGCAATCTATTTGAATTTTTTGTAATTGTTGATATTGTTGTCCTATCTATTTAAATTCTCTTTTCAGTATGAACGATTTAATGAAACAAAAATAGGTTGAAGATGAAATATTGAAAATTCTTACAACTTTTAACTTTCCCTCTTCGGTTTTGACGAGATCTGATGCAAAGTGGGAGAATTTTTTCACCACTGATCTTCTATGTCTGATGTTGTCTCGTGGACATGTGGTCTCACACAGTCTAAGGGCCAACTGTAAATCAGCACAACATCTCATAACCTCTTATTGTTATCAATTTGAGCATTAACTTTTTTAAAACTATATATTTTTATACGATTTATAGTAAATATTGATATTTTTTTGATTTGACCTTTCAAGAAACTGGACATGTTTAGTACAGATATTCTGCTTTTCTAGTTAATTTCTATGTTTTACTTGTTCTGTAAACTGTCGGGGAAGAACAGCTTCCACCAGTCCATGACACATTTCGCACGACACACCAGGTAACGTCAGGGTCAAAGAATAGGTCCCTGAAATGGTTATTGATAATTAAAACCAATGTTTTGATTCAATTGAATCTAGACACTATAAGGGATATTCATGGTCGCTTTACTAGCATCATTTTCAAGAAATATTATCTCATGGCTTAATGATTACTCATCGGAAATGACAACGATTTTTTCAGAAATATGCATTGTTGGTCATTTACGATTACGGTACATTTAGGATTTCTGCTTTTTTTTACAGAGAGGTAATTGTCCGGTTTAAAATTGTCGTCTTGTTGCAAAGAATTACAATACCAATGACTTTTTAAGCCATCAATATATGTAAGGGATACAAGACGCAGATGGTCTAATGTGTCAAATACGGGACTGGGACGAGGGGGACTGGGACGAGGTGAAAAGCACCGAGTCTCAGTCCCGTATCATAATTGACATAATAGACCATATGTGTTTTGTATCTTACTTAAAACATTTTTCACTTTGTATTTTTGTATTGGTTATTGTCATAATACGGTACTGGTGACTGTGACCAAACCAGATGGATGGGGCGGTTTAAGAGATTTCTTTCAAAGGGTTGAATAGTTTTTGAATTAAAACCCCTTACTGAACCCCAATCATATATTATTTATCGTAGTGAAACTCTACGGATGCGTTAAAAAGAGCTGAGAAACTTCATGACATTAAGAGATTTTGAGAGTATTGTGAAGGATCCTTTTTTTAAGGATGACGATTGTAAGTGACCAGTAGACAAATATTCCAGGAAAGCGCCTTTTGTCTATTTGTTGCCTTATTCATTCGTTGTGTAAAAGCTAGGTGACGTCATCCTTTATTTCACACAGTCCAGTATTATTTTGGAGTACAATATTAGATATAATACTGTATAGATATAATACTGTACTCCTGAAAATAATATTGGACTAAAGCTAGTTTCAGCCTGCCGAGAATTCTTTTGAATCAAGAAGGTATTGGTTTTAAACGTTTTGTTTTACAATATTAAAAGCTCTTTGAATATCCAGGTGTTTATAATTTTGCAAATTCCAAACATAAATAATGTACTTGCATATAATAAATACTAAAACTAGAACTGTCCCACCGGGTTTTTCAGAGAAGGTACCAAATCACTAAGGTTTTCTAGATGTGAGAGGTGTTCACAACTTGCTTAAACATTTAGAGTGAAAATTTAATTACTCATATTTTTTTTTAATGAATGAAACTAAGGTGCAGCCTAATAAAACATCAATACTAATAATTACAGTGTTTTTTATTACATTGAAAAAATAGTTTGCAACTATCTGTCATCTTTGTGAGACATGACACTCTGCAAATTGATTGTTAAAAAAAATATAATTAATTATACAAAGTCAAATTGATCTTAATACCTTTATATCAAACTCATTTTAAAAATAAAAGGCTGGTTTCAGTAACTATGTATTACAATTAAGAGGCTTAGACAACAGAGATCTTTATTTCTTTCTGCCCAATTCCCAGGAGATATAGATAAGACCTGCTTGATCAGAGATGCCCTAACAGCTTCCCACACTGAACTCATTAATTAATCTTTAACTGGATGCATGTCCACTCATTACTCCAAAGGGAAAAATAGATTAACACTATCTGCTGTGTAATGTAAAAAGTGTTTTTAATATTTTGTGATTTTTTTAGTTCTAATGAGTAGTTTTAAGCTGTAGTTCACATTTTTGTACAGATGTTCTAGATTCTATGTCTCAAACCTTAGACATGAACCCGAAATGACTAAGTCAATAAAAATGAAAAAAACCCACCTGTAAAATGCAGAAAAATTATCAAATAATGTTGAAAATACCAGGTGCACATCTTCATATGGTAAATAATAAGTGTACAAATTTTCATACAAATCTATGCAATAGTCTCTGGGAACAGATCTGGACAAAACCACAAAATAAAAATGAAAAAAAAAAAACACCTGTAAAATGCAAAAAAAATAATCCAATCATGATGAAAATACCAGGTCCACACCTTCACATGGTGAATAATAAGTGTACAAATTTTCAGACAAATCCTTGCAACAGTTTCCAAGAAATGGTCCGGACAAAATCTCGTCTACAGACAGACGGACAGACAGACGGACATGCTGATTCCAATATACCCCCCTAAACTTCGTTTGCGGGGGGTATAATAACGATACTTTACATTTAAAATTGTCAACTGAAATATCAAATCAGATCTCGTGGAGGAAACTGTCTACGCAAATCTGATGTTGTAAATATATATCTCAAAATTGACTCACCATTATTGCAAAGTTTTATTTCTGTGCATGCTTTTTTCGGATCAACTCCATCTTCAACAGTTTTCACTATATTCGGTGCTGCTTGATTGCACTTAATATAAATTAATATATAATTCAAATGAATTATTTGAATTCAAATCTATTATATTTGCATATAGTTTGTTACAGGATAATCATATTAATTGTAATCTTTGATTCAACAGGAAGTTCTATTGACATTATAACATTTTATAGAATATCTTACTATCTTACTTGGTCTTTCTGTGACACGGATAAATTTCTTGTATTTTGAAAGATTTTATTGAACATTTATTGCTTTAAAGAAAAGAAAAGGTCCTGATCTTTATACTCATGCATATAAATAATTATGTCACTGCAACGCATTAGAAGATAATTAAACATAATATTATTATTTTTGCAATAATATCGGATCATACCAAATCCTTAATAGGTTCTGGTAAGAGTGCACAGATCTTGTAGACGGTGGTGTTGATGCTTTCCCCTGAAGTATTACTCTGTATGTATTCGTCCAATATCTGAACCACAAACTGACAAACATCACATGCAGCACTATCCTGCGAGATATAAAGTCGTCAATACAAAGTCATACTCTATTCACTGCAAAGAGTGTACCATTATACACAGATCAAACATCATGACGTATTACTGTTAAAACTTGTAGAAAGTTTACTTAACAGTTAGGCATTCAGCAATTATGATTATTACTGAGATAAGCAGTCTGAAGAATCCTCACCTTTATTTGTTCTACGTGAGAGATTATTTCCTTTTCAGGTGTTTCAATTTCACCGAGACCTGCAGCAAACAAAATGACTTTTGAAAAGTTTCTATCAGTGTCGGGGAGAGAACAACGCATTTTGGTTCTTTGTTGATTGTGTGACTTGTATTTTGATTGTTTAAATTCTCAGACGATTAAAAAATGTTTCTACTTATTTTTTGTTTGCTATGTTTAGCAGAATAGGAGTCAAATGTAACATGTATTGTGAGAGTCATAAGCAAGCATTATGAGAATATTCCTTAAGCAATACTAGTCCCCAAAGGGCAAGTGTAATCTGGTTCCCTTAAAAATTAAAAAGGCCATAATTCCATCAAAAACCATCGAAATGGATCGAAAAGCAAACTTCTCTTTTATTCATCGAGTACACTCGCATATCAAAAAAACAGCACAATTTAATATCAACAAGCGTTTAGAAAAAAGTGCGGAACACTAAGTAGGACAGACTGGTAGACAGACAAATGGACAGACAGATAGACAGACAAATAGACAGATGAGGAGGAAATCTAGGGGAATAATTCATGTATATTGTTGATAATATTTGATACACTGTGGTAGTAAATCAGGCTTTTTCATTTTGGTAAAAGTGATTTGTTTTTTTCCCCATTATGAGTTGATTTTGCTTAAGAAAATAACATACTATGCTAATATCATATCTAAAAAAAAAATTTTCTGAAACAAAATGCAAAATTTAAATCCTCAGATTTCATGCATGGACAAAGGGGGAAATCAGTGAATTACCATAGTGTGCACCTACATAGAAGGCCCTGAAATGCGTTAGCATGAGCAGAACATCGTTAACGCTTGTAAATGTAGGTATGAAAACAAATTAAAAATAGGTTTCATGTCATAAAAGAGTGTGGTCGATCAGAAAGTTCTTCCTTCGTGAGGGTGTCTTGTGTAATCAATTCGGATTGTTTTGATAATAAGTATTCGAAAAAATTTTGTTTACCAACATCGGTCCAGCCCATTAATATATCAAGGGTTATTTGCACAATTTGGTGAAAAACTACGAATTTACCATCATGGGTAGCCTTTTGGTTAGTTGAGTAAATGATTACTTTATTGGTTACTTAGCTGATAAGAACAACTCACGTTAAAAATTAATATGAATATTATACATAAAGTATTTGATAAAATCACATTTAGATTACATTTAATAAGACTGCAATTAAAATTCATGAATGTATTTTTTTTCTCAAATACGAACTTTTCATTTAGTGATAACTCAATAATTGTGAGCATTAAATGGTATATTACCATAGCACAATCGTAAAGATCTTGAAACTTGTACATGTCAAATAAAAATGCCTTATTTTTCTCTCATTCAAAAGTTATCAGCAAAGTAATTTTTTTTTAAAATTAGGTTAAACTTCAAGGTCAAGGCCATTAGGTAAATAAATCATAGTATATTAGCACCTGATCCCACCTCCGGAATTTCCAGGGGTCCGTGTTTTATGCCCTCTTCACATATTTGTATTGTTTGTGGATTTTTGGAGATCGATCACTGTTCGTTATCTTAACCTTGTTTTATCGTTACAGGCAATGTACATGAATGCCCTCTCTTCTCTTTTTCAGAAGTTAGCGGCAATGACAAAGTTCTGAAAATTAGTTCATTCGTGAAGGTCAAGGTCACGGAGTCAAGAATCATAGCAGATTTGGAGACTTTTTGTCACAGGTAATGCACTTGTCAAATATGAAAGCCCTATCACTTAGTCTTCAGTGAAAATATCATTTGAACTCAGGTAAAATGACATACCCAAAGTTCCGTTTGTACACAGCTTCAGAGATTCGCACGTCTTCAGTGGATCCAGACCTTTCGCCAGCTCTGAGACAATGGATGGTGCTAAAAGGTCGCACTGCAGAAGACAATAGTCACTTGTGAGTTACACAAGACATCTTCGTAAAAATGTCAAATAAACTTACTCATGTAATCTTTATGAAAATATACTTTATATAATTAGACAGTGATAGTTAGTTGATTTAATATCGCTGAAAGTCAGAATATTGTAAAGAAAATTTAACGTTCTTATCCTTTGCACTTCTCAGCAAATAATATGTTACTCTAGAAATCATATTAATTTCCTACTGGATTGTCAGATAGATATTTGAATTGTATAAAGAATTTTTATTTTACTTGAAGTTGCCTGCCTCTCTTTGTTAATCACAAGCATTTCTGTGTTTTTCGTGAAAATGAAAATGATTTATAATTAGTTGAATGTCAGTATTTCCAACAGTAGAGGATTAAAAGGGTGCTAGAGGGCATATGGCCCTTCTGTCACCATTATAACTACAATTACTACAGTATTTGAAGAACTCTTGAGTATTTAGTTAGACTTCGTATGAAATTTAATCTTTATGTAAAGTGCGATTCAGTGATATACATGTATTTGAAAATCTAAGTTGCAACAAAATATCATTACATGCATGAGCATAGTTTATTACTGTATAATTTGTTGCAGTTAATGCCTAGAATCGGGTGATCCCAGCCTTGACATACATTCCTAGAATATACTGCGCTTTCAGCAATCACAGCATAGATACATACTTCTCTTATTAAAAACAAGATGTGTTTGTGAAACACTGATGGCAACTTATAGCAAAGGTTAAACTTTCTCAAATGCAAATCAAATATGTTGGTATTCAAAGTAAGGTCTTATCTCGAGGAATAAACCTGTGAAATATGAAAGCCCTAGCAGCAACCATTGAATAGATTTGGAAAAAAGTTAAAGTTTTTTCGAAAGTATGTCAAACATCAAGGAAAGGTCAAAATTAATGGTGCCCAAGGAAAGGCCTTCTCCCAAGAAATACACAGTGAAATATGAAAGCCGAAGCACCAATCGTTCAAAAGTTATGACCAAGGTTTAAGTTTTCCAAAAGTAGGCCAAACTTCAAGGTCAAAGGGTCAAAGTTGTGGTATCCAAAGGCAAGTCTTGTCACAAGAATAACACATGTGAAATATGAAAGCCCTAGCACCAATTGTTCAAAAGTTATGGCTAAAGTTAAAGTTTTCCAAAAGTAGGTAAAAGTCCAAGGTCAAGGTCAAAGGGTCAAAGTTGTTGGTATCCAAAGAAAGGTCTTCTCACAAGGATTACATATGTGATGTATGAAAGCCCTAGCACCAACCGTTAAAAAATGATGGCCAAAGTTAAAGTTTTCCAAAAGTAGGTCAAACTCCAAGGTCAAGGTCAAAGTTTTTCTATCCGAAGGAAGGACTTGTCATCAGGTATACACATGTGAAGTTTGAAAGCCATAGCACCAACTAATCAAAAGTTATGGCCAAGGTAAAAGTCTGATAAAATTTAGCAAAAGTGGATCAAACTCCAAGGTCAATGTCAAACGGTCAAATATGATGGTACCCAAAGAAAGGTCTTGTCACAAGGATTACACATGTGCAATATGAAAGCGCTAGCTCCAACCGTTCAAAAGTTATGGCCAAGGTTAAAGTTTTTCAAAAGTGGGTCCAACTCCTAGGTAAGGGTCAAAAGGTCAAAGTTGTAGGTATCCAAAGGAAGGTTTTGTCACAAGGATTACACAAGTTAAGTATGAAAGCCCTAGCACCAATTTTTCAGAAGTTATGTTCAAGGTTAAAGTTGGGTAAAATTTTGCAAAACTGGGTCAAACTCCAAGGTCAAAAGGTCAAATATGGTGGAGCCCAAAGAAAGGTCTTGTCACATGGAATACACATGTGAAATATGAAAGCCAACCAATCAAAAGTTATGGGCAATGTTAAAGTTTTTGCAGACAGACAGACAGACAGACGGAAGGACAGGGCAAAAACTTTATGCCCCCGAATCTTCGATACGGGGGCATAAAAATAACCCCATGATGCACTCTTTTTGTTGCACTGTTTGTAAGTTGAGACCTTGAAAGACTGATCACAGAATGAATACGGTTGCAGGGGATTAATTTCACGAGCAAAATTCAAGATGACGGCGATGTGTACCTTTTGAATTATAAGATACTGAATTATTTTTTAATAAGAAAAATATGTAACGAGGAGTGCCTGTGATTTTGACCAATAGATAAATTCTTCCTCCTCAACCAATGCATTTCAACAATGCCAACAACGATCACGGTATCGGGGAAAAGGTAAAAATAGTTACAAGCTATTAAGTTAACAGCCAAACATATTTGCATAAACTGACAAATTACTGGTAGTTAACATCTATTAGATATAATGAATTCAAAATATGTAATGAAATGCTATGCATTATTTCATTTTATTTCCAAATTCAACCAAAACCACAACATTCACAACATCTTAGAACATAAAAAAATGTTTACGTCATTTGCTTTTTCCTTTATAGAAAGAGAGTGAACATACATGTATATTCAATTAATATCGCTGCACAACAAATATTTCTTAAATGACCTATATCTATTACTTGAAGCTAGTTAAAATTTATATAACTTCTGTTAATATTCTATAAATTTACCATTCCATCAAACTTGAACCCTTTACTCAATGGTAGCATTAATGGGAGAAAGTAAGATTAAACACAGATAACATTAAATTTTTGTATCCTGTAAAAAGTGATTTTTTGCCTGGCTTAATATCGTAAGCTATGGCCCGGCTTAGAAGAGAGGCGATCTGCGCGGATTAATCATCGGATGGTAACCCAACAATTGTCAATATAAACATTACGTTTTTCAAATTAAACCAGTTCCCGTTCTCAGAAAATACATGTTGATGACACTGGGCGCTGGGTTAAACTTTTCTAAATTTTCAAACATCAGAAATTTAGTTTTTCTCACATCAGACAAGGGTGAATTAAAAAAAAATGAGCACCAAACTGAATTTTTTGGAAAAATTCAACTACTTATAACATATTTTTCACTTATATCATCATATTGCACATGCATTCTAGTGTAAAATCCTGAAGTTACAATAGAATAGACAATTGGATTAAATTTTTTTAGAATTTTTATTAGTAAAATTTCTTTTGAAAAAAGAAAATATTATTACACCTTAAAAGACTTTCTAAAATACATAATCACAAGAAATTATGGTTTTTTATGCTTCAAAATGGTAAAAGGGGTATAAATGATTAAATCTAGACCTTGATTTAGTATCTTCTCTTGTATATGTGACAAAAATTGGATTTTTGATTGTTGTTTTACATTATTTTTTCAATTCTGGTTTGAAAAGTTTTAATATGAAAAAAATATGAAGAAATAAAATTCCCCCAAATTCACTTTTTTGTCCGTTTAAGTAAATTCTTTAAATCTAAGCCAAATTTTTTTTTTTATATACGACTTCTTGTACAAAAAATACTAGATTTTGAAGTGACCCTATGTTACATTATTGTGTTGCACTCCTGACATCTGATATGTATTTTATTTAACATTGTTTTAAAAATTATAACACACAATAACCCATTCTTACTTTGTTTTTCATATTTTGAAGACCTTAAAACATGATTATTTGCAAAGTGATATATAAATTGTATTTAAAAATATATGTAAAATGATGAAAACTATTCCCTGAATTGACTGTAAAATTTCTGTAATTTGTTGATAGACATAGTGTTTTGATCATAAAATATTATCAAACATCTTTTTTCAACTTATTTTTAGTAAAGATAGTTAAAAAGCATTGGTAATTACATGTATAAAGCAGTTTTGTTGCAGTCCTGACTGCAGTAAAAATTTAAAATTAAAACCATAGATTACAAAAATTCATAAAGTGTTGGCAACATCAAGTGGTAATGAAATTGTGCAATATTTATAGTCCAATACTTCATAATTAAAACAGATGAAAGTATTTAAAATTCGCATTTTATCTGAAATTATTCCCTATTTATGCCAAAAAAACTAGCTTAAATGTATATTTAGAAGATAAAATATATTTTATAGCATATTTTCCTTTAGAGGACAAACACAGTAACCCACCAGAAAAATTCTACTCATCATTTTTTCTTTACTTTTATTTTTATTGGATGATTTATAATTCTAACATATTTGTTGCACTCATGACCAAAAGCATTGGGGCCTTTAAAGTAGAATTGTAAAGTGAAAATTACATTAGAACTTGTTCTGTTGTTTCAGTTAAGTTGAGGAGGAATTACTTGAATTTTTTCACAACTTTTTTTTTGTGTGTTTATTTTTAACATTCACTAAAAAAAATCATAAAAAATATAAAAACAAATCTGAATTGATAAAATTGAAAAAGGAAGGATTTTAATAATAAAACTGTCAATAATTTAGTATTAATTATACAAAAAGATCATTATTAATTAAGGAATACTTCTAAGCATGAATAGAAGTGTTTTCGTAACACAACTTGAATCTTTAAAAAAATGTGTTGCACTCCTGACCATAGAAATATAGATCTGAAGCACAGGCAGATCCTGTAATTGATAAATCTGTTTGGTAAAAATGTTCTTTGTGTCTTTTTTTCCAAAATAAAAATCAGAAAATCATATAATGATAATACTTTTTTCATGCTTGTGGGCAAAACATCAAATGTTGCACTCCTAACATTATTGGGTATGCACATATACTTGACTCTCATTAATGCTGCTTGTGATTTATATAACATTTTTAAGTTTTAAAATGTATATCAGTTATTGTTTTACACTTCCAAAATTCTTTTTTGTCTTAATTTTCTTTCAGAATTTTACAATTGATGTTTTTTCTGTTGCACTCCTGACATGGTATAACATTTTTTTAAACATCAGCCATGACCACAACTTGATAAAACAAAAGTTACTACAGTCCACATTTAAAGCTCAATACTTTGAATATTATCAGGAAAGTCTTTATTTTCAACATAAAGCATTATTATTTATTTCACAGATCTCCAAAAAATATTGAAATTTCAAAATGTCACAAAAAGGTGTTGCACTCCTGACATTATTAGCATCATTTTTGGGCATAACTTTTTTGTGAATTGAGATATCAATGAGATATTTGGCAGGTATTTAGACACTATCTAAAGAAATATGCTGAGACATAGAAATCTATTTTCATTGCCTGTAATTTTAGTGTGGGTTGATGAATATGCATTTGGTCATTTTTTTAAATTCAACCACAAGCTTCTAGGGAAAGCTAATACCTTTGTGAGAGTGAACGTAATCTGTACACACAGGCTACGTGCGACACACCAACCTCTATTTATAGAATGATGAAAGACTTCACTGCCTCGCTAGTGTGCATAGTAACTAAGTAATGTGCACTTGTAAATATATCAAATGTTGTGATGTTTTTAAAATATTTTACATGCAATTAAAATTAAAAAAAAAAGAATAAAAGGAAAAATAATCAAAGATGACAACATATGAAGTGATAGTACTGCGAATTGTAGGTAAAAATATCGAACAAAATAATATGGACAATGTTAATTCAATTAAATGAAATGTGCGTAATGTAATGTGCTCTAGAGCAGCGGTGTAAGGAGTTGATCTTTACGTCACGGGTTCGAATCCCACTGCGGGATGTGGAGACCGGTTCTTCGGATGAAAACATATAAACCGATGTCATGCTGGGACGAAAAGATTCCTGACTGCTCAATGGGCCTAAGTGCCGAGTATAGGTCTAAATTTGCAGCCCTCCATTGGCTAGTGGTTGCGTCTCCATATGAGTGAAAAATTCTCGAGAAGGACGTTAAACAACAAACAAATCAACAACGTATTGAATACGAAATTGTACACAATTTGAATTTTTCATCAACTGACACTTTAATATATTAGTAATTCTTTTATCATTCTTAACCTTAGAAATGATAATTTGTCTGTAGTTTAAGAAATTATACTAAGTCTTGTATCAGTGCTAATTTCAAATACCGAGTCACCCAATTTCAAACCTGCCCCCACCCCCACCCCATATGCCACGTTTTTATCTATCTGTAAAGTCTGGTTGAATGTACTGAAGTTTAAAAATACGACAAATCATTGCAGGAGTTTTAAGATTTCTACCTGGTGTGTTTAAAAGTTTTTAAACATCAATTTTGACTGATTACTTGGCAAAACGAACAAACACTCAAACAGTGTGTAAGAAACCATTTGAAATTATTTTGTCATTATGTAACATTGCATTTTTTTCTTCAAAACTTACCGTAGCTTTGACTGCAGCTGGTAGGAGATTGCATAAGCCATAAATAGTATTGTTTATTTTATCAAGAGACGCATTTTGTCCAAGTTCTTGGTCAACTATTTTCACAAGAAATTCACAAAGTTCACACTTTGCATCCTAGAATAACGAAAGATAAACAAGTGAATTTGCTATATAATTAACAGTATTATTCATAAAGAAATTCTTTCATATTGTTTTTTTTAATGACCTTGAAGCAAAAATACCTGAGGCGATGTAGCTGAGGGTCCTCTCATTATTTTATATGCATGTTCCCTGAATCCTTCCATGAGTCCTGAATCTGAAATTATCAATGGGCATCCAATTTTATTTCAAAACATGTGAAGGCAAAACATGTCGCCAACCCGAAAAACCTTATACATGAAACGTTCACAAGCAGCTACACGTATACTAATATCGTAAATTGCTTTTAATTTGCGAGAAATTTATTTTAGCGTTGTGACGCCTTCTGTCTGCTCGCGAAAAAGTCATTCTCGCGTTCATTTCTATTGTAAATAATTATTTAGTAATAACCACAAATATCTTTCTCGCAAAAAAAGGTGTTGCGTAAATACAGTGATCTACAGTATTTATACAACACTTGCTCATCTGTGACAATTGTATAAAATTCCTATTATATGCTTTAAGCATTCCTTGACCAAGAAAAATTATAAGTACAAGTGATAAAAGAAGGAAGCATAGAAAGATATCATTTCAGAAGATTGCATATGTTTTGAATGACCAATAAAAAAAATAAAATTTTAATAATAATAATAAAAATAGAGGTATGGTAGGAATTCTCTAACGTGCTGTGTAGAGACCTATACGTACAAATTGTTCCATTTGTACAAAGCTTCAGTGTTTCACAAGTCTTCAGTGGATCAAGTCCTTGTGCGAGTTCTTTTACTATTGTTGGTGCTATCAGTTCACACTACAGGAGTGGACAGAAAAACAACATAAAACAATTATGTTCTTTCAGATATGTTGATTTTAACAATAATTCCAGAATTTTGAAAACAAATGAGTCTAAATATTTTATATCGGGTTAGGATGTGGATATTTAGAATATTCCACGTTTACTTTCATAGACTTTTGAAGAGTTTTTGATAATACAAAACAGAATATATGTCTTTGAAAGGTAATTTTTAAACCTTGAAGAAGACTTGAAATTGTTGACAATTTGATTGAGCTTGTCCATTACAATGATATGCACCTTTTTTCGAAAACTAAAACATGATTCAAGAAAATTATTATATTTTCCAAAATCACCTTTTTTCATTGGATACTCCAAATAAATGAGTATTATATAACCAATAATAATTTCAAAATAATGTCAAGAATTCTTGTTTACAGTGATTTCCAGCTTGTACATGTTAATAATAATTGGAGGGCAATTTCAAAAACATTCCATAAAATGATGCACATACGGTTGCTTTAATTCCAGTTGGAAGTAAATTACAAAGAGAGTACACAGTGTTGTTTATTTTGTCCAAAGAAGCATTTTGTCCCAGTTCCTGATCTATTATATTAACAAGGAATTCGCAGAGTTCACATTTTGCATCCTGCAACAAAGAAGAAAAAAAGAAAAGAAATATAAGTAAGTACATTATTTGCATGAACCACACGGTTTCAAAAATAATCTCTTTTTACTCTCATTTAATCTCATTTTTCTTTTTTACCTCAACCCTTTTCTTTTCGGCGTTTTGTTCTTTGATTTTGACGACAGTGTTCTCCAAAATTTCATCAACAACTCCTTAAAAGTTGATAACATTTCACTTAAATTGCAAATATATAAAACACACTAGAAAACCAACAAAACTGTGTATCCTATGGTTGAACATATTTTATTGTAATTTTTAATTACAAAAGGGATTGAGCACAAGTTCTGAAAACTTATAACGTCCACTCCCTGCATGTAAATTATCGACTTGGATCTAAAAAATTGATACAAGGTCACTGTTGGAAATTTAAACAAAGCACTAATAAAGACCAAGGACACGAACAATATAAAATATCAAATTTTCGGGACACCCCGTCTCTTCTTCAAAACAAATAAAGATTAAAAAGTCCTAAAAACAAAGGAAATGGAATAATAATTAAAAAACAAAAAACAAAAACAACTAGCCTTACCACAAATCTATAGCATGTTAAACATTGCAATATTTGATCTTTTTCATTTGCATTGTAAAATTTTCCATTTGTATTGTATAATTTTTATTTGTATTCTATAATTTTCAATTTCTATCCTATAATTTTTCTATTTGAATTGTATAATTTTTTATTTGTATTCTATATTTTCCATTTGTATTGTAGAAAAAAATCATTTGAAATGTATAATTTTTTATTTGCATTCTATACTTTACATTTGAAATGTATAATTATCTATTTGTATTGCAAATTTTTTTTTACTTGTATTCGATAATTTTTTATTTGTATTGTATCCGAGGAATTATTTATCTGTTTCGTTAAGAAGGATTTCATTGGTCAAGTTTTAGCAATGTGTAATTGCGTGCATGTTATAGGATGGCAAAAAGAGGAGTCCAGTTTGTGTTCGGCACCCAAAACATCTCGCTTGTTTTTTGAACACTAATCTCTAGACATGTACTACAAAAAAAAAAGACTAAAACTTGACCAATGAAATCCTTCGTAAAGAAAATAACTAAAAATCCCTCGAATACAATGCAAGCGAAATATTATCGCATACAAATCAGAAAATCAGAAAGTATATACTGCAAATGGAAAATATAGAATACAAATAAAAAATTATACAATACAAATGGAAAATACAGAATACAAATAAATACAATACAAATGGAAAATTATAGAATACAAATGGAAAATTATACAATCCAAATAAAAAATTGACAATGCAAACGGCAAATTATACAATAGAAATGAAAAATTATACAATACAAATGTAAAATTATAGAATGCAAATAAAAATTATACAACACAAACGGAAAGGTATACAAATGGAAAAGATTGAATATTGCAACGTTTGGCATGCCAAACAAATATACTAGGCCTTTTACATTTTGCAATTTTACATGCTTAATTTGAATCTTGAAAACCAGTTGAAATGAAATAATTCAGGAATGTGAAATACCACCATTCTCTCTCTTTCTATTGTTTTTGAAATGTTTTATGTATATAATACCTGTAAAGCTTTGTGTACAGAGTTTTATATCTTTGCAAGCTGTTGCTGGGTCAAATCCCCCTTCAATCTTTTTAACTATTGTTGGTGCAATGAGGTCACACTGTTAAAGAAAGGAGAAGAAAATTACACGTTTCATATATTTCTTCAGGTCCTAAATAAAAAAAAATTCTTCAAAGAAACACAACAGTTTACTTAAATTATTATTCAGAAATAAAAATATAAAAAGAGGAATTAGTGAATATATTTCAGAAAAATAGTTATCTCATCTTCTCTGATTGATATATGGTTGAGAGTATAAGTTTTTTTTAGATATGAAAAAAAAAATCCTTCTTCAGAACTTACTGATGACTTTACGTCAGCCGGAAGTTGATCGCAAATGTAGTATACCGTGTTATTAATATTGCCAATGGTGGCATTCTTTGCAAGCATGTCGTCTAACAGGTTAATGAGAATCGTGCAGAGTTCACACTTAAGATCCTAAAAAAGCACATAATGCTACTCACTACTAACATGACGTCACGTGAAAACAACTGACAAATGGTGTATATTGTGTCGTTTATTGCTTTAGCGCTTCTGTTCATGGTGGCCTGTGTTTCTATAATTCCCATGAGTATTTCACAAATGTCACAAAATTTTCCTCCATCTCGTGGCTATTCGTTAAAAGAAACAGACCAAAATCTGATTCCATTAAGTTTGGATATTATATATTTATCGAAGGAATCAATTCTATTTTTCTCATTTCAACACTCACACCATATGTATTTATTCCAATTACAAATTCATAAACAGGGCTGGATGATAAAAGATTTTCAGCTTTACAAAGAAAGTCAATGATCTGATATAAATATGTATAAATCAACGTAGAATTTATACCATACCCCAACTTCATCAATTGCTCCATCCACTTGTGGAACTGGGACTTGTGTAAATTGATCCTCAGGTTTTGAAACTAAAATTATAATTTACCAGACATTTATTTACAATTTATCAAAGCGATTTTGATATGTGATTATTTAAACAATAGGTCCAAAGTTGATTCCACACAGCATTGAGATGCTTCCATATCAATATAATCAACATTGTCCCGCTGCTTTGGAGAAGAATTTTTTTTCTGTACATATTTGAAACACTGATTTCGGCTCAGCCCTATCCCAGGGATCATTGTAAAAAACACTTGTATCACTCAACTATCACTCAACTTAGCGATGTTTTGCTTATTCTAAATCATTTTAAAATATGATTTAGAATCGTCTTACCACTCTTGAAAAGATTTCTTCCTATATGCTCCATTGTAAACTCTGATATCCTATTGTAGCTTTAATCTACTCCCGAGGGCTCTGATCTATGAATATTAACCACCTGAGGATGCTTGCATATCAATCTGACTAATAATGACTTTGCTGTTCATGAGAGGAAAAATTTCATTTTCCCCCTATATATTCCTATGTATATCTTTTATCGCTTATTGTGGGCCCATACTACCTCCAGGGGCGACGGGATTTGAACCATTTTGAATCTACATTACGTGAGGATGCTTCCATATATAAAAATGAATAATCATGGATTTGTTTTTCTTGAGAGGAAGATTTTTGAAGAATTTTTCTACATATATTACCGGTCGCGGTTACCTTATGATAGAGCACTTGCTTCGTGATCGGAAGGTATTGGGTTCAATTCTCGTTTCCGGCGCCCCGTCAAACTTAATACGTTAACATAGCTATTTACTGTTCCTTCGTCAAGTGCCCAGCACTAGAAGTGAATGTCATGGATGTTTTGGGTGAGAACTAATAAACCGAGTTTCCATGTCAGGGTAGGCGTTGGAACGATAAAGAACCCTCGCTGCTCAATGGTCCTGATGCCGAGTAGGGGTCTAAACTCGAAGCCCATCATCTGTATATGGTGACGTCTCATATGACTGAACAATTCTCGCAAGGGACGTAAAACAACAATCAGTCAATCCTATATATATATTCTTACGTCAAACTTTGCTCTCCTATTGTGGAGCTACCCTACACACAGATGCCATAATTTGGACAAGCTGAATCTTCACTACCTGAGGATTATTCCTTATAAATAGGAGTTATCATAACTTTGCTGTTCTTGAGAAGAAGATTTTTCATGATTTTTCTTATATATTCCTAAAGTAAAACTTTGATCGCCTTTTTTGACCCCATCCTACCCCTGGGGGACATAATTTAAACAAACTCGAATCTACACTATGTAATGAAGTTTTCACTTAAGTCTCAATTTACTGGTCCAATGGTACTTGAGATTTTTAAATGGTGTCTTTCTCTCTCTCTCTCTCTCTCTGTCTCTTACTACTTCTTAATTATTTCCCCTTGAAAGAGGTCTTTGCCCCTCATCATGGCATTTGACTCCCCTTCACTCGAGGATTTTTTTGGCAATAATAGTTGAAATTAGCCCTGTTGTTCTTAAAAAGAAGTAGAAAATGTGAAAAGTTTACAAACGGACAGACAGGCGGACGGATAAAATTTGATCAAAACTTGAGCTAAAAAGAAAAAAAAAGGATAACATTTGATCCGAACTTGAGCTTTAAGCTCAGGTGAGCTAAAAAGAAAAATTCAATATTATATTAATGATGCATCCAGTGACTTACCATTACAAAGTTTAATAAACTTGCAAATTTCATCCCCAGTGAGTCCATCAATAATCGCCTGGACAAGTTTATCTTTGAATTCATCACACTATTGCAAAAAAAAAAAAAAAAAGAAAAAAAAAAAAAAAAAGAAAAAAAAATCAAAAAGTAAATAAATCTACTCTAGATCTTTTATCTAAAAAGTGATCTTTAATCAATAATATATGCTATAATAATTTTTTCATGTAATTGCTATTCGTGAAATTGAAGAAAAAAGCTAAAGCATTTTGACGTTTTTAGGGATGAAAACTTTACTTACAAAAGCTTTGATTTCTGGAGGCAGACTGTCACAAAACTTCGTCACAGCTTCTTCAACTTTTTCTTTTGTGTCGTTTGTAATTAAATAATTGTCCAATTCGTTTATCAATAGTTTGCAAATTTCACACTCCAACGGATTGGCCTGCGAAACATTATTTAAATTCTTGAAACTTTTATCTCCTCTAAATCATTGAATTAAGCTCATATTTGTTGGTTTTCTTTTTGTATTGCGTCAATATTTAGATTACTTTATGCATAGGATGGAGTCGTATTAAGAGATTCTGATTTTTAAACTCGAACACCGAATTCATCAGAGTAAAACCAAGCATATAATACTTTCAAATTTTTATTGGCAGAACAAAATTTAAAAATAATTTAGGCGTGGTTCAAATGTAATTGTGAAATAAAGACTTTATTAACCGGGATTATAACAAAATATATTAATTCATACCAACCTCGTCTTTGCGATTAAATTCAACTAGTTCTGAATCTAAAACAAATAGAATGAAATTTAAAGAAGTTCATTAGAAAAGCCACCAGAAAAAAGTTTGATTTGTGTTTCTCACGCGTGCTTGAATTAGACTGTCATTTAACCAGAGTATTTCTTTTCAAAAGTCTTGAGACAAGCAGTATGCATGAAAAATACCATAGCCTTCCCTCTCAGATTTTAAAACATATCAGGGAAAATGTGTTTGTCATAATTATTCAAAGGTCAAAGTCACAAAAATGCAATATTTGCAATTATCAAAAGTTTTTTTTTCATGACGTGAAAAAAAATCTGATTGAATAACACATCTCACGGTCCTCCATCAATATAGAATTTAGGATTCACATAATAACTACCTATTATATCCGCACATAGGCTCCCACCTTTGAGTTTGATATAGAAAATTGTATACATATATTACTAAAACATTGGTCTGTGTCTGTAGTGTGTCTTTGTTGTTAAATATAAGATCGCACCTGACAAATAACCTCTGAACAAATTTGACATTTTGGAACATAGTTCTTAACCCGTTTTAAATTGAAGTGATGACAGCAATGTTATATTCTGCATACTTTGATACAACAATTACATATTTTGACAAATTGCTCTTCTGATATTTTTAATATAAACGGACACCACACGGACGCCTCTTTCGTGCATAAAAGACGTGTCTTAGTAAATTATCATATGTATATGAACAAATGCATATTTTAGTATACTAGATATGTGATTGAAATTATAATGATGAAGGTGGTTCTAAATTGAAAGTACCGTCAGATGTCATTTCAAAAGAGGTTTCGTACAACAATGGAAAGAAAATATTATTGTATTCAATGGAATTTAAATTAAAAATTCATTTTATTTCAGCATATATGATAACATACAAACTGATTACTCAATTTTTACCAACTAAGAAGTATACCTACCTTGAGTGCAAAGCTTCAGATACACACATGTAGAGGCAGGATCAAATCCTGCTTCCAGGTGCTTAACGATACCAGGGGCCATAGAATTGCACTGCAAGATAATATAGGTGATGAAATCTTTCAGAAGATGCTTTTCCTATTTTGATATATAATTTAGAACATTTAATACTGTAAAAAAATACCAGTATCTTGAATGCAGAGGGAAGTTTATTGCAGACTTTGCTGACTGTTGTATTAATTGACTCGGACGATGCGTTTCGCTTAAGATACCAATCCACTTCAGTCACAATCAGCTTACAAACTTCACATATTGGGTCCTACATGAACATAGAGAACGCATAATTATAGATTATTGACTATACTTAAGAATAATTCAAATGAAATACAAGATGTGTTTGTGAAACACTGATGCCACTGTATGACAACTGGTGAAGGTAAATGTTTCTCAATTGCAAGTCAACCTCCAGGTCAAAAGATCAAAAATGTTGGTACCCTATGAAAGGTCTTGTCTTGAGAAATATACCTGTGAAATATGAAAGCCCTAACACCAACCGTTGAAAAGTTATGGCGAAGGTTAAAGTTTTTCAAAAAAAGTAAAACGTCAAGATCAAGGTCAAATGGTGCCCAAGGGAAAGTCTTGTCACAAGTGATACACATTTACTTGAAATATGAAAGCCCTAAAACCAAATGCTCAAATGTTATGACCAAGGTTAAAGTTTTTCTTAAAGTAGGTTGAACTCCAAGGTCAAAGGCAATGGTCAAAAATTGTTGTTATCCATAAGAAGGTCTAGTTACAAGGAATACACATGTGAAGTATGAAAGTCCTAGCACCAATTGTTCAAAGGGTACAACAAAGGTTAAAGTTTTTCAAAAGTAGGTCAAACTCCAAGATCAAGGTCAAAGAGTCAAAATTGTTTTTGTCCAAAGGAAGGTCTTGTCACAAGGAATACACATGTGAAGAATGAAAGCCCTAGCACCAACTGTTCAAAAGTTATGGCCAAGATTAAAGTTTTTCAAAAGTAGGTCAAACTCCAAGGTCAAGGACAAAAATTGTTGGTATCCATAAGAAGGTCTTTTCACAAGGAACACACAAGTGAAGTATGAAAGCCCTAAAGCCCTAGCACCAATTGTTCATCAGTTATGACCAAGGTTAAAGTTGTCAAAAGTAAGTCAAACTCCAAAGTCAAGTTCAAAGGGTGAAAATTGTTGGTATCCAAAGGAAGTTCTTGTCACAAGGATTACACATGTGATCAATGAAAGCCCTAGCACCCACTGTTCAAAAGTTATGACCAAGGTTAAAGTTTTCAAGTAGGTCAAACTCAAGGGTCAAGTTCTTTGTTTCCATAAGAAGGTCTTGTCACAAGGAATACACATGACACATGTGAAGTATAAAAGCCCTAGCTCCAAGTCTTCAAAAAGTTATGGCCAAGCTTAACATTTTTTAAAGTAGGTGAAACTCCAAGGTCAAGGTCAAAGGGTCAAAGTTGTTGGTATCCGAAGGTCTTGTCATGTGAAGTTTGAAAGCCATAGCACCAACTATTCAAAAGTCATAGCCAAGGTTTAAGTCTGATAAAATTTAGCAAAAATGGGTCAAACTCCAAGGTCAAGGTCAAAAGGTTAAATTTGATGGTACGCAAAGAAAGGTCTTGTCACAAGGATTACACATGTGAAATATGAAAGCCATAGCTCCAACCAACCAATAAAAAAAAGTTCTGGCAAGGTGTAAAGTTTTTGCGGACAAACAGACAGACTGACAGACGCACAGGACAAAAACTATATGTCCCCGAATCTTCGATTACGGGTGCATAATAAGTGCTTAATATTTTTCCATTGTTTGAGTTTTTACCTCTGTTGAGAACATAATACCATAATCATGCCAGAGTATAAATATAAATTGTGAAACCTTCGTATTTAGTCTGAACAAACAAAAAATTCTTCATAAAATAAAGATTGTAAAAATTGCATGTTCTTATATTGAAGTATGAACTTTTGTATCGTGATCTATAAGGTTCAGATGAAAATAAGATTTAACTCATTAATCAGTCCCTGTTTTTGCCCTGTTCACAGATCTGTGTTATTTATAGGTTTTTTTTTTTTTTTGTTTTTTTTTTTAGATCGATCACTGTTCGTTATCTTCAACTACTTAATCTTCAATAAATAATTCTACGAAAACAGCAAGAATTTATGCAAAAATAGTTTTTTTTGTCTATCTTTGTAATTAATCTCGTGAAATTATGCAAAACAGCAAAATATTTAAAAGATGTTTAAAGTATTAAAATTTCTTTCAGAAATGACAGAATACTGATAGGTCATGTAAAGCTTTAATCTTTTTTCCTCCTAGATAAACAGATAAGATTATATTCTATGTTATCACTAGGAGTCCCTCCATCATTACATATTTCTATACAATCTTTCTTTTCTTGGATCAAAATTTTATTTCAAAAGCAAGATCCTTAAAATAAATTCGAATTTTCAGTGTATAAAAATAAATAAAAATCGAGTTTAAATTCAAGGATAACACCTTTGCTTGCATATTCTTTTGTCTCTTATTTTTATGCCCCCGTCATCGAAAATTCGGGGTTATATAGGTTTGCCCTGTCCGTCCGTCTGTCTTGCTGTCTGTGTGTTTGTCCGCAAAATCTGTAACATTGCCCATAACTTTTGATTGGTTGGAACTATGGCTTTCATATTTCACATGTGTATTCCTTGTGCCAAGACCTTTCTTTGGGTACCATCATATTTGACCTCTTGACCTTGGAGTTTGAAACACACTTTTGCAAAAATTTAGTCAACTTTAACCTTGGCCATAACTTTTGAACAGTTGGTGCTAGGGCTTTTATATTTTGCATGTGCATTTCTTATAACAAGGTCTTCCACTGCATACCATTAATTTTGACCCTTTTACCTTGAGTAAGAGTTCAACCCACTTTTAGAAAAACATTAAACTTGACCATAACTGTTGAATGGTTGGCGCTTGGGCTTTCATATTTATCAGGTACATCCATTGACACAAGTCCTTTCTTTGGGTAAAAACATTGTTGATCTCTTGACTTTGGCGTTTGAATTGCAATTAAAAAACTTTAACCTTCGCCATAAGCTGACACATGGGGGCATCAGTGTTTCACAAACACATCTTGGTCTCTTCATTGAATTGCATATTATATATTTTTTTTGAAATTTGAGCTCATTTTGCATCGGGATACTTTAATTTCCATTCATTGTCATTATATTTTTTCGCTATATATAACTGTACACAAAAATACAATGGGAATGGAGTGTAATTAGAGAATATCGGTGTAAAATATGCTCAATTTTCAAAAATAAAATTTTAATATGCAATTTATGAAGGAAAAGATAAAAAAGAAAAGGAAAGTTTATAGCGAGATTTACCTCTGTTGGTCGATGTGTCTTTAATTTGTTGTTCTTTTCTGTTGATACCGAGTCTAAAATTGTAATAGTTAAAGGTTTAAAGTATAAAGTCCATAAGTTACTTAAGTTTAAAATTACTTTAACTAACAAGGAATCTCCTAAACTTTATCATGCACCTGAACAAAAGAAATCAAAATATACATTTTTGATATAATGTTTGATCTTCGAACCTTATATACAGAAAATAGATAGATAGAAATGTACTTCAAACAAAAAAGAGCATACCTTCTCTTTTGTGGAAAATAAGCTTTTGGTGTCCTCATTAATTTAAGCAAGAAGTGGGAATTTAATATTGAAGCATTTAAAAAAAATTGATTTTAAGTAAATTTTCTTTAATTAAAAACACAATTTGCAAGGTGGCCAGCACTGTCCTGATTCAACAAAAATGTTTTGGAATTCTTAAAAATTTAATCACACAGGTGGCCATAGCAAATGCTTATTGGTAACTTATTGTCCAATGAAAAAAGTGAGAGAAAGTCTTTTAATCAAATTAGTCATAAAACAAATTAATATTGTTTAACACTTTTGACATTGAAAACAACAAAAATTGAGTGTTATAAACAGTTTTTATAATGTAATGAGTTATTCCATTTTCACTTTCGGCTGTTGAATTAATCATTTTCCCCTTTGACTGGAATAATGTAATAATAATCATAAATGTCATTGTCTCCCTCCATTGAGATTTAGCATTTACTTATGAATTATCTTTGTTATTTAATAACACGCGTTATTTGTAAAATTAAGTATACTACCTCCAAGCTCACCTCCTTGGGAGCACAATTTAATGTCATCACAGACTTTCTTTGGATCGACACCAGAGACTATTAATTCTATAATCTGTGGAGCATAGGCATCGCACTAAAAAAATAATATATTTTTTTTTTAGCTTATTGAAACTACCTTTATGTACAATTATGAAACACGCTTCTTTGAAGGGTCTATAAAAATGAATGTGAAATAGAACACAAGAGATTTCAACATATTCTACTCGACATAAGTAAAATTCAAGCAGTCATTAAAACATTGAGTGTTAAACGGAAATAAAATATTGTAACGTTTTAAATGATATCGTTTCATTCTTCAACGAGTCTATGGATATTGAAATACGAATATCAAGTATCGATGTCTTATTTCAAGTAATGTTAAAACCGTTCCAAATACAATGTATATCGATTTGTCTTTGTGTTGCATATTTATTGATTATTTCTTATCAATCATTCTATGTGTGATTATAAAAAATGGATACGAAACAAAATTAAAATACCATGGATACATTATATTTATACAATACACTAAAAATACAATGGACAATTTTTCTCCATACTTGTACACATACAAAACATGGAAATATTATTAAAAGAGAGTGCTGTACCCCCCCCCCCCCCCAAAAAAAAACAATCTGAAATGTACTCACAAATTTCTTGAAAGCATCTGGCAGAGCGTTGCAGAGGTTGTGAACAGTTTTTATGACGATTTCCTGAGATTTGTTTCCTTGCAGGAGATTGTCGAATTCTGTGACCAACAGTTTGCAAATTTCACATTCTATTTGGTTTGCCTAGGTTTTCAAAATGAAACTGGTTCAATGTTTATCACTCTAAAATAGTACTTTGTTACTTTCTTTGTATCAGCATGTTCAAATACATTATTTGTCGAAAATACAAATCAATATTGCTTTGACTCGAAAACAGCAACTAGTAATCAGTAACTAGTTTAACGTTACATTTTAATAGGAAAATGTATAAGATTGTCTGTATGCGAATGTATACATTGTTGTTTGAAATCTAAAATAAGCAACTTTGCATTTTTTAGTTTTCAAACATCAAAGCGGGCAAAGCGTTTTATAAAATTGAAAATAAATTATTTTCTTTATCTAAAACGATCTTGAATACTTGTTCCAGTGTTAGTTCACCGAGGACTTCAGATATCTTTCTTTCTATAGATTCTGTTGGTTTTGGACAGACGTCTAGTTGAATGCATATACTCTCTGGATCCTGAAAATATACTGACAGATTTTAGAATACATTGTCGTCATTGTCTATCCTAGGTCGATTCGTTTTCTTTTTTTATTTAAAATCTTTGTAGTTTATAAGGTTATCAATTACCATTTATATTGCGGAAATGATATAATGTAACATGGAGAAATATTTAAACGTTGGCTTTTTGCATATCTTATGTAGTCTTCTGCATGCACACTTTAGTTTATGTATCTCTGTCATTTTCCACCTCCGTATAAGCGTTATAATACCGGAGTATATACAGAAAGTATAGATAAATTAAAAAGAAACATACCAGTCTTTGTGATAGTGAATTGAATATGTCTGGGGCCTTTGATCTGACAAATCCTAGGCAGTCATCCACGTGAGATGTGAGTCTGCTGCAGATATCCTCTAGTCTCTCTTCAACTGTAAACTTAATTCAGAGGAGACATTTTTGTATAGGTAGCTATTTTAAAAGACGTTTATTCCTAAATACATATTAAAATTTTGATTCAAACTTATTCCCTAAGATTTAAGTTCAATAAAAATTTGATATTTGTTCTTATATATGTGTTTTTTCAATGTAATTATCTCCCAGTTATAAAAAAAAAGTTTTTAGAATTTCAGATATTGTCCCATTTAATTAATCTGGCACGCATTTAAACATACCAAGAACATATCCTGCTTTTTCATCCAATCAGCAATTGCTAAATATTCTATTCATTAGTGTTCATATAACATAATCCGTTTTTTCATCCAATCACAACAATCGCTATATTTTATTGTATAATTCATTAAATGATTGGAATTTCCTATTTTCACAATATTGAGAGATGATTATTCTAATATCTAATGCATAAATTTCAACCTACCTTTGTGGCGTTATTGTGTAATTCATTAAATGGTTGGAATTTCCTTTCATAGTATTGAGAGATAAATATTCTAATATCTAGAATGCATAAATTTCAACCTACCTGTGTGGCGTTTTCCGCAACGAGTTTCTGGAGATCATGAACAGCCACGTGACATATCTCACAGGTGATCAGGTCAGCACGAATGTTTGGTGCAGCTGTAGGCAAAATAATGTTAGTTTCAGATTTCTAATTTAATCTTTTACTCAGTTCATGTCCATCTTTCGTATGAAATGGTCAAAATCCAGATTTGATCGCTCACCGCTAAACGACAATGTGTTTGCAGAGCACATGTCTAAATATGGAGGTATCCAACTGCAATTCATTGCGTCTTAATATGAAAATTTTTAAAAACTTTAACCTTGGTTATTACTTTTGAACGGTTGGTGCTAGGGCTTTCATTTTTAATATGTCTATATCTTTTGACAAGACCGTCCTTTGGATACCAATCGCTTTGACCCTTTGACCTTGACCTTGGATTTTTACCTACTTTCGAAAAACTTTAACCTTGGCCATGCCTTTTAAACATTTGGTGCAATGGCTTTCATACTTCACATGTGCATTCCACGGGACAAGACTAACAATTTTGGCATTGGCCTTGACCTTGAAGTTTGACCTACTTTTAAAAACTTTAACCTTGGCCATAACATGTCAACGTTTGGATCTAGGGCTTTCACATTTCACGAACATGTGTATCACTTTTGACAAGACCTTCCTTTGGGACCCAAGGTGTTTAAAAAATCAACACAAAAATTGTCCTCTCGTGTAAAACCCTTTCAGGTACCCAACAACGAAACCCAATAATGTTTTGGACACTAAGTACCCAATGTATGTTTTAATGTGTGTCCGTCTGTTTGTCCGCAAAAACTTTAACATTGCACATAACATTTGATTGGTTGGAGCTATGGCTTTCATATTTCACATGTATATACCTTGTGACAAGACCTTTGTTTGGATACCATTATATTTGACCTTTTGACCTTGACCTTTGAGTTTGATCCAGTTTTGCAAAATTTTACCGAACTTTAACCTTGACCATAACTTTTGAACGGTTGGTGCTAGGGCTTTCATACTTCATACGTGTAATTCGCGTGACAAGACCTTTCTTTGGATACCAACAACTTTAACCCTTTTACCTTGACCTAGGAGTTTGACCTAATTTTGTAAACTTTACCCTTTGCCATAACTTTTGAACGGTTTGTGTTAGGGCTTCATACTTCACATATGTCATCCTTGTGAAAATACCTTTTTTTTAATACCAACAACTTTGATCCTCTGACCTTGACATTGGAGTTTGACCTACTTTTGGAAAACCAACCTTGGCTATAACTTTTGAATGGTTGGTGCTATGGCTTCATACTTCATATGTGTAATTCGCATGACATGATCTTCCTTTGGATACCAAAAACTTTGACCCTTTGACCTTGACCTTGGAGTTTGACCTACTTTCGGAAAACTTTAACCTTGGCCATAACTTTTGAACAGTTGGTGCTAGGGCTTTCATACTTCAAATAGGTTATCCTTGTGACAAGACCTTTCTTTGGATACCAACAATTTTGACGCTCTGTCCTTGACCTTGGAGTTTGACCTACTTTTGGAAAACTTTAACCTTGGTTATTACTTTTGAACGGTTGGAGCTAGGGCTTTCATACTTCGCATATCTATTTCTTGTGACAAGGCCTTCCTTTGGATACAGACAACTTTGACCCTCTGACCTTGACCTTGGAGTTTGACCTACTTTTGAAAAGCTTTAACCTTGGTCATAACTTTTGAACGATATGTGCTACGGCTTTCATATTTCACAAGTATATTTCTTGTGACAAGACCTTTCCTTGGGCACCATTAATTTTGACCATTTGACTTTTACCTTGATGTTTGACTTACTTTTGAAAAACTTTAACCTTTTCCATATCTATTGTATGGTTGCTGCGAGGGTTTTCATATCTCACAGGTATATACCTCGAGACAAGACCTTGCTTTGGGTACCAACATATTTAATTTGCATTTGAGAAAGTTTAACCTTTTCTATAAGTTGCCATACGGGGCGTCAGTGTTTCACAAACACATCTTGTTTTCTTTTAAAATGTGTTCTTCCTTTGTGCTTCCTCTTTTTCGTAATGCAGATTTTCTATTTTGATTTAAAAAAAAAAGGCTTTGGATATTCAATCAGTTCATGTTTACATTTTGTTATTCAGATGCACTGCTTAAGGCATCGAGAAATGAACGTTGTACCTATAACTTCATAAGATAAAGTTAAAATGATAATTATCCCTTACAATATATGATCAACTTTTCTTTACACAAAGCAAATGTGTTAATACTCGAAAAATTAAAAATTATAATAAAATGCTACCGAACTTAAAGTTAAAATGAATCAAATGAATTTGTTGGCATTCTTAAAAATGAATTTTAACTAATTTTAACTATTAAAACATTAAAGAACTGGATTTTTTCTATTTATCATCACATTCTGATTGAATAGATTTATAATTATGCACTAAACAAAAACAATGAGCTTTTCATCCTTTGTATCTTAGGACTAATTTGCAATGTATCAATTCTGTTTTCGGAAATTGGCTTACTTATAGAACTACGGCTTCATACATACGTGACCTTTTTTTTAAGACCTTGTAACGGTTTTTCTTAATAGAGATTGTTTTGGTTTTGTCATTCCAATAGCACTAATGGTCCATTCAATTGTTGTTTAAATATATTTTTGTCACCCATTACAACGATGCACTCATGGATTTACCTCGTACATGTATATGTTTTGGCTTATAACTTTTTATTTGAATAGTAAAATAGTTTAAAATGTAAATATTTTGTTGTTAATGGACTTATTTAAACATTTAAGAGCATAATACATGTACTTATCAAATTAAAGCAAGGTAAAGGATCAGCCATTAACTACCATTTTTAAATTATTGGTTTCAGCCTATCATTTATTAAAATATTTATTAAAGTGATAATTACATGTGAATTGAAACATAGATCCTCTATTTCTATTACAAACTTATTCATTTTCAATACACTATCTAATGAAAATAACAGTAATGTGTTCAATATTAGCAAGGTATATATGTAAAAGAGTAGATACCTGTTACAGATGCAAGGACACAATATGCAATTATTTCCCTCAGCATTTTTCGTTGCAACAGTTCCTTTTGACAATGATATACCAACACTCTAATTCTGTTAAATGAATTATCTGATAGATGAGCGCATGTTTGATCATATGAGTAACCCCCTTGATAACCATATAGTATCGGGTACAGTGACCAGACCATTGTGATAATCTCGTATAGATACGCAATATCGGAAAGAAGAAAGGTGTGGATTTTATCAGCAAATTCAGGAGCGAAGATCAAATTATTTAATTTTACCTATATAACAAAATCAACGGCACTTCTAAAATCTTCAGTTCACTCTGCCTTCATACAATGATACTGTATGGTTGCATTCTGTTTTAGTTTTATTATATCTTTTTGTTTGCTTTTCACGACCTACATCTTCAGTTTGAACTCAAGATATAACATCTAGATAACAGCATTGATCTTGAGCCGGGTATTATCCATGACCTGTAATTACATGGATAATACCTTTGAACTCGGCTAAGAACAAGAGACTGACTAAAAATTGCTAACTCATCATTTCTCAAAATGAGATTTTTTAAAAAAAAATTTAAATTTGCCTCCTATGTAGCATTTTCTTCAGAGTAAAATTTTTAATTTACAAGCTATTTATATGCCTTTTCATTGGAGCGGAACGTAGGTTATGAAGGTTAAAATATTGAAAAAATGTCTATCTTACATATTCTGTAGACAACTAGAGGATTATATTGGATCAGGAAGCTGGACACTGTATTCCCATATGGTTGCAAGGACCTCAATAATGTGGGAAAGTTTTGAAGCCCACAATGTACCAATGTGAATGTGGCGAGACTTTTTTTTAACAATACACAAAGACCTATATTGGCATAGTCATACACTCATGCATTCATGGAGCTTATGGTTCAGCACGAAACATTGAATGTACGATAGTGATGAGGCTTTTACACACCTGCAGGAGCGGATCCCGAGATTTTCAAATTTATAAAAAGATGGAAATTAAATTGAAATAATTCTAACTATCAATGAATGAAATAATTCATATGCAAGTAATACATTCACAAGAAAACACGAAATGCTAATGAATACGGCTGACAATCACTACTTTTCAAAGATAAAAATTCTAAATAAAATAATTATAAATTCTATAGACAAAACAAGAGGAAAATGAATACTGGGAAAATGTCGGATCACATCAGCGGAACTGAAGTTTATTCATAAAATTCTTAAGATCTTCTCTGTCAGTTGAAATTTTTAAATGTGCGTTTCTACCTCGCTATCTCGAGGAAAGGGGGGGGGGTCTTGAAAATAGACATGTTAATTAGCTATCATTTTGTAGAATTATTAAGTCTTAGCATTTTGAGAACTTTGTGATGAAGGGTTGCTTATGATATGAAGGTGACGGTCATTTTATTTTATTTAAAATCCAAGACATAAAGCAAAACTTGCAATTAGAGAAAGATATATATATAGAGAGAGAAAGGGGGGGGGTGAAAACTGTGATTTGGTCTTCTAAATTTGAAATGAAGGAAATAAAAATGCGCCCGCCAAATATATACTATATACTACTCTTTTTATTCAATAGAAATTCGTTTCTACGGCAAAACGAAGTCGCCGTCAACAGAGAACTTTTTTCTGTACACTTCGTACTATGTGTATTACTCCAGTCTACTCCCCGTAAACTACATACATGAAAATAAAATGAATAATTTTTAGTGTTTAAAAAACGTTGGTCCTACGTTTTTTGGGAAATGATAAGATATTTTATTTCTTCTTAATCATATCAAAAAACTAGTAATATATAAAAGCTTCATAGATGTACCTATATGTACTCTAGAAATATTACAGGAAAAAGAAATTCGGAAAACAAAGAAATTGAATAATTTATGGATTTAAAAAGATCAAACATAAACGTATATACAAGGTTTTTTGGCTGCTCGTACGAAGAAAATGCAGTTATGATTTTTTTTCAGTTTTTAAAATAGACATCGACACATAGAAATATATCCGCATAACTATAGGTGTTGACCTTTATTTCTGTGAAGTTTCATTAAGATTTTCTAAGCCTTCAACGAGAACGCTCCAAAACAGAAATAGGGTGACTAAAAAAAAATTCGTCGTCCCGGCTTCCTTCCGCTGACCATCAATTCCATTTTATGCAGAAACCACTTTGATACATTGAAAGGATTAAACCAATAAAGTTTTGAAAAGTTTGCTTTGTTAGTTACTGAGAAAAATGATAATTTAGACAATTAACCTTTTTCCTGTTTCCATGGCAACAATGGGCATTTAGAAATTTTTGAATGTTGACTGAACAAATAGAATGTCTAATAATAATTTCTGTAAATTTTTATCACAATTGTCCAAGCCACCTCGGAAAACATCTGTGTGTGTATTCACCTTTTTCTGTTTATTTCATTCCTATGGCAACTGTTTGTAAAAGATTCTAATTTTTAAAATAGAAAATACTTTGACAGAATGTAAGGAACAATCCGCACAAGTTTCAAAATAACTGCCTGAGCAGTTTGTGAGAAAATCAAAGTTTAGCAATTTTTACTTTTCTTCTGTTTCCATGGCAACGATGGGTGGATTGAAAATTCTAAATGCGATTTGCAAAACTACAATTACTGGTTATCATTTCTATGAAGATTCATTACGATTGTTTAAGATATCTGTGAGAACACTTCTGGACAAAATTCTTCACTTTTCGTACGTTTCCATGGCAACGGTAGCCATGTTGAAACTGAAAAATATTTTCCACACAAATACAGTTGGTTATCATCTTTTATGGAAAGTTTCAGCAACATTGCCCCAGCCATCTGCGAGAAAGCCCGTGAACAATGTTTTCATGCGTACAAAAGCAATATGTCCCCCGACTTCGTTCGGGGTGACATAATAAAGAATTTATTCAATTTTGAAAACAATAATTTAGAATAAAGAAAAGAAAATAAGAACATATAAAAAGAATTGTGATACCCCTCCATAGTATCTCATTATCAAAATTCGACAAACGTATAAAATTCACATTGGTAGACTTGTGAATTGTCTTTGTGTTTTATTCAGAGCTGTAGATTCCGGAAAACAAATTGATTCGCTTCAATAATAATTTCAATAATACACACATTCATAGTATAAGCTCAAAGTCAACACAGTTATATGTTTGGAACTACATGCTAGGATGTCGGAATTAAACTGATTGCAAGTTTGGATTTACAAGCTTACAAGTCTGGATTTTTGAACACGATTACCCTCCATATGATCTAGAAACTTAACTATGGAACTGATGAACAGCAAGGAACTCGTGATCTAGAAACTGTTACTTACATGTATCATGTGACCCACAGAGGGTATATATTCGTCTGCAATCAGTCAGAAACGTTCTTTTAATGTCCAAGGCAGCAGAAGAGGAAATCATTACAGGTTAGTTTCGTCAGATGGATTGCCTAATATTGGAGGTTTGCCACAGTTGCAATACCTAACATAGGAGGCTTGCCACATTTCAGTGTTAGGATAATTATTGTGGAGACTGACCACAGTTATAGTAGCTAGTATTTTAGAGGTTGACCTCCTGGAGGTTCGCTTTTCTCTTTGTTGTTCTTTCTAGATTAGGGAAGGTGCAAGACTTCAGAGGTACCGTAAGTAGTTAACTGTCCGTCCTGAATATGGCATTAACACAGTAACCACTGCTTCTGGAGTTCAACCACCTTTATTAGGCTGAACTGGCCTCTAAGATAGACGTTATTGCCTGAATAAGGCATGCTTCTATCTAGAGGTACATGTATATAAATTAATAAATTAGTGTGATTTTACCTTAAGTAAAGGAAGGGTCTTATTATATATATTTGCAGACCAATAGTTATGCAGTCAAACCATTTTAGAGAGGAACACTTTATTAATACAATCATTTTGTTCCATTATTTAGTAGAGGAAAATTATTATTTATTGAATTAATCCAAATCCCCAGATCCTGGAATCAAGCGGGTACGAACCACCATGACACGTTACAGCTACCATAGAAAAATATTTGGTCTATGTATTGAATATTCATATAAAATGATGTTTATTCAAGTTTCTACGAATGAATTTCGACAAGAATTTCGTTTGAAATCTTATGTTGATAATTTAAGTTATCATTTTCAAGACTTACTTAAGGAAGCTCTAAACACTGCACACCGAAGAGTTTTACTTGTAGGGTAGTTTTATGCAGTTCGAGTGATCTACCCTTAGAAGTAAGATAGAAAAATAGTTATTTTCAGTTAATTGCACAATTTGTAATAGATTTAAATATTCTTACATGTAACATTATATTAGACCAAAAATAAGGAATTGAATTCATTATTTTCATTAATTTTCCCAATGTGATTTCTGATCACGAATAGTCCACTGTCTTTGAACATTTTTCCTGCAGAAATAAGGCAGATATCTTATGCTGAAAATGAACTAATTAATCTCAATATGTACATCTTTTATGTGATATATATTTCTCCAAGTCCAAAAAGCACTTTTTATTAGTGTTTAGAGCTTCCTTAAAAGTACTTAAATTTATCGTCATTACTTCACTCACATTTTGATAATTCGGATTAATAAAAAAAAATCATTTCAGTCCATTCTGAAATAACTCGTGCTAATTGTAACGGGAACCTTTAAAGATGATCCCAAAGGGACCCCCTGCCTTGTAGTGCCCCACTACTTGCAAGCCTCATTAAATTAGGCAATACACGTGTTTCATAACCGTATGAGTAGAAGACAATCAGATTTGAGCACATGTGAATGCACATGTTTCTGGATTTCTTAGATATATTTCGTGTTTCACAATATATCCTATGCGCGAAATATCAAAGAATTTACTTGCAAGAAATAAAGAAAAACATCCTTTAATTATAAGCCTATCAGAATTCAGCACATGAATATATTTGAATTCAAATTTCATAGTACCATAATGTACACATTATACTTTTCTATACTTCTCTTTTTGACTTGTTTTGTTGAAAACTAAGAAAGTTATAGCCATTTAAAGTTTCAGCCAATCAAATTGTAGTGTACATTACTGTGCACTTTTAAGAATTTTTTTAAATGAAATATGATGATAACGAACAGTATTCAATCTCGAAAGTCCAATGAAACGATACAAATTTGGAGCACAGCAAACACGGACCTCAAAATTTAGAGGTTGGATCAGGTGCCATGGAGGAGTGAGCATCCCCTGCCGACCGGTCACACCCGCCGTGTGCTCCTTGTCATGGTCGAGAAAAAAACCCGGAAAAATCCGTAGACATTTCAGTGTATAAATAATGGCCTAACAATTAGTATGAAAAACATCAGTCACATTGTAGAACCTTTTATTATATATATCTTAATTGTAAATTTCAAAGCATTTTGTCAAAAAACAAGGAAGTTATTGAGAATCTCCTGTCAGCCAATTAGTGCAAAGCATACGTGCATGCACGTGTTTTCATGCTAATTCAGCCATATCATCTTGTCTACACTTATAATATATGTTAATGTACTGATTTTAAAGGCATTTCATCAAACAACATGAAACCGGTCACGGTAGCCTAGTGGTAGAGTGTTCGCTTCGTGATTGAGAGTCCCGGTTTCGCCGCGCCGCGTCAAACCTAAGACCTAAACAAAGTTATTGACTGTTCCTTCGCCAAGCGCCCGGCAATAAAAGTGAAAGTTGCGGGTATTTCACCGGTCCCGTTGGCACGCTAAAGAACCCTCACTGCTTAATGGCCCTGAGCGTCGAGTAGAGGTCCTTCACCGGCATACGATGACATCTCTGTATGAGTGAAAAATTCTCGATGGGACGTTAAACAACGTACAATCAATCTAACCACATGAACGATAAAGCTATTTTAACTATATCAGTCACTTCACGCATCGCACGCGCACTCATGTGCATGCATTTGCGGGCAATATGACCTTCATTCCGGATATCTACGTAATATGCTTGTCCCTAAAAAGATAGCATCTCAATCGGATGAGTTGTTTCCGAGAATACTCGCGGACAAAAAAGTATCGAAGAGGAAATTGGAAAAAGAAAGTAACAATACGTTCCCAAACTTTGTCAGGGGAACATAATTAACAATGAAAAACAATATTCAGTAATATTACAAAATTTCATATTCTTCCTTTCGTTAATTTATAAGATTCATAGGTAAAAGAATAACAAGTGGATCTCTTAGTCGTTGATTTTAATTCCTATATATTATGCAACATAATACACATGAACCGCACTTTTTATCCATTGTATGATAAATACAGTTGGTCATATTGTAAATATCTGGTAATAACGAGTACAAAACATACATTTCCAAATTAACAAATAAACCATGAAAGATAACATCCATGAATAGGTCACAACTAAATCGCTGGAAAACATTAACAAAGATTTGGGTTTACAAATACAAAATAATTTATCACTAATTACTTTGTCGGAAATGCCTCTCCATTCAGCAGTTATAAACCCGAACACTGGCAAAAATTACCTTCATTAAAGATAGGTAAAGATAGTTAATGAACGATTAATTTTATAGTCATTTGATGCAAGTGACAATGTTAAAAATCTAAAAGACATAAATGATACTTTTTTAAAAGTATGCATAACCAGAAATGAGTAATGTTCATATCGCTCAGTAAGAGATTGTCACGTTAGTTTCTGGTAAACCCAGTGAAATAAAATACAACGTTAACGTTTGTTATAAATTAATGTGAGGCTGTTATTGTTTTCGTACAGCCTTAAAATATTAAAAATTAACTGTTTTCCTCAAGGTTTAGCAAGGCGCCATTATATCTAAGTATATAGATACGCTTCCCTTATTCATGACTAATTAGAAAAAAAGATGTACAAAGAATCTACATAAGAATATACCGTTTTTCTACACCTACAAACAGCAACCTGTTGGTTCCGTTGTTAAAAGATGCATCACAGTAAATAATGGTTAAAACTTTTTATCTTATTAACATCAGTGATTTTTTTAAGGTATAAAGAATCTTTTCTATTCACTTTCTGTGAATAACCCTTTACTAATATTATCAAACACTCTCGATTTGTGAATCTACCCTTTTTTATCTTATTTTATTCGTTTATTATGAAAAGAATGGTTATGGCTCTTCAGAGAATAACAGAATAAGAAATGGATAATTAAGTAAAAAAGATCTTTTTTCTGAAAATTTGGGACATTAACTATGATACACGGAAATGAGCATCACCTGATCAATATGCTTTATGATATGAATCCAAGTAAAAAATTCAATTGTTACTTTATGGGAAAGTGGAATATATTATAATACCTTTGCAACGATAAATTTCGAAAGAAAACACTTGAAATATGGAATAAATAAAAAAATATTTAGGAATGAGAAATATACCTGGGTATCAGTTAATGTAAAGATATTTAACAACCTAATTAGTGTTTTGTTTTTCAGGGCAGACATAATTTCAAGTTATTAAAATGGAACTGAATGCCCAATTAATAAATAGATAATAAATCAAAGTCTGTTCTCTCTTACATGTTTTACCTAGACACTCCATCCCTCAAATCGTCAGCATGATTTGATAAGATAAAAGGAGGGCAACGCACAATCACCAAACTATCTATTAGAAACACTAATTGTCGTCATATCCGGCACGCCTCACAAATTCCTAGAACAAGACAACATTGATAGGTAAGAAAAATATCATATCGATTTGAGGATATGGAAAAAGAGCCACATGGTATATATACGTGTAACCACATTACATAAAGTCAATAACAATATTTCTCTTTGAGTTATCGTTCTTGTTCATCTTGTAGGTTGTCATTCTATGTGAATGGTACAGGGGCTACCAGTGGTCCGTCACGTGACTAGAAAACCAGATATATTGCACTGACACATTTTCACACATCACTTCTTCTGTCACTTTTATGACGTCATCGTCTCACAGTAGACATAATGCAACACATGAACAGTAATTGGAAAATCCTAAGATTAAGAGTTCTGCTGTAGCAGTTTTTTATATATCTGAGAATTTAAAAAACGAGGATAAGAATCTCGATGCATTAAAGTATATATTTGTAATTGTGCCTCGTCGAATGTATGTGGAGTAGGATCAACCATATTCCTATTTATCACTTCTCGTACTCGTGAATCTAAACTAACCTGGAATAGAAAAGAAGAATCAGATATAATATATATTTTAATATCAATCATTTTAAAAATTTTCATGTCCCACTTTCTGAATTCCGACGCCTAGTGAGGTCATACATATAAATTTATAAATATGAAAGTCGAGATAGAATTCCAAATAATTAAGTAATAACTGTTTCCGCTTTAAACAAGATGCCAATGGGCAATAATGCTCATCTTATTAATAATGCCCCTTCAATTCTTTAGGAGAATTCCCACGAAAAATTTTGACCCCATATTGTAGCCAACTCTTGCTCCATAATTTGCCCAAACCTAAATCCACACAATATTGAGAAAATTCAATAGCAATGTGACTTAAATACCTTTTTGTTCTGGAGAAGTAAATTTTAAACCTTGAATACATGCATTATGTATATTATCATCCCCAACTTTTGTCCCATGATTTGAAATTAAAAAAAAAACAATCCACACAACTTGGAAATCTTAATACAATTTAGTGAGACCTTTGCTTCTCTTAAAAAGATTTTTAATTAATTTCCTTACGCTCATGTACATATTCTCTTATTCTTTAATCCCTATTTTAACCCCAACTTATTCCTAGAGGGTCATGATAAAAATAATTTGAATTTACTTCCACATGATGCTTGCAAATTAATATGACTTATCCTGGCCCTGTAATTATTGAAAAGAATATTTCAAAGATCTATTTCCTATAAATTACTATGTAAAACTTTGATACCCTAATGTGACCCCATCCTATTCTACAGGGCCTCGATATCAAAAAATTTGAATCTCGAGAAGATTTGTAAAAATTTTGTGCCCATATATCCGCTCCGCATGAAGAATTTTGATCCCCTATTTGGGTAAATCCTAACCCTAGGGGCCATGATATGAACAATTTTTAATCTAGTTTATTACGGAAGCATTCACATAAGATTGTTTTTTCTGATCCAATGCTTATTGACACAGGATGCAAGGTAATTTTAACTATTATTATCCAACGGGAAAATGTATTATATATGTACCCTTATATATATTTTGAACAAAAAATACAAGTAATTGATTCCGAAATTTCATATATGAATATCAAACATTTCAACAATATCTGATTTCATAATATTTTTATATATGTAACAATGAACAATATTATAACTACTGAGACTGAAGCCGTTTGTTTGAAAATTCAACTGCATGGATCCAGTAAATAAACAAATGAATAAGCAATCAAATGTTATTATTTAGAATTTTGAATTAATGGTCACAGACTGAGATGACTACAGACCTCTTTAGGTGATAATATAGATATATAATCTTCGTATATATTTCTAGCTTTCTCCTCGACTACTTCCGGGTTATCCTCACGCTTTATTTCCTCACACGCTAACCAGAATAGCATGTTTTCTTCACTATACTCTGAGCGTAGAAATTCTCTGAACGTTTTTCTCCCTGCTGTAAAGAAAGAATTGTGTTTTGTAAAGACATCTTATTATTATTATTATTATTATTATTATTCAAGAATCCTATTCTTTAGTGTGAAAGAATTATAATATAAATGATAATAATCAAAGCCAGGTATTTTTTTGTAGAAAGGAAAACCTGATATAATCCTACATGCACACATGAAAAACGTTGGTGGTTTGATATACAAGAGTTGTCCATAAAGTTCATGGACAATGAAGTTTTTGTCAAACTGAACAGTCCAAGATATATATACTTAAAACATTGCTGTGACGTCATGCCTTTGTTCTTGCAGTCTAAAAATTTACCTGTAGTCGTCCGATAATAATGATTAGCAGTCCAATAATATATTATCGGACGGCAGTGATAACAAAATCGGACAGTAGTTAAAAAACAACAACAAGAGTGAAATCAAGGTTTAATTTGTCCAGAAACCAAAAAAAATTCAGGGTAAGCGAACGCGAGGAAATTAAGTTGTTAAAAATAGCAAATCCAAGAAGAAACTGGAGTCTTAAACTTCCTCAAAAGTAACACTTTCCATTCATTTTTTTTTTTTTGGCAAAGCGTTTTCGATACATCACTGGGAATAAGCCAATTTAAATCCATTTCTGATAAAGAACCAGTCTGCGAATCTCTTCATTTAACGAGGTTTGTTCGCCAATGACCATGATGACCGCACTTTTAAAACCCAAAATTTTCATTATATCATCCAATCAAAATTTAGATAAAAATCCGCATTATTACTTTAAATGCATTTCGAAGATATCATCCAACACTGTATATGTATCAATGTCAAACGCACTTAATAAAAAAAATATTCCGAATCATAAAAAAATCCCTCATCACCTGACCACTGTCCATAGTTCCTGCTAAGCCAAACGATTGCCATTGAATGAATGAAACGAAAGAGTTCATTCACTGATTTTACTGTCTTAAAAAAAAACTTTCTCTTTTCTTTTGTCTACTTATTAGATGGTTTCAGGTAGAAAACTATTGATGCCTGAACTCCTATTGTGTAATTATCGGACTCCTCCAGATAACTTTTGGACATTTAAATAGCAATGTTTTAAGTAAGATATATGCCTCATACAATTCTATATGTAAAATTATCAGACTGTTTTCGGCCCTAATGGGCTTCAAACAGTCTGATAATTTTACATATAGAACAGTATTCGGCATATATCCATTACTTACCGTACACCAAAATATTTATTATGAAAATCCAAGTCAGAATTGTTTGGTTTTGGTGGTTTGATCTTAATATTTTTTAAAATAAAAATCACGGCTCTTTAAAGGTCACAGATAGTGTGAACAGTCCAGGGCTAAAATTTCATAAACTTTGAAATAAAGCTGATGGATTAAAATGATTATTTTCTTCATAAAACAAGCCAAATCCTTATAAAAATTAAATGTTTCTCCATAAAGCGGTTGTCATCATTTTCTATCTTTATTATCGCTAATTGGACAGAATTTGAAAATATTCAGAAAACAAAACAGTAAGAAAAATGTTTAAAAGAAAAAGCAGCGTTGGCCATCCGAATGGAACAGAGTCCAATCATAAAAGTATGGTTTAATATATGGTTGAAATGACGTCAAAGACAACAACAGGAAATCATTGGAATACATGTATACTTAGATCACTAATTTAAAAATTGGTATATATACGATTTTTCAACGGTGTGTACAATTTGAGAGACACCACAAGAAGTGGAAAACTACCGTTATTTGATGATAATAGGATATCCCTATCATGTCTTGTTATAAATCTAGCACTGGACTGTGCAGACTGTGTATAAGTGTTCATACTGATGACGCTCGTAAATTATCGTTTATTGTTTTGCATTTAAAAAATTTACTTAGTTATGGTCTACATGTAAACATTATTGCACACTTAGCGGTGCTGCATACTAAAGAAAAATTAGCATGTGTCCTCGAATACGGAATAGAAATTCAAAATAAATCCATTTTTTACGTTACCAAAAAACTAGCTTAACGTCAGACTGGGTCGTGCGACTTGTATATAAAATCTATTTACACCTATATCCTAGTGTGTATTGTTTTAATTTTTACTTAAAATTACTAATTTTGACTAAATCATGATATATATAAAAATGATGTCGTACATACTTGGAGTGTGGTGATTATTAAGAAAATTACAGTATTTGTATAAGAACTTTATGGACAATCCCGTATGTTTTGTTATCCGATTCAATTTCAACATGGTGACTGATTACTAAATGTGAAAAATACCTGTATTTTCCTTTTAGATGTTTTAAATGTAACACCAAACAAACAAAAAAATCATTCATATACTTTCTATTTTTTTTAAAATATCATTAATTATTCATTTTGCAAAGTAATTTTTTTTGTTTTTGCAATAAATTCACATTATCATAAATCTTTTCTTCGTCAAGTTTACCAATTTTCTTCTGTATTTTATCATTGTTTTGTTGGAGTAACCTTTGCATTCTTTTCAACATATGTGATGATTCGGATGAAATTACACTTAGCACTTATTTTTTAAAGAAGATTTAGTCAATCATAGACGACATAAATGAGAGAAATCTTAAGATAAGTTTATGACCCTTTCTTGATATCTTTCAGAGAAACATATATATGTATATAGGAGAGAGGAAGGGGTGACAGAGAATAATTAAAGTTATACTAGTTTGCTCCTTACCATAATTCCTCATGAGTTTATCAAATGACTCTCCCCAACTCTGTATTTCCTCAGGTGTTGGGCTAAGGAAAAAAAAATAAAATTAGTTCTTTGACAAATTATAGTACAAGTATTTCTTTTAAATGCAAAAGAACATTAATTTTGTACCTTAAAACTAATCTGTATCAATAGAAATAGAAAATTTATTTTAATATACAAAATATAGTGCTAATTTCCATATTTGCTTAAAGTATCTCCCGAAGAATCCATAATTTATATTTACAGTACTTTCTATCCTTTGTAAGGGATTTATTGTACAGAGAGGCGTGGCAGCCGAGTCGCACAGCGAAGAGACTGTCACGCCTCTCTGTACATTAAAACCCTTACAAACGAAAGAGTCTGTAAATGTCTTGTGTCGTGGTCATTTGCATAGTCACTCCTTCAGTCCAAACTGCACGCCATAAGGTCCATCGTAATTGTACAGGTTGTTCAAATAAAGCAGAAAGTACGAAGGAGATGGTTGCATTGAAAAATCAAGCAATGTTAAACGAGTGTATTTAAGCCAATTCAAAAACTAATTCACAATTTGAAAATTTTATGATTCTTATTTGAAATCGTTTGATTTATATTCGATTATTGTTATTTATATTTCTAAGCTTGTAATTTATATGCAAAACCTTGATATTGTATTCGAAATGTTGATATTCATATTCGAAAACCTGTTTTTCTTATGCAAACTCTTGATTGATTTTTGATAATCTTGTAGTTCTAATGCTAAATAATCCTGTGATTTGTATGCGAAATCTTATAATTTATTTTCAAAAAAAGAAAAGAAAAAAAAAAAAAAAAAAAAAAAAAAAAAAAAAAAAACCTATTCAGGTGCAAAAACATGCTATTTATACCTTTAAAACTTTTGTTTCTTATTTCATAATGTGATTTATATGTAACAAAAGTTGATATTCTCATTCCAAAACTTATATATATGCAAAAAGAACTGTTCGATTATCTTGTGATTCATATGCAATAATTTTGTGATTTTTATGCGATATCTTAAGATCTATATAAGAAAAAATATTCGGACTCGGAAAACTTATTATTCATATTAGAAAACTTGTTATTTCAACAATGTACAATTTTGTGATTCACATTCAATCAACTTGTGATTGACATGCAGAGTTTTGTTATTAATATACAATAAAAGGCACACGATTATTGTAAATAAATCACTAGATTTTTTAATACACTGTATGCATATAAATAAAGAATATTAAAATTATATTTTGCATATGAATCACAATCAATATTATTGCATATTAATTAAATATTATCAAATATGAATCAAATTTTACACATAAATAACAAGTATTCGAATTAGTTTTTAATATAAAATCAACTAAGCCTCATCCTGGGACCTGAAACTATGCCCGGCGGAAATGAATTTCACAATTTTGGTAAAGGGCTGTTTAATTAACATGTAATCATGTTCAACGTCCATGGGAAGAGGAAAAGAGTTTCAAAGATGTAACACGTTATCAATATATGACTGACTAAGCTTCACACTGGAACTTGAGTCATAGGCCCAGGGGTTTTGAATTTTATAATTTTATTAAAGGTTGAGTACTCATTATTATTATGCAGAACGTTCCCCGCTGTATGTACAGGTGTAAAAAAGACCTCAGATCATGCATTTTCAATATATGACCAACTTAAGCCCAATTCGAAACCTGTATCCAGGAGCCATGAATTTCACAATTATGGCGTAGGGCTCATTGTTGATTATAATCGTGGTAATTTCACTGCGTGATTTCAGGAACAAAAATAATAGAAAATTGCATTAATTTTCTTTGCTTTTTGCCCCACCCTCAGGCCCAAGGGAGGCAGAGACAATGAAATTCACATGTTCCCCTTTGCCAAAGATATTGCATATTAAAATAAGTTGAACTCAGCTTTCAGAGTAGAAGCTGAAAATGTTTGAAACCTTACTGAAGATAACACACAATGGACGATGATGGACTAAAACCAGACAGGAATAGGTCACTTGAGTGAATCAGGTGACCTAAAAACTCGGATTTTAAATTTTTTTTATTATTTTCCTTTTCTTTTGACAAAACAATTTAACCTGATTGGTCTTCAAATATAATTCATAGTGTCAAATCACTTACATGTTCCGTATATATATACATCTAAAACTGTATCATATGGGAGTTTCTGATTTGTTCAAGGCCTTCAAAAGTTCATTTTTGATGCCCCCGTATCGAAGATTCGGGGGTATATAGTTTTTGCCCTGTCCGTCTGCCTGTCTGTTTGTCCGCAAAAGCTTTAACCTTGCCCATAACTTTTGTTTAGTTGGAGCTATGGCTTTCATATTTCACATGTGTATTCCTTGTGACAAGACCTTTCTTTGAGTACCACCATATTTGACCTTTTGCCCTTGAGCTTTTAGTTCGACCCAGTTTTGCAAAATTTTACCAAACTTTAACCTTGGCCATAACTTTTGAACAATTGGTGCTAGGGCTTTCATACTTCACACGTGTAATCCTTGTGACAAGACCTTCCTTTGGATACCAACAACTTTGACCTTTTGACCTCGACCTAGGAGTTCGACCTACTTTTGAAAAACTTTAACCTTGGCCATAACTTTTGAACAATTGGTGCTAGGGCTTTCATATTTCACATATGTAATTCTTGTGACAAGACCTTTCTTTGGATACCAACAACTTTAACCCTTTGACCTTGATCTTGGAGTTTGGCCTACTTTTGGAAAACTTTAACCTTGGCCATAACTTTTGAACGGTTGGTACTAGGGCTTTCACACTTCACATATGTAATCGGCGTGACAAGACCTTGTTTTGGATACCAACAACGTTAACCCTTTGACCTTGACCTTGGAGTTTGACCTACTTTTCGAAAACTTAAACCTTGGTCATAACTTTTGAACGATTGATGCTTCGGCTTTCACATTTCACCTGTGTATTTCTTGGGAGAAGGCCTTTCCTTTGGCACCATTAATTTTGACCATTTGACCTTGACCTTGATGTTTGACATACTTTTGAAAAAAACTTTAACCTTTTCCATATCTATTCAATGGTTGCTGCTAAGGCTTTCATATTTCACAGGTTTATTTCTCGAAACAAGACCTGACTTTGGGTACAACATATTTGATTTGCATTTAAGAAAGTTTAACCTTTGCTATAAGTTGCCATACGGGGGCATCAGTGTTTCACAAACACATCTTGTTTTTGTATTATTAATTTTGAATGTCATTGTCTCAGGAAAAAAAAATCATACTAATATTATTCCTGGCTAGATTTATCAAGCGCAAATAATTAAAATTTTCTTTATTAGACATCACTACAGCAAATTTCACATTACATGTAGATATGAAATTCTTTTAAAACACAACAGAGCTTATTGTTATAACTGAAGATGAAAAGCGGAATTTCAATTCAGAACCGCAATTCTGTAGGAATTGATTGAAAACCAGAGATCATATTAATAAAACTATAACCATCGCACCATGCACTGAGGAATTCTAAATCTTTGGTGATTTTATTGGGTTAGAGTGATCTGCCCTTTGATGTAAGTTGGAATAAACGAAAATCTGCAGTAATTGAACAGAAAAAAAAAGATAAAATATTTTTACCACTATATTAGACTAAATTAGGTAATTCAACACATTATTTGTATGTATTTTTTCCAAATGTAGGTAGACAACAGTGATTTCTGTTCACTAATGCCACGTTGTCATTTTTTCATGGCATATATGACATGTATAACCCTATGTTAAAAATGAATTGAACTTCTTATGACCACACTGATGTTTTAATGTCCGTATTCGCACCCAATTTATATTTTTCCAATGGACTTTCGATCCTGATTACTGTTTGGTAGCTTCAAATTTAATATAATTTGTCTATGACTAGAAAGTCATGAATATTTTATCCTAAGCTACGATGTGATAACAAATATAGGTCTAGAGTCGCGAATAAAAGAGTTGATCCTTAGTCGCGGGCTCGATTCCACTGTGGGAGGTACATGTAGACACCAATCTTTCGGCTATGATCGTATAAATTGTGGTCCCATGTCGCATTATTTGTTGGGTTGTCAAAGGTCCCTCATTGCTCATTGACTCTGAGTGCTGAGTACAGGTCTAAATTTGCAGCCGTCCAGCAGTAATTAGTTGCTTCCCAAACAAACATGCATTTGAGTACTTACGGCTCGTCTGGTTTCTGTACAGTAATTGTTTTGTCACGTGACCCTCCCGGTGACCCGTTTCCCGTCTTAACAGCTAAACTGTAAAGAAAATGAAAATTGATCTTAATGATACACAACAACCTTTTTTTCCTCAAATTTAATCTTTCTTATTAAGAAAACTTTAAAAACAAATGTAAATTTTGTTAACAGATTATGAAATAAGACTTTTAAAGGAGTAACTATTACCTATAACTAAGAAAAATTACTACAAGAAATGAACTGCTGTTTAAGTCATACAAAACTTTCAGCAATTCTTTAGTCATAAGGGAAAAAAACATAGGAAGGGGGAACATAATAATGATGAAAATTTTTTATTAATAAAAATTTATTATAACTGTCTCAATGTAAACATTTTATACTACGGTTTATTTTAAAAAAATTCTACATTTCAATACTATGTTGTTTTTTTTAAGTTAAAAGTATTACAACAGCCTAAATGTTATCGTGCATATGTACTGACTTGGCTTCTTGGGCTTAATAACCAACCATGTTAAAAATTTTATAAATTACTATGTTTTTGAAATTTTCTCTCATCACTGACTTTTTTATCCTGCATTTTCAACAAATTTAGGCACAGTTAAAACTATGAAGTCATTATAAACAATTCAATATAGATGACGTTGCTTTTAAAGACGTCGGAATGCACGAGGCTTATTTAGGGCATTTACCAAATATATCTTTGGTTTACTGGGTTACCTTTATTCGGTCAATGCCATTGGTAGTTGCATGATAAAACCAACATATCATTGACAAGATATAGAACATATATTATAAGTAATGGATATATGCCGAATACTGTTCTATATGTAAAATTATCAGACTGTTTGAAGCCCGTTAGGGCCGAAAACAGTCTGATAATTTTACATATAGAATTGTATGAGGCATATATCTTACTTAAAACATTGCTATTTAAATGTCCAAAAGTTACCTGGAGGAGTCCGATAATTACACAATAGGAGTTCAGGCATCAATAGTTTTCTACCTGAAACCATCTAATAAGTAGACAAAAGAAAAGAGAAAGTTTTTTTTTTTAAGACAGTAAAATCAGTGAATGAACTCTTTCGTTTCATTCATTCAATGGCAGTCGTTTGGCTTAGCAGGAACTATGGACAGTGGTCAGGTGATGAGGGATTTTTTTATGATTCGGAATATTTTTTTTTAACAAGTGCGTTTGACATTGATACAGATACAGTGTTGGATGATATCTTCGAAATGCATTTAAAGTAATAATGCGGATTTTTATCTAAATTTTGATTGGATGATATAATGAAAATCTTGGGTTTTAAAAGTGCGGTCATCATGGTCATTGGCGAACAAACCTCGTTAAATGAAGAGATTCGCAGACTGGTTCTTTATCAGAAATGGATTTAAATTGGCTTATTCCCAGTGATGTATCGAAAACGCTTTGCAAAAAAAAAAAAAAAAAAAAAAAAAAATGAATGGAAAGTGTTACTTTTGAGGAAGTTTAAGACTCCAGTTTCTTCTTGGATTTGCTATTTTTAACAACTTAATTTCCTCGCGTTCGCTTACCCTGAATTTTTTCTCCCTAACTTTTTTTTGGTCTCTGGACAAATTAAACCTTGATTTCACTCTTGTTGTTGTTTTTTAACTACTGTCCGATTTTGTTATCACTGCCGTCCGATAATATATTATTGGACTGCTAATCATTATTATCGGACGACTACAGGTAAATTTTTAGACTGCAAGAACAAAGGCATGACGTCACATCAATGTTTTAAGAAGTCATTATATATGAGCATATTTCTATAAAGAAGCACTGATACCATCAGTTACAGAGACTTGTGTAACTAGTACATGTTTATTGGATTGTGGAGAATATGCAAATATTTCAATTACTGTAGCACTTCTTGATTAAGTATCGCAAAATTTTGACACGAACTAAGAAATTATTTGTTAGAAATAGGAATTTGTCATCGTTTTAACTTCAAAAATATAGTTGGCACAGGTAGACAAAGTAACGAATATTGTTTTGACCTTCTTTTGTATAAGTCACTTGCAAAACTCTACTGGACGTTTTTTTCTCTCTGAAATTTGGGACGCCTGTATTAAATCTTTATGAGAAACGATATCACCAAATTTAGATGTATTATGACCACAAGTCATAATATCTTTCATCATGAATAGCAGTATCAAACAATGAAATTTCTTTGGTAGCTTGTACCAAAGAAAGAATGACGTCATGGACACACGGGTATCAATGATAATAAACGCTAATCACAAGTTTGTGACGTCATAGTTCTCACTTTGTCGTTAGTGTGCGAAAATCCATAATGTTGCCTCCGTGTTTTAAGCGAATACTATATTGATTATTTTCAAAGCGAGCCATTTCTCCCTGTCTTTTAGACCTACGGTTTTTTTTTGTTTTTTTTTGTTGTTGCTCTTCGCCATGTTTTCTAGAGTAAGCCAGAGTATGAACTAATATTTGCCGCGTGCTTTGGCTATGGTCTCAATGGGAGAATTCTTTTATAGAGAACAATCACTAGATAATTTAAGGAGATACCATGGATTTCTATCTTGTGCAAGACGAATAACCCAGGTATTTTTTGCCTGTGCAGTCGATCCAATATTTTCTTTATTTAAAAATATCACACAACTTCAAAAACACCACTGACCGTCACAAACTCTTTTCCAACTATTTCAATACTCAGCATCTGAAAATTTTACATCTGAAAACAACTTATCATACTGTTAATACAAAAAAAAAAAAAACAAACAAACAAACAAACAAACAAAAAAAAAAAAAAAAAAAAAAAAAACACGAAAGTTGTACGTTTTTTTCAATACACTGAGTATGTACATACACAATAAATCATTTTTAAGTAAAGGAGTTGCAATGTACCAAGCATAAAATTGAATACTACCAGGTTTCAGACTTTAAATCCTTTTTCCATAAGTATAAAATTAACTTAATTAGGGTATTTTTTGTGCTCCCTACACCTTCAATGATGTTAATTTTAATAAGAGGTAATTGCAATGTACTTTGTTATCATAAAGCAATATGAGCTCCATTTTTGAAAATTTTATTTTGCTGTTCAAATGTGCTGTTATGATAAATTTGTACGTAATTTAATCCTTTATGATCAATTAAACTAAAATAAAGTATTTTTTCAAAAGATTTTTGTACAATGGAATGTATGAGAAACCAATATTGTACAGGACGACAATAATGTAATTTTGCTTCAATTAAAGCTTATAAATAGTTCTTCCATCGCAAATATGAACAACAGATGTTTATAAACGTTCTTTTTTTCTGTCATTGAAATAGTTAATTACAATATTGCAACAAATATTTCCGACATGAAAGTTGCAGCTCATATTGCTTTAACATTTATTAGTACATAGTGTTATTTCCTCTATGATAACCCTGCACTGTTTATCGTAAGACAGAACAACAATCCACGTGACTTATTGGGCATTGTTTTTTAAACATTCAAATGCTGCTTTGCACAAAAGGTTTGTCGTGGAAAATTTTGCATGCATGATAAATGGTGTCACGAAGAGGAATAAGTAGGGCTTATACGAAAAGTAAATATTGAAAATACCTACAATATCATTATAACTTGATTATTTTTCAGAAATAAGCAAATTACTAATATCATTACGAGAGGGAATAACTTCAAGTGTTGGATCTGTAGACTCAGAAAACAAGACAACCATTTTGTTACATAAACACTCTTAATATATATGTATTTAAAATAGATGTGAACATGAAATTGCTTGTGGGCATATAAAAGTTGATTTATCCTAACTCAATGCCAAGGACTCATTAATGTCAATGTTTGGACACTTTTTGTTTACTAATATTTACTTCCTTAAAGAGTTCCCCCTTTATTTATCCCAAAGCAAAATAAATATATCCTGACAACTTTGTATTGAAAAAAAAATTCACAATATGAAGTACATATCTTAGTTTTATTGAATATCAAATCTTTCAACATAAGGAAGTTATTGTATAGCTTCATGTAAATATCACGGATGTTCTGTCTTTCCTGTATAACATATGTTGTGGGCAGCATGTTGAAAAAAGACAGCTGCATATGACATGTGTGGTAGTCTGCTTTGGTTGGTCTTTTTAAAAACTTAGCAGAAGATGAGCTCGATGGAATATACATTGAGCTAGAGTGCAACTTGGAGTTAAATGTTAAGAAGAACAGTTTGCAAATAAAAGGGCGTGTTTTAATACTATTATGCATAAAATGTTAGTTAAAACTTTTGTTTCAAGAGAAAAAGTGTAGCATATATTTATCAATAAAATGTACATTAGGCCCTATTATTTGTTTGTTTATTGTTTAACGTCCCTCTCGAGAATTTTTCACTCATATGGAGACGCCACCACTTGCCGGTGGAGAGCTACAAATTTTGACCTATACTCGGCACTTAGGGCTTTTGAGCAGTGAGGGATCTTTTTCTTGCCAGCACCTACTGTGACACGGGACCTCGGTTGATACGGTCTCATCCGAATGACCGGTCTCCACGTCCCACAGTGGGATTTAGGCCCTATTAAAATTCAAACAATCATCAGAAATATGTATTCCTAAGCAAGTGGCTTTAATTTACTACTACAAACATACAGTAAGGGTTAAAGGTTGTTTGCTTTCACTCTGATACCTAGTATCCGAAGCTGTATCTATAATATGAATATTTTTTTATTCTTTAGATTGTCATTAACTTTAAAAATTATTTTCTTCATTTTCAGACAAATATTTTCATAGTCAATTTTAATCTTATATGTACATCAAGTTACATTTTATTTGTCCTTCAATGGAAGCTGATATATAAGCACCAGATTTGTATTTACGTTATAAAGTACATGTAAAATCCAACAATGCCATTTACAATATCCACCTTTGCAAACGTAACATTATCAGAAAATGCTAATATGATGACATTACCCAACTGTAAATACAATAGAAAGCAATGTAAAATGTTAAAAAAAATTCCCACGGTTTACGAATTTAATGTAACTTTATTTTCCAATCTTTCCAAAGAATGTATTTACTTTTCATTCATAAATATGT